AGATTCCCCAACGCGATAATAGTTTCACAAGTAAGTGTGCTCATGAGAAAGCCTCGTCCGTGGCGGAATCCCGCTTTCCTTGACCAAATATACATACATTCCCATGAGGCTGGAGCTACACGTTCGGGCCACGAGTCGTATGTGCAATTAATAAACATACAAACACACAGCTAATCAGCAAACAATGTAAAGCAGTTCCCACCTGGGATGCTAATGATAATAATAATAATGATGGCTTCGAGTGTGTGTCTCCCATAGCATAGAATATTTCCAGCTGTGAGTAATTTAGTGCCTTCGGCGTTTCCGCAATCCGTTGCAGCATGTAAATTGAAAAAATACAAACATTAGATGACAGGCAGAAGCCCGGCCAAGTGGTTATGGCAACTGGTTGACCGGCGGCTGTCAGCCAACACTGATGGATGGCTGCAATCCGAGCTGTGCGGCTAACATGACTGCGTTGACGGGCCGGCCGTCGTAATGGCCATCATGTGCATGTGTCAATTAGCCGTGTTTAAAGAGCGGAATCGCAGGAATCGTCAGCAGTCAGCTAACCTCCGCCATTTGTTGCCCTTTTCGTTTGGCAAACGCCTCTCGGGCACGTTCTAAATAAATTGCAGCCGTTTTTGGCGGAGGCTGATGCCGGGGCTGAGGATGAGACTTCAGCTTTGGCTCCAACTTTGGCTTTGGCTTCCATTTGTACGCCCGCAGATGCACCTGCTCTGTGGCTGAATGTCAGCAGCGATCTTATCGCCACTTCTATTTCCATTTGCAACCGTTCACTTTTCAGTTCGCCCTCTTAATTTAACCTTTAAGACATTGCTCTAATGTCGCCCATCTTCTTACACGGTGGAAATTAAGGTTTAAATACAGACAAAAGTATATTAAAGAAATTTAATAATATATACTAATTCGAGGCTTAATCCTTATAAGTAAAGACTGAAAACAAAGATAGTGTCTTGTGCTGAGGTTTCAATCCTCCCACTACTAATATCCTGATGATAGGTCTTAATGTTGCACTCCTGACATCTCATGTTTTTATCAATTCCAAGGAATTAAAGAAATGATAAAATAAAAAGATATTGGATGTTAAAGTTCTATTAAAAACAATATTTAACAACTAATTTGCCAGTAAAACCTTTATATATTTTCTTCAAATTTATGTAATTTTCCCACTAAAGCCTGTATTTATTTTCTGTATATTTCTATTATTTTCAGAGCTTATCCCTCGCTGCCATCAGTGCCTATGTCTACGCCCAGATCGCTCCTGGCTCCAATGCCTACCTCCCGCCCACGAAGAACGGCTACGACTATTCGGAACCGAAGACCCCATTCGTGAGTAAAACTTAATACATACATACATATATTTCTCACTCTCTACCACTGAGATTGAATGAATCCCTCGTATCTGAGTTATCTGGCCATGTGGCTGGGCCGAAACCGCCTTAAATTGAATACCCGTCAACGGACTAATTACGGCCATCATTCTGGTAGCATTCCGGGGCAACCAGGCCCCAGACTTGGGACGGCAGCCGAGATTTGTCGCCGCATTCATCACTCCGAATGCTGTGGCTCAACTCGAACTCAAACTCAAACTCAATAAATGCTGCTGCCACGTCATGTTGCTGAATGTCGGCCCAAAATGATGGCAACATTTTGAATCGGTGAAGGGCTTTGGCAGTTGAAAATGACTGGAAGTTAACCTTTTGAGATCTCCCAACGGAATGGCAGATCGTTGCGAAAAAATAACACAATGCAGGTGAACTTCCATAATGCGAAGTTCAACAAATCGGGTTTTTTTCTCTTTACTAAACTCAAAACTAAATTGACTTGTAATGGCATGTGGCGAAATAATTTCATAAGTATGTCGTTTATGCTTTACTTAAATATAGAATATTGTTTATATATTTTTAAGGATTGGTTTAATATTTAGGTAACTTTGAGGCCTTTAAAGTAAATATTAACTGGCTAATGTTATCGTAAATCCACAGAAGCCCGGCCCACCGGGAAGACCTGCAGCGCCGGGACCTCGCCCACCAGCACCACCCGGCACTCCCCGCCAGATTCCCGGTCAGCCAGCCGATGTAAGTACAACCAAAAATATATTTATCCATATGTACATATAATAAATATGTTATAAAATTTAAGATAAAAAGGTGATGTTCAATCTGTTTTTTTTTTAACCAACTAGAGGTTTAGAGAATGTATGAAAACTAAACTTAGCATTTAAATGTCGGGGAGTAATTTAGTTTTTATTAATTTTAACTAAAATAAAAAAAAGAAAAGAAGCTAATCCACAGTTTGTATACCCTTGCAGTTTGCAATTATATCATAAAGAATCAACCCATTTTGGTAATAAGATAGAAAGATTTTAGTAAATAGAACTAAAAGATATATAAAACATTTATACATATACAATTATATATAATATTTATATGTTGATCAAATTTAAAACCATATTACATGTTAAATTTTAACATATAATAATAATAATAGTAATAATATATACATATATTGTAAAATACGGATTGAGTTAGATATTTGTAAAAGGAGAATTTCGTTAAGTTTCAGTAGCCCATGTTATTATTAGTTTTATTTTAATCACAAATCTACAAATGGCCATGAAATAAAAAGGTAAACAAACGCGGTTTTGCAACTGTCCAAATGTGAGAGTGGATCGTATCTACTTAGTGGCTTTCTCGCTCTTAGGTTCCACTCTTCACCGCAAAAAGAAATTCGCGCGCGAGCGCAGAAAAGTTCGAGCACAACGAAAATAAGAAAATGGTGTTGTTTCACTCACCCACTCACTTTCCATATAGCTGCAGATCTTAACGGCGAATTGGTGCACATAACACACACAAAAAAAAGAACAAAAACCTTCTATATTTGCACATACACATTTTATACACACACTTTCTTCACATAAAAAAAACAACAAAATTAACTAGCCAACAAATAACGCACTGATCTTGGCTATAAATTGTTTAAAAACCAAAAACACGACACCGGCCGGCTGCCCCCACTTCACTTGCACTTTTCACTGTGGGGCTCGCTGCTTTCCCGCACTTTTGGCACTTGCCACTGGCTTTTCCATTGTACATTTCCATTAATTTCACCTTTCACCGCCGCGGTAACCTCCTGCATAGAGATATTTTCAGTTTTTTCGATCCTTTTTAAGTTTTCGTGTTTCTGACTCCCTCCCGGAGGAGTTGGAGCTGGAGCCGTAAGACGATCGATGACTAGTATCGATGGCCAGTATACGATGGCTAAAGTATCGATGTAATATTTTGAATATCGATATATACCAAAAAGTTTAAGTGAGCGCAAAATTCTTGAATGATTGAATTTTATTGATGAATCATAGATAAATAAGAACTTTGACACAGGAAAATTAATTTGTGGAATTATTATTCTGTTTTTAAGTATTTTTGTGTATATATTTATAAAAAAAGCAGGCCTCTACATAAGGACTCTTTAGCTGAAATTATTTTAAAATGTTAAATAAGTTTTTCTTAACAATATATTTATTTAAATATTTAATACTTAATTTTTATTATATACATTTTAGGATCACGTCCACATGCCCGGCATGCCCTTCGACTTTGAGTACGCCGTCCAGGATCCGGAGACTGCCAATGACTACGCGCACAAGGCGTCCAGCGATGGCGATGTGGTGACCGGCGAATATCGCGTCCAGATGCCCGATGGACGCACCCAGATTGTGCGCTACACTGCCGACTGGAAGACGGGCTACCATGCGGATGTCACCTACGAGGGTGAGGCCCAGTTCCCGCAGGGCCCGCAGCCAGGAGCGCGCGGCGGCGGTGGTGCCGGCGGTGCTGGTGGCTACAAGTACTAGGTACTGCCTGTGGGTGGAGCTTCGACTGGGTCAGCGCTGGGGACACAAATCTTTTGCGAAACGTGTAAAACTTACGATATACCAATAAAAAGTATTGATAAACTAAAGCGACAGCTAGTGTTTAATTTTTGAAGGCTTTAAGGCAATACGATATTCATTTTTGTAGAGCATTAAGCGCCATCTAGGCTTCAATTATATTGCAGCTTTTTAAACCCTTATTTGGGAAGTCTGAGTAACTTCCAAATAGAATTATAATACTGTTGGAAAGACATGGAAATATATACAAATATGTTTATATATATAATAAAAAAAGTCACAAAACATAAATATTTTGCTGTTATCAATAGGAAAGGCTGACGCTTTACACAAACCAAAGATAACAGCCAATTAACATGAGCTAATTTTGTATCTGCTAGATGGCGCTTACTAGCTTACAAAATATGTCATTCTAAGTTTAAAAATTAACGTTATAACTAGTTTTTTCTACGAATTCTTAGCATAATAGACTTATTATATATCTTGGGCCATCATCTTTAAAACAAAAAACATATTTTATTCATTAACATTTTATATAAAGGATCGTAATTTGTCAGGTTGCAGCACACAAAGGACCTATAAAATATAATTAATATTTATATCAAACCTAGACGAAATGAAACACGATGAGCTTTAAAAATATATATTATCAATAGAAATCGATATTTTTATAAATAAAATTATAATCTGAATTTAACTCAACTCAATTTAAATGGGCTTTTTGGCCAACGGTAGTCAAGCTCCTCCCGCCCAAAAGCCTGGCAATCAAAAGCTTGGGATTCCCCAGAACTGTCACCGTTCTGCCACACGAGCAACAGATGTTCGGCCAGCTGGCAGGACACGTATGTCAACATGGCCAGGACGCAGGCGCTGGGCCAGGTAAACAAACACCTGTTGAACGCCCGTCGAAGTAAACAAATCCCAGGCGCAGAATCGCCAAACGTCAGAGCAGGCGCACTGGGCGCCCAGAAGAGTACAGAGAATGCCTTTTGTAGAGGGACTAGGGTCGTCTTTCTCCTACTAGAGGAAATCCATGCAGCGAGCTTTAAGCTGGCCCAGAAACGTCAGGGAAACGTCAAAACGGGCCACGACAGTGTAGAGAGAAAAGTTTTCGCTGGCCAACAACACACACACACCGAAAAGTGCTGGCTCGCGTTAAAAAATTGCTGAAAACTAGTGAAAATTCCAAGGGACACAGTGCCTGGGATATAGTGAGATATATTGCAGTGATTTAGTGCCAGAGATCGGGGGATATGTTCGCGAAGGGCCAAGGCAGGTGGCCAGAACCGAGCTAACGGGCTAACGGGCTAACGGGATATGTGCTCGAGTGCGTGTGAGTGTGTGTGAGCGCCGCAGGAAAGTAGGCTACGAAAAACGCATCGCCTGGTATTTATGTCGCGCTCCCGCTCGATCGACCCCCGCCGTCATCATCAGCAGTTAGTAGATCACAATTATCGGGGCATCCGGGGCAATTATGGCCTGGCTCCTAACCAGATTCCTGGCCTGCTGGCGCCTCTGCCTGGGCCTGCTCTCCGTTCTGGTCTGTTTGGCCCCTTGTGTCAATCTGCAGCCAGCCGAGAACATCAACTACAATCTGTGAGTTTCGCCGGAGCTATGGATATCCTATATCCTGTCCAGGGATAATGCAACAGTAATCCTTAAACTTAACCATCCTATCCATCCAGCGTTCACTCGTGGGCCGACAAACTGGGCACGGAGCTGTTTCATCTGGGCGATTTCATCACCAGGCGCAAGGAGGTTCAAAATGTGAGCAAAGAGCATTTTATTGATTTTTCCGCCGCTCCGGTTTTTCTCCCCTCTACCCCTGTACCCCTTGCCCTCCTGCTCCCGTTTCCCTTTCTCCTTTCCCCCCTGTTTCCCATTTTCGACTTTTTTCGGTTCTGTTTTTGTGCGCTCCTTGTTGACGTCTCTCTGAGGCTGAGACTTCGGCTCCGTATTTGGGTTAAAGGCTGCTAGCCCGAGCGGCAATTATTAAAAATGAAAAGCTGAGATTCTAAGGCACTAGGACGAAGTTTCAATGCCCTGGAAAAATCTATACAATGGTGATATTTTTCTAGGTCTAATTTCGGGGTAATTATAATTAGTTATGGGAAAGAAAAGAGAAGGAGTTGTGGAAAATGTAAGGCAGTGGGTCAAAACGTCAATGTTTGAAGGATATATACTTTCTAGATTTAATGGAGAAGAGTAATTATACAATTTAGTTACTGAAATCTATATTTAATTGGACTCTATACTTATTTAACACTTTCTATACACAAATTTTATTTAATTATCCACAAAGATAGAGTATCTTTAAAGTCCATTCCAAGGGAAAACTTATTTTTGGCTGCCTCTGGGTCTCCATATCCATCTCCCCATATGAGGTCAGTGCGCTGGCAGTGACCAGGACAGCTGGTAATTTATTTTTAGGCAGCGCAATTGGATTTACAAATGAAATTGTTTCACACATGGTCTACAAGCGCATTGGCGCCCACTGTTTATAATGTTCGTTATGCATGTAAATGTGCTTGTCAATGGCCCCACAGGGGCCTCCAAATGGGTTTAACGTGGGGGGGGGTTACGCTCCAAGCAAATAAGGGAATGAATGCCAAAGACAATATGGTTTCCTAAACAAAATAATAAATACATAATTCAAATCCATATATTCAAGAATAAAATTTATATATTTAACCCTATTTAAGACATAATCAACTAACTAAATCCCTAACAGCATTTCAAGGACGCAAAAGTGGTATCACGGAATGGTGCCTCCATTGTCGATTCGATGGCCAAGGAAATCGAAATGATGATGGATCTCAAGGTCAGCGCTGTGCGGGTATGTTTCTCCCATATTCCTAAGTCCCCTACAGAATCTAATCCTCATAACTCCATAAATTCAGCGCATTATGGACACGGCTGAGAATACGGCTCTGTCGCATCAGAATGATATGGCGGACAAGATGTTCTCCTATTACAATGCCAAGGAGATGCTGGAGCCCGGTGATCCCATACCGCCCATACCCACGCCAGCTCCGGACATGGACAAGGATATCGGGGAGCCACTGATCTATGTGCAGCCAAAGGTGGTGGTCTTGGAGCCACGCCCGGAGTTCCACAACACTCCGGTCAACTTTAGCGTGAGCTCGGTTCACGTCCCGGTCAATGTGTTCGATCGAGGTTTGGAATAATCCATCAACACCATAATCCGTGTATCTCTTCTCTCCGCTCTCCACCTATCTGTCTCTCTATCTGTCTCTCTTTGTGTATCTACTCCTCTCTCTTTTGTAATTGTAACTGTAATTGTCGCCTGTGTTGTAATTGTCTAAAAGATCCTGTTCTTATGGCTTTTGGGATCGAACTTGATGGTTTTTCAATGGGAATTTACTTCTCTGTCTTGAAGTTATTAAAAATTATTTGTCTAAAACTAAAAAATAACCATTTATCAAGTATTTTGAAATATTAATTCATATTTTACGAATATTATTTAATTTCAAAATTTTCAATTATATGCTTTAGAGTCAAGTTCGATCCCAATTTGTTTTTAAAATCAGGACTCTTTGTAATGCTTTTCGAGTCGAAACACCAGTAAAAACTAACTAACCAATCACTCTCCGTCTCAGTCTAGCTACCAGAAAGTAGTACCCAGAAATCGCATCTAGCTAGCTCGCTCTATCTTTCTATCTCTGTCGCTCGCTCGCTCGCTCACTCGCTCTTTAGCTATTTGCTAGCTCGCTTGACCGTAATCGTTGTTTTTTTCTATATGCCATATAAGCCGTACGCTGCGCCTCTTTTTCCTCGAAGGGTTTCCTGAAACTAACTATATAATTTGATTTGATTTTAATTGGATCTATATATTAAAATCGGTTCCTATGAAAAATATCTTACAATTAAGATACTAGAACTCGTTTGGCATTATACCTATGGTTTTCGTAAACAAGAGTATTACAATCATTATGATGGAACTAAAATAATGGAAAGGAGAATATGTAATCAGCGTAAAATACTAGAACTCTTTTAAAATTATAACTGTAAAAACTAATTTCGATAGATAAAAGTATCATGATCATTATGATCTTATAAGATATTACATTCTAATATCAAAACAACTGCTTAGAAGTCAATTTCGGTTACACTTTTATCTTCATTATATGTATAAATCTTTCAAAAATGCTTGGTATGTTTTGCTATTTTCAGTGTGTCAATGCAAAGATTCATATCAAAATCAAATCAAAATAAGTTTCAGGAATCCCTCTCTTGATTTTTTTCGATTTCCAAACCGCTTGCGTCAATGCGTGCGAGGGAACCGTGCACGTGTCAAGCAACGCATTGTGCCGCCCGGCCCAAACCACATCGTACCTAATGCCCTACCAGATGGGATCCTATCCGATCCGATCTGAAACTATATATGTTTATACAAGATCCGACGGTGCCGCTGGCGGTGCAATGCGTACGTTGACAGCGCGCCCGGGCTCAACGCCAATGGGAATGCGAATGCGAATGCTCCGGCTGCACTGCCGTAAAACACGCGGAATGCTTTGCCAAAAACCGTACAACACCCAACTTGAGCCACGAGCACACGAACCCAGTACTAATACCGCTACTACTACAACACACCTGTCACCCGTCACCTGTCACCTGTAACAGACGCGGAGGAGGAGATAGATTACGACTAGGATTAAGTCCGCACAAATGGAGGCCAACTAATCTGTGTTTCTTTGCAAAATTCTTTCCGTTTCATTGCCTCAAACCTCGAACATCGAATCTCAAACAAAACATACAACAAACAAAACAAAAAACAAAAACACCACAAAAACCACAACACAGCACCGGATGTGATAAAAGCAATTCAGTGGTCGGAGAATTTGGATCAGATATTCCGCGACAATTACAAAAACGATCCGACATTGTCGTGGCAATTCTTTGGCAGTTCGACTGGTTTTATGCGTCAATTCCCTGCATCGAAGTGGAATAAGGACGTACCGGTCGATCTATACGATTGCCGCCTACGCTCCTGGTACATGGAGGCGGCGACGAGTCCGAAGGATATCATTATCCTGATGGATGGATCCGGTTCAATGTTGGGACAGAGGCTAGATATCGCAAAGCATGTTGTCAATACGATACTCGATACATTAGGTACAAATGACTTTGTGAACATCTTCACCTTTGATAAGGAAGTGAGCCCAGTGGTCGGATGTTTCGAGGAGACACTCATTCAAGTATATATCAATTTTTTTGCTTTTGCCTTGTTTGAATTTGATTTATAATTAACAATTTAATTTCTGTCTATCCCCGCAACAAACACGACCAAAATCCGATAACTGATATCCGCAAATCGCAAATTCGATATCCAAAATCGATCGATGGCAAACACACACACACACACCCAATTGATGCAACCAAAAAACGATAACAAAATACGATAACCCGAAAAAAACCACAACACACGATCCAACCTACCAAAAAACACACTTTCGAAATTCATCCAGGCGAATCTGGGCAACATACGTGAACTGAAAGAAGGGATTGAATCGTTTAAGCCCAAATCGATTGCCAATTATACCGCTGCATTGACAAAGGCATTCGAGATATTGGAAGAGACCAAGTCGTCATCGCGCGGGGCGCAGTGCAATCAGGCGATCATGATCATTGGCGACGGGGCGCCGGAGAACAATCGCGAGGTCTTCGAGTTGCACAATTGGCGTGACCCGCCGTACAAGCCGGTCCGTGTGTTCACCTACCTGATTGGCAAAGAGGTGGCCAATTGGGATGATATACGGTGGATGGCATGCGAGAATCAGGGCTACTATGTCCACCTCAGCGACACCGCCGAGGTGCGCGAGATGGTCTTAAATTATATTCCAGTTATGGCCCGTCCCCTGGTCTTGGGTAGGCACGATCATCCGGTGATATGGTCCCAGGTCTATGCGGACATCGAGGTGGGTAGTGGTGTCGAAAAACACTTTGTGTGTGTCTCACCTGGTTAGCGAAGAACTCTCCACAAAAACAAAACACTCCATCCTCTTCCTTTCCCTCTCTGTATGATCCCCGTGTGTGTAGGACACCAAGCTCTCCGACTATTTGTGGGACATCAATCAGTGCGAATACCAGAAGGCCGATGTCCTTGAATACTGGCAGGTGCATGACCGAATGCTGGAGCCCAGCGAGATGCACCGACGGAAGTACAGGCGAATGAAGGAGGTGAGATTTACTAAGGACAACAATAATGATTAAGATACGTAGCGCTGGATTCAGGCTCTGGAGATGGAGCAAAGTTCGAAGTTCATGTGTATTGTTGCTAGTTTTATTTAAGCTATGCTATCTGTTATGATCTTTAAGTGATCTCTAGTTATCTAGTTCTATTCTAATATCCATTATTCCCCCTCAGACCTGGAACCAGCCCGTGGACTCGAATGTCTATCAATTTATGACCACCGTCTCGATGCCCATCTACGACCGACGCGAGAACGCGGTAAGTGTGAATCAATGCAAGTGCCTTTCGTGGTGTTCCCTGGCACCGGGGTACCCGGAGTATTCATATATATTCTATATTGAATCGAACTCTATCAAGCGAGTTAGCACTGCAAAATTCTTAGCGGAAATGAAAGAAAGAAAACTGAAATCAGAATCAGCAGCCGCCCCCAAACTCATTAACGATCGAAGCAAGAAATCGAAATACAGCAAAACCAATCTGAATCTATCTATGTAACAACTCACTTTATACTACTACTACTACTACTACTGTATTAATAATTTATGCGTTATATATATAACACGATACTTACTACCTACTACTACTACTACTACTATCAAACTATACACAACTATATACCACAGAATATCACCGAAGAAGTTTTAATAAATGAAGCACTCTGGGAATTGCAAACACGTGAGGTACAAACTATAATGCCAAATTCTAACAAATAACAATCGATTCAAAACTTAATAAATTTCGAACGAAATTCTTGCGTATAACGTATTTAATGCTCTTGATGAAGTTTAATATATACGCCAATTAATTGCATATCGTATTGAGCTCTCTATACTCGTATATATATTATCCGTATATATATCAAAAATATAAAGTAAACAATTTGTTATACTTTGCGCTACATACATGCATACCTAATCCATATTTAACCGATATATACTATAACTAACTACTATAACTCGTACTATATAAAACTAGCTAATGTGGTCTAGGACCATGGCATTCTTTAGCAACCTTTGACATTATAGTTGACCACGTACTGGGTTCGATACCAATATCCAAATCCAAATCCAAATCTGAATCCAAATCGAAATCCAAATCCAACGTATTCTCATGTAACAATAACGAAATCTATTCGAATTGGTCCAGTATTTAACGATAACTAGCTATATTGATTTTCTCTATATATAAATATAAATATAACCGTAACCGTTACCGTAACCGTACTCGTACCATTATAATAATTACTATTATAACAAATTATCGAATTATAGCTATGCCTAGTTGATTACTTAACGTATATACATAGAACATTTTATCTAGCATTTTGAAGTAGTAGAATTTACCATTTGTTGTTTTCACTAAGAAAGATTTGGTTGAGCCGCGATCGACTAGACTCTACATATATAAATATACTATATATAATATATATATATATATTGAAAATAGCGCTAATTGGTAGCCCCAAACCCGTCCCCCCTTTCCCCCTAACAAACAAATGTTAGAAGCCCATTGATGTTTAGTAAGTAAAATGCCACATTGATCTAAAATCGGAGAAACCCTAGGCTGCTGCAGCTGCTGAGGACCTATAGAGCACACAAGAAAAACAACCACAACAGATCAATTTCAATATATAAATATAAAAAAATATATGTAAACCAAGAACACATCTCATCCCGATTCCGATTCCAATTCCGATGGAGTTTTTATACCCTTCTGATGGACAGGACCAATCCAGACCAATCAAGGGCAGATCAGATCAGATTGAATAGGATCAGGACCCTTAAACGCACCCCGCCGCGCTTCCCGCTCACCGACACCAACGCCACCACGCCTCCAGTTCCACCCGCCCCTAGAATAACCCTACTTAAGTTTGCTTTCGTTCCTAGAAATTGATTTATTAAATACTACAAATACGAATTCACAGCTCATTAATCTAACGACCGATATAAATCCGGCTGCGAAAATAAACCTTCAAGTTGTGAGTAAATTGTATCTAAATCAAAACTTCCCAAAAAAAAAACAAACAACTGCAAATTCTAATTCTAATGCAAAATGCAAAAGCCTAAATAAAAATTCTTTCCAAAATGTTATCACTTTTGTTTGTCGCTCTGAGCCGCATGTGTGACTTGATCAAAAATTTGTTTCTTGCTTTTGAGTTCCACCTGATTTCCTTCCAGCACCCACAATTTTTTCGAATTCTTAATTTCTATTTTCATTTTCGATTTGTGTAATGCCTAATTCCGAGCCACCACCCCGAATCCATGGCCTTATGATTTCCTAGCCTGTCCGACCAAGTGCTTGGTACTAACCCCGAATGATTTATCTCTGCAATCCTAGTTTAAGACTCTCTCCGGCACTTTCTCTCACTCACTCTCTCTCTCTCTACCTGTATCTCTGTGTGTGTGTAAAGCTTCGCTAAAAGGACACTTTAAAATTGCCAAATACTGCTCCATAAGAAAAACTCAACGATCTTGGATCGAATCCTTTTGTCTGTTGCTCCTCTCTGTAACTCTTTCTCTCCCACAAACGGGGATTCCCCTGTGGATTCCCTGCCTCAAAATGAAACCCAAAATATGATTATGTGAAGGGTATAAAAACTGTACACTGTGCACTCTATACACCAAGACACCAACAACGCAAACAGACAAGCACAACTGTACTTTCTTCGCGAAGAAAGGCCCCTCTACACGTGTAAAACAGCTTCTTTCACATATTTTGTGTTTGAAATCTTTTCCTTACAGTTTTTTTTTATTTTTACAAGATAATTGTACTTTATATTCCGTCTATTTCTGTCGCTGATTTATTGTCTTTCGATCCTAATACACAAGTTAATTACTATATTTCATACACACACACACACTGCCTCCGTACTCATACGCTCTTAGTACTACTCTGCTAGCCATGTAATTAGCCGCTAAAATACAGAAAAAAACCGCTTTAACTAAATTCTTTGTAAACATCAATACAAGAAAACAAAAGGCAAACCAAAAAAAAAAAAAAAAAAAAAAAAACTAAAAATAAATCTTTGAAATCGACTTTCTTGACTGTACTCGTAAGTTCTTGCGTAGTAAACGATGCTTCTCATATTTGCATTCGACATTGTTTCCTTTTTTGATTTCCATCTTTGTATTTTCCTTTGAGATGCCCTAAGGCGTTTTGTACTAGCAATGCCATTTATCGAATTCAAATTTCAAATTCATTTTTCAGTATTTGATTAACATGCAAATCCAATTACCATTAACTACAAATTCTCTGTACTTGTAAACATTTAAAGTCCAACTTGTGTATATGTTTCGTTTCCACTCACTTGACCCCACTTGACCCTCTAAATATATCTCAAAATATATCTTCGCACGCACAGACAAGAATTGCCAACATCCTGGGCGTGGCCGGCACGGATGTGCCCATCAATGAAATAAAGAAGCTGCTGTCGCCGTTCACGGTAAGTTTATATATTTTAAGCTATATATATGTATACCTAATATTAATATATATATTTATTGTTTCCATAGCTTGGCGTGAATGGCTATGCGTTTATAGTAACCAACAACGGTTATATACTATTCCATCCAGACTTTCGTCCAATTGTAAGATGATGTGCTTAGTCCCCTTACAATTTCTGACTAACCTATTTAATTTATTTCAGTTCCAAGGCTACATTTTGAAGCCTTCGTACAATAGCGTTGACATGATTGAAGTCGAGCTGTTGGATGACGATCGACCCGCCAGAGACTTCAATCCAGTGCTGATGACGGTGGGGATCTTTTAAAAATAATAATAAACCTGAACAAGGAGCTTATTTTGGTCATATTTATTTATCGTAACAGATAAGAGATTCTATAATCAATCAATCAACAGGCAGCAAATGGATGTTGGTCAAGAATCATTTCGATGAAATGGTAAGTCATATTTTGAATACTTTTCATTTTTATAGTTTTAAACAAAAAGAAACTTGTCAAATATACAAAAAAATACACTAGGTGTTCGACAAATTACTAATGCTTTTAAAATCCTAAACAAGGTATTTACAACTATAAAGTGTAATTTTTAAGGCACGGGAATCAGTATACATTTTGCGATATTAAATTATTGAGCCAAATTTTTGAAAACTTTCTAGGGGTTGTGAAAGTCTCTACCAGTTTATTTAGGTTTATATGAGTTTTCAGAAGTTTATAAACCCAATTAACTTCCTAAATAGTATAAGAGAGAAGCCGTTTCAATATAATTTAAGTTTGTTAACCTTCGAAATCCTTACAGAAACGGGTAACTCGCATAAAACGTCAATATTACTGGACGGCCATCAAGAAGACACCTTTCACTCTGGTCATTTCCTATCCGGAGCAGTATGGTGTCAGCCGCTTGGACATTCGTACCGATCAGGAAATCCATCGCATGAATGTCGAAGGCACAAATTTGCGCAGCTTTTTTGCTGGCAAGAAATGGAAAATCCACCCAGATTGGTAAGTAACTCTATCTATATATCTTTTATATATGTATCTAACAAGATTTGTGTAACATTCCAGGCTATTCTGCAAGCACAGCAACAGGACATTCAAGACGCCAGAGATCGAACTCCTGTACTTTCTCGAGCGCATGTCTGAGCCTGGCTGGCGATGGCCGGGAAGCCGTAGTGCTATGCCCCCAGAGCACGCAGCCGCCATGTTCTGTAAGTATCTAGGACCCGAGTACAGTCTGTCCCAAGCCAAAACCTATATTTTCGATACTCAAATCGATTTCGCTTCGATAAGCAGCCGCTTTCCCAGACTCTGTTATGCGTTTTGTGTTCGATGTTCTTCCGTTTTTCTTTTGTACGGCTAGAAATGCGAAAATTACGATTGCGATTTCAATGTTCATGCAAATTCACAGCTAACAACTCATCAACTGGCCGCTATCCATCAATCAATGAAAAAGAAAGCTACTATTGTGAGTAACGAAAGTCAAAAGTCATCACAGTCACAGTCACATAGTTGTGTGCACCCAACCCATTAATATCCAAAAGCACTTTCAGTAGCACTTTCAGTACTCCTCGACCTCAGCACCTGCACAGGGGATATTTATGTAGTGTGATCCTAACTCAAATGAAATATCATAATTTTGAGTGGAAATTCACCTGGGAATGGTCTGAATTTCTCCTAAATATTATATTATACATAATATTACATGATTTTTGAAGCAAGTGCGTTGTGAAGTCCTATTCCACTTAGAAAGTAGAAGAAGTGGAACAGTATTTATATTCTTCTGAAACCATTTGGAATTATAGTTCTGGGAAATAATACCAAATGGATTGGGCCAGTTCAAAACTATAATTGTAATCTTAAATTCCAAACACAAGTATGATTATCACGTAGTTTATTGACTTACTCCGTAGTTAGCTGAGGAATTTGGACACTTAAATCGTTGTTGCATGTCACGAAGGACTTATAGGTCCCTCACATCAATGCCAATAAACTTTGTGTAACCAAAATGAAATGTTCTAAAGCAAGTTATGCTATTGCGACTACTACTTAGCCATGTTCTTGGCCCGATTTGATGATATTCTTTGGCTTTCAGGCGATCGGCAGCTGATGCAGGCCCTGGTCTTTGATGCCCATGCCACCGACTGGTACGCCAACACCACCAGCTTCATGGAGGACAAGATCACGTAAGTAACGTTTGCGACTCGATCCGGGATATATGGCCATGATAGGCTTGACTTGGCAGACACCTCCAGTACAGTCAACGCCATGGCAGCACATATTAACCATTTTTTATTTCTGTGTACGCCCTTCTTTTTCTCACTTTTATTTGCATTTTATACCGATTCTTTGTGTCGTCCTCCCCGTTGCTGTCGTTTAATGTCTTTCTCATATTGAATTTTTGCACCCACAACAACTCGCCAACTACTTTAAATATATATCTATATATATGTGTGAACTCTTGAATATCTATTGAACTCTTGATACCACAAAACATAATGCCTCTCCATTATGAAATACAAAACCATTCACGAATCTAGCACAAGCGCATCAAGCCCAATAGCCGTTCTAATGGGTTTGCTGCCAAGGTAAAAACAAACAGTAAACTTCGATACTCAATCGTGTTAACTAGTCTAAGTTTTATATTTAAATATATAATTTTTTTTCAATTAAAATATCTTAATTCCTTCGTGGTGTTAACATTTCTATCTGTTCTGTGCACAGGCACGAGTTCAAGCAGCGATTCGGAGTCACTGTTGCCTTCCTGGCCACCCACAGCGGCCTCACCCGCTGGCATGAGTTTCACTCAAACAATGCCGAAGAATCTGGAGCCGGGTGAGTCCTGAAAACCTGCTAAGAAAATCTCCACGGGTATGTGATATATATCTATATTAATATATCTTGCAGCGAGACCTTCAGCAAAAACAACACGCGGGCCATCGACGAGATTTGGTATAAGCGGGCCGTTGACCAGCATTTTGTGAGGGAAGAAAGCTTTGTCTACTCGGTGCCCTTCGATGCGGGTGGTGAGTTGATATCAGATATATAATCAATTGAAATATCAATTAAAAGATGCCCAGGGTGTAACAGAAAACCAAGCTTAAATACTATACTTTGGAGACATTGATAATGTATAAACTTGTTTGTAACCTTTCCATAACTCCATCTGCAGAGAGCAATTCGGAGATCCTGGTCACGGCCAGTCATGCCGTCTTCCACAGCGAAGGGGGCAAGTCAGCACCTGCTGCAGTTGTTGGCTTCCAGTTTCAACACTCGGCGCTCTACAAACTCTTCCACAACATCACCGGCAATGTGAGTATACCAAAGACATTATAATACCAAGATGCCTCACGCACCTACATTTCAAAGGCATTATTAAATTCATCTGTTATTGTTAACTTTATACCTTTATAGGCCTGTGCCGTGGATGACAAAGACTGCTATATACTGGACAACAATGGCTATGTGGTCATCTCCACGCGCGTCCATGAGACGGGTAGATTCTTTGGCGAGGTGAACGGACCGATTATGAAGCGGCTGCTGGAGGAGAATGTGTACAGGCGGGTGGTGGTCTACGATTACCAGGCGGTCTGCTTCGAGTCCAAGAATGACAACAATGCCTCAAGCATGCTGCTATCGGTAGGATGAAATTGATTGATTTAACTTCTATATCGAACCTCCATAAACCAAAGAGCGTCCTCTACACTAGAGATATGTACTAATGATACCTTTTTCCAGCCACTTTTCCATCTACTGCGCGTGGGCAAATGGCTGCTGCATACGGCGCTGTGGTATATTGTACAACTGTTGCAGTGGGCGCCCGGAGTGTCCAGCCACTATGCGGACATGTACGGCGACTCCAATGACACAGAGCCACCGCCACCGCCGCCCCCAGAGCCGGAGCGCCATGCCCATGGCAATGGCAATGGGGGCATGGGAAGAAGAACGATGATGATCACTGGCTGCGGTATCTAACGCTCCACAGGACGCGGCTCAAGCCCTGCGACATGCAGCGTGAACTGTACACGCTATTTAACGAGAAGGACAACGTTGTCTACAATATGACAGCCCATGCATGTGAGCGGCCATTTGTCGTCCTGCCCATTCCGTTGAGCAACCTCATCTTGCTGGTCATTGACCAGCTGTGTCCGCGGGACGCCACGCTCGTCCTGACGGTAAATCCGCAGCACATCGACTACCACCTGTCGATCAATGACTCGCTGGCCTGCTTCAAGCAGGCCCGAGAGTTCAATCGCGTGCGACCCCAGAGCTGCATCAGTCGGCATGCGAATGTAAGTCATTTTGGTATTTATATGGCAAGAAGCTGGCTTAGTTTTATAAATATAATATTTAATGAACTTCAACTAGCTCTTTCCGCCTCCTATTTCCGCTTAAATCCTTTCCCAACCTAAACAAAATCTAATATATAATTTAATCCTCAAAATTTCGTTTACAATTTCCAGGAGAGCAGCATCAAGCTGTGCGGCAAGGCCTGCTCCGTGTACGCAAATCTGGGGCTCCTGCTCCTCTGCCACATACTGAGTCGCTGGCTGTAACGTCGGCCCACAATGGGATTAGCTTAAATCTAGGCAATATACATATATACACATATATGTTTTTGTATTATATACGGTAGAGCCATCCGAAGGGAGATGGAGATTTTTTACTCTAACGCTTGAGCGCAGTTCAATATTTTTCGGTCACCTAGAGAAACTTTTCCAAATTAGTCCTTAAGTAGCTAAATACAAGTATCCGTTTCGACCTCTGCGTTTGCTGTTGAGAGCGGAACAACACAGTGAACAACGGGCAGTGTGTGCCGCCGGTGGGCTGGGCTCATTGTGTAGACCTTCCAATAGACAGGACAGAATATATATATTATATATGTATTTATTGTGTACATGAAACTGAAACAAAAATTCCAACAACGGCCTTAAACGACTCGCAACCAGAGCAGATAAGCTGAAATAAGCCCACAGCCCAGCGAGGTGACTAAAGTTATGGCACACACTGTACCATCATAAATGCCGACTACTGCCCATGGTTATGTGTGTGAATGTGTGTGTAATAGTGTGGGCGTGAATGTGTGCAGGTGTGTGGTGTGAGGTGTGAGGTGTGCATGTTAATCCTAATCTAAGATGGCCACATTTGTAAGTAACACTTAGCTACGAGTTTATGTTTAAAGAACGGATCAAGGAAACCTATCGATGGTGTAAAGGCGATGAATGAATAATGGAACCATTTAATTATATATATACACACAGAAACACACACACACATTATATACGATATATATATATACCTACGAGTACTAACGCCCAGTACCAACCAACCATACATGCTAACTAATTTAAGTAGCTTTTGTATATTTGCTTAGCTTAGCCCGGCGATAAACCGAAACCGAAACTAACCGAAACAGAAAAGTTCAGCCTTGGAGAAAACTACATACTTTTATAGACAAATTCGTTAAATGGGATGGGAAACCACTAAGACAGAAATCGAAACCAAATCTAAACGCATTGTTTTTATATACACTGATGATGACGATACCTAGCATTACCCACAAGTACCTACATATTTGAGAAGAAACTAAAAACAAAAGACAAAGGAACAAAAAACAAACAAACAAAAAATGATAAATCAACTTTTTATTACTTAAAAAAAATACTACTTGATACGAGCCACAGAACTGAGCCGAGAACGGAGACGATTGAGTAATAAAAAACAAGCAAGTAAACAGCATCTAGTGACTAAATTATTATTAATACTACAATTAAACATTGACTAGTTGAAATTTATACCAAGACAAACTCGAATGACATCTTCTTAAAGGCAAAACTCTCAGCCGAGGGATAGAGAGGATCTCCGGAGCAGAACTTGCTAAGCTTTAGCCCCCCTATGTCGCCCATGGTAGTGTAATCAACTTGTGCCATTCGAACTGCCTAGAATTTGTTATTAACTATTTAATACTAAAACTCATTACGCGTTTTTTAGATGCGACTAACCACAGAACTCTGTTAATCCTCTCGCAGGTTGTTTCCATTCCTTATTCATTTTGTATATTCAGATTGACGATGATATATAGTAGGGTAACGAACGAAAGCGAATATCAAACTTATACCAAGCCTGCGCCTGCATGCCTATACACCGATCTCAATACTCAAATTTAAACTGCAACTTCTCCTCACGAACAAAATGAAACAAATACGGAACGAAAATAAAGGGAAATACCAAATACACACTCGCTGGCAGCCACAATTGTACTACATTACATAAACATATTTCAAATTCAATCAAATACAAGTAAAAACCATTTGTCTAATGTGCTAAAAGAAGAAACTGATAATAAACACAAAATAATTTCGAAATCCAACCAACTGTTTTTTATCTTCTCTTGGCGGGAGGCTTATACGTTGCTTGTACATTGCAGACAATGCAAAATCAAGGGTATTCCTAAGAGCAAAAGACAAAACAGTATTTAAAACAATATTTGTCGTACATCAACATATGATCAGAAATAAAAAGCCATTGGAATTTTCCTTTTCGACATAATCTTTATGCTTAACAATTTATTTTAACACAAGTTTATAGTATTTTACACACCTTTCATCGTATTACAAAATGTCTTACACTTATAATTAAAATCTAAATTAGCTAAATGACGAGTTCTGATTTCTTTTTTGTCCAATTTTTCGGTTTTCTGTTAATGTGTTTTCTTTTCAGTAGTTGCCAGTTCGTAGAAACATAAATGGGTAATCCGATTTTATGCCTCATCTTTTAGCTCGTTCATATGTAAGTATGGTTCTACATAATCATATATCATATGTATAGCAGTGACATCTATATAATTCGCGTATCATGTATGTCTGTGCTGCATGCAAACAAAATGGTAAACGTATTTTACAAGACGCAAGATGTAAAAAATAAAAAGATTGAAGATTAAGATAGATTAGAATATTAAATGAAGTCTCTCTCTTTTCTTAAAAATCTCAATTCACAAAAGTAAACGTCAGGAATTAACGATCGATATGACAAAATCATAAAGAGTGCGAAAGTGGCCCTTGTTTTTAGAAAATAGTTGGCCTCGCTTAGGTTGAGTAGTCAACGGCTCCGCTGCCATTCTGTTGCATCCGGACCGATCGTCGTCGCGTCAGGATGCGAGCCGGTGTTCCTGGGGTTGCTGCATCGCTGGCGTCGGCTGGTACTCCTGCTACTCCCACAACCGTTCCCGATTCCCCGCTAGTTGTCCCCGCAGGGGCTGCCTCCTCGCTGGCCATTCCCGTCGGCACCGAATTGTCCAAGATCAATGGGACAGCTACAGCAGATGTTACTGCTGCCGTCACTGCCTGATGCTCTTCCTCTAGTTGGGAGTTGCGTCGCGTGGCTAGGCCTCGGAGCTTAGACTTCTTGGGCGGCAGAGTTCGTGGAGCGCTCACTTCCCTAATGGGCGCCGGTTCATCAACACTATAGCTCACTGCGGTTGGCACCAAAGGCGCTGGCGCAGGTTCCTCCTCATAATTCCGTTTGCGTGCCAATCGCGCTGCATTTCCGTTGCCATTACTTCCCTCATCCGCTGGCGGTGAATGTTCTCCGCTCCCGCTCTGATCGTTGTTGTTGCTGCTGGAACCATTGTTAAGTTCTGGATTCGAAGGTTTGCTCGCCAAACAGGTGTTCTCATCAATTGTCTCCAGGGTGGTGGGTATCGTCTTGTTGCTGCTTCCATTGGTTGCCGCCATGGCAACAGCCTCGTCCTTGGTGTTTGGCGCCTGCTTAAGCTGAGAGTTCTCCTTCTCAAGTGCTTGGATGCGATCGCGTGTGGTCTTCAGTTCTTGCTGCAGAAACAGAATGGTGCTCTGCATGCCCTCAACATCCTCGTCCAATTCCTGTAGAAAGTCATCAAGCTCTGAAAGTTGAAGAGATGTATTTAAATGGGATCCTTGGAAAGCTTCAAGCTACTGAGTTCAACCTACCCGACTGCGACTTCTTAACCTCCTCGCTGAAGCTCTTCTGCATGGCCAATTCCGTTTCTAGCTTGGCAAGTCGGCCATTAGAGGTCATCTTGCCTAGTTCCTCGTTTTCCTGGTAGAGCAATCGGCACTTGGCCATTAGACGCTTGCCGGTGTTGGAGTCAGGTGTAAATTTCCAGGCGGACAGCTCATTCTGGGTCTCCTCCAGCTTGGCCTTGGTGGCCTTCAGTTCCTTTTTGAGGCGTTCGAATAGGAGATTGACCGCTGGATCGAGAAGGGCGGTGCGCAAGGCCAAAGCAGTGGGCGCCTGCTGGGCCTTGTACTCGGCGATTTGGCTCTGAAAGCGGTTGGGAAATCATTAATCTTTGAGAAATGGAGGAAAAGTATGGAAAAACGGACCACATAGTCCTGGAATTCCTGCTCCTTGTTCGCCAGCCGCCGCATAAGGATCTTCTCGCGGCGCAGAGCGTCGGCGCATTGCTGACCCATGCGGACATGATCCAGCTTGAGATTCTCGATCTCATCTGTGAAGCGAAGCGGAAGAGATAGGTCAGATAAGTTTGGTTTATTGAACGGATCTGTTGATTTTCCACTCTGTTTTCGTTTGTTTTTATTTTTTTTCCACGACATTTATTATTTATTTATATTACAAGTTCGTTAAATGGGCAAATTGTGTGTTTTTTTAAGGTGGAACTTAATACGAAATCATACCAATGCTTTGCAATCATTCGTGTAAGTTCGTGACATGGTCGGTGGCAAACGCTGCTGCTGCTTCCTCCCGTCGTCAATCTCTGGCCGATTCTGATTTTGATTCTGATTCGATGCTTCGTTGGTCACGGGGGGCGGCATTGGCAACGACATTACAACAACCACTACTTGAACTTGGACACGATTTCTTCATTGGCTTCGCCAACTTCAATAACTCTGGCACTTCTTCTTGAACCACAACACCCGCACCTGCACCAGCACCACCTGCACCTGCTATCCCGGACTCTCGAAGGCTGGGGATGCTTTGGGGGGATGCGTTTTCATTTTGATTTCTTGCATTTGCAGCAATTGCATTTGCATTGGCATTGACATTGAACTGAATAGCATTGCGTTTGATAATTCCATTTCGATTTCGATTAAATGCTGATTTAAATTGAATTTTCCCGGCATTTTTGCTACGCTTTTTGCTTTCGCTTTGCTTTTTGCTTGCACTGTGGGGATAGACAACGAGACAACGACAAACTGGTGATTTTTGTGGCAAAAACAGAAAATATATTTTTGAAAAACACTTGCAAAAAACTCGACGCACACACTGCAACAGGGAAACTCGACTCGACTCGACTTCAAAAAGCTGGTGCTGGGAGAACTTTGGAAAAGCTCTGCATTTCCCCTGCTCGCTATTATATACATTTAGCTTTAGCTTTTTGACATTTTTAGCATTTTCGAACACTCTTTTGTCATACAAAAAGTTTATTGACTTTGTATTTGTTGCATTTTTGATGGCTTTTTTTTATGGCTTTTGCCGTTTGCTTTTTCTTCATTTCGTTGTGCAAACACGTATTTTGATTTGAACAAGTAAATAATTATTTATGTATGCAATGGCGTTTTATTTGGGCGAAGCAAACAAATGTGTGTTTGTGCGGATGTGTGTATCTATGTGCTCCACATTAGATGTTAATTGATAAATTGTAGACCTATTAAACGTCCATTAATCAATTAAAAGGGCTTTTACCTAACTTATGAGGACTGTTAAATAATCGCACTTTATTGTGCTTGGCTTATCTTATCACACTTACAATCGCACACATACATTTATGAGCTTTTGGCGCCTTTTTATGTATATTTATTTTTTATTTTTTGCTTGGGAATGCACTGCAAAGTTCTTTCACTCTTTCACTTGTATTTGGAACTGAAAAATAATTGCGATTTATTTTCTCTCTTCGGTTATACACACTGGCACTTGTTATAAACTTTCTGTTGGTTATTTATTATTATTTTTCTGGATATTTTTGTTGACGTCGACGCAAAGAGAGAAAGAGAGACAGAGAGGGAAAAATAGAGGGGGCCAAGAGAAAAAGGTATATGGGGGGACAGGCGGTGGGTGCAGAGACACGTTGGCTCTCCGCTTCTCTAATTCTCCTCTCTGCTTCCCCTTCTTCTTCTTCTTCCTCTGGCACGTAGGCAAAACGAAAAGTGGTCGGTCGCAAAACGAAAACTGTACACAGCGCAGAAGACAACGACGGCGACGACGGAAAGACGAGAAGACGAAGACATTTGAAACCTTAGCTTTTAGGTTTTTTCTTTCTTTTTTGTATAAATTAAGCTGATTTAGGCTCTTTTTATATTTTACGCTTTCTAAGCTTGTTATTATACCCTAAGCTGGGCAAGATTTGCATTAAACAATTTCTTATAGGATTTATTGGATATATTAACTGATTACTTGGTGTTACAAAGCTTTATTTTGTGTATCATTTAATTTCATTTCTGATAGTTTATTTTGCACAGCACTACACACACTTCTTTATAGCTTTAACTTTGATTTTGTAGTTCTTTTTATGATATTCAATTATAACTCAATTTTTATATTTTCATAACTTCGTTTTAGTTGTCCATTTGCAGCACGTTCACACTTTTATTAATATTAAGATAGGGTTAGAAAAAAATGAACTTAAAATACAACCAAAAAACGCCGCTGAAATAATGTTCGTTAAAAGAGTGTTCGCTTCGATTCGATTTGTTCAGATTCACACACGTGTGGAGTTCTTTACCGAGTGTTTTTCATAAACAATTTTCAATTGCACAGCAGAATCCCAAGGTGTTTGTTATGTTTTGATTTAGACAGTGAATAAACGAAAGCAACTAAGGGAGTATTTTTTTATATAATTTATACAATTTATACACAACAGAGTTTCAAGAAACACACTTTCGTTTAGTTTGGTATCTGGTTATTGCATGTATGTAGTATATAGGGGGGAGTATACCGATCAGATGATCTCTGTGATCACTGATGGCTGTTTTTGTGTACCAAAATATGCATAATACCTTCGAGCAAGCGTTGGCGTTGTTCGGCGGCTGCAACAGCCTCTGCAACAGCTGCATGTTGCTGCTGCTGCTGTTGTTGTTGCTGCTGCTGCTGCTGTTGCTGCTGTTGTTGTTGCTGCTGCTGTTGCTGCTGCTGATCCTGGCTCTGATTGTGATGGTGATGATGATGCGGATGATGGTGGTGATGATGGTGCTGCTGCTGCTGCTGCGACGACTCCTCGGGGCCAGAGGGCGTGGGGGAGGCGGGACCGGAACTGGCCACGCCACCAACAACGCCACCGCCTACGCCGCTTTGGCTGCTATTTAGGATATTCAGATTTTGCTCGTATTTGGTCGGGGGCATTTTATCGTAACTGTTCATCAAGGGTCTTTGATCGTCCATAGTCATTGCAGCGACACTCATAACTCGGTTTAAAACGCTCCCTTTCTAGTAGCTGCTGTTGTTGTTCTTGGTCCTTTGCTGGCGTTGTTACTGTTGTTTTTCATGTGGGCTGAGAAAAACACACTCGCTCGCTCTCGCTTGCACACAATCACTCGCTCTCTCTCGCTCACACGCTGTGCGCGCGCTCTCACCAATACCAGTGGGGCCTCTGGGCACACACCAGCAAGCTCACACACACAGAAGCACTCTTTCCAATGGCGACGCGATGGGTACTATTTTTGCAAACGCTGATTTCACGTACTTTGCGCACTAGCTTAAAGCTAATTTAATGATTTATCGCTGGATTGTTCTTTGATTTACACTTTTTCAATATATTCAGGCGGTTGGTGGCACTCTTACGGCGTTATTTCTCTATTTTTCACCGCTGCGATGCAGCCAAGCTGAAATTTCACGTTCGGTGCTGCTAACTCTTGTGCGGAAACCAATATGGCGACCTGGTCGGGCAGTACGCTGCCGAAAATCCCAAAAAATTAGTGTTTGAAAGTGCCGTGAAATAATAATAAATTATAATTCATTTTAAATTAATGTGAATTGTGTGAAGTTTTTGAAATATTAATAGCTTTCTCTGAAATATAAGGAACGCGTTTTATCAACGTTTATAATTGTTTATTCAGATGGAATATATTGCCAAACCATTTTAAAAACAACAATAAATAACATTTTTTTTGTTTATGATTTTGTGTAAATTTTCTTTAAATTTGAACTTTAAAAAGTTAAAAACATTTTCTTTCTTGACGTTATTAAACTCTCGAGAGCTGGTCACACTGACCATTGTTATTGTTTTCGCTGGTAAACATGGCCGAATCGAATCTTCAGGTAAAATTGGAGCAGCAAAACATCAAGGAACGTCTGAATCTGCATGTAAAGCGACGCCTGCAACAGGATGCGGAGATTCCTATTGAAAGTCCGGAGCTATTGCCAGGAGACTCAAGCATAGCCACAAGTTCGAAGCGCAGCAAGGGAAAAGAGGTTCCAAAACAACGAAAGCCCTATCAAAAACGGACGGAAAAGGCCAAGACGGAGACTGCAAAGTATAAAAAGGGTAAGGATTTAGTTGATTATAATATGATTACATCAATTGACATTTATTTATTACAGGTGTACAGCTTGGCAGTCCAGCGGCGGAAGTTGAGCCCTTGGACGACCAGGAGCCGGAGGGCTGTTCTCCGGAGGCGTCGGATGTGAAACCCTCAAGCAGGGATCGTTACAAAAACTCCGACATACTCAATATGGTGTTGAGCGTTAAAAAACGGGCTCTAATGCAGGACCCCGAGGTTCAGGCATTTTGGTCCCAAATAATGACGGCCATAAAGAGTTGATGCTGTTCTTTAACATGTTTTAGTTAATCTGTAAGTTGTTAAATAAAACGGTATTTTAAATGTTCCTTACGGTGCCTAGACTGTCGATTTCATCTAAAACAAGACTTATGTATAACAGAAGTGTTTTAAATATTGAATCTAATTTGATTTTGTTTTTAAAAACGAGTAATTACTTTTATTATTAAAAGTAGCTTTTTAAAAGCATATGGTTTTTGAGAGAAATTATAATTCGAAAATATTGATTCCTAAAACTGTGCTTTAAGCCCTAAGCTTTTCTAGGTATAATTATTTATTCAAGTAAGTCTAAATTAAATTTAAAATTTATAGATCTTCCGTCTTAAAAGTATAAAAAGAGGTGATGCCAAAAGCTGATTTTTAAACCACTGGAGACTCCTACGTCACCCTGGAGAATATATGCTTCAAAATTTCTGGAACTGCTATGTTCATTTGTGCGCAGTCTCGCTCTCTAGTTTTCTCTTGAGATCTCGCCGGCCGCCTGCGGACAGCTGCGAAGCACAGTTGCCAATTTAGCTTTTGCTACGGTTTACTATAAGTTAGCGATTTAAAGTTCAAATCTTTTAAAAGTCCCACTCTCATTTTTAACAATTTTGTCTTTAATGGAATTTAGAATTCTTAATTTTTGATAATCTAATAATTTTTAACTGGAATTCCTGTCTTAAAAAAAACATATCCCAGAGTTTTTGAAAAAATGTTAAAATCGGCAAAGCTATAATTTTTAATAAAAAATGTTCCTATTGTTCCTATGGAAACTATATAGTCAACAAATTTGACCGTTTCATCGTACATATTAATTAGAATATAAAAAAAAACTTTGGTAAATAATTGTTGGCTTGTTATAGCTGTTTTCCAATGCTAGGATAGCTAGCCGTACAGCCGTACAGCCGTAGCTACCCGTACAGCTGACAGCACTGCTGCGGACTCGGATTCGGATTCGCGGAGCAGAAAGAATTTCAACGTGTTTGGGGTTGCAACGCGCCGCGTGACCGCTTCAGAGTCCACGAAAAAGGAAATCCTTTGCCATAATACCGAGCACTGTCTCCAAATTCGGTTGTGTGACGATTAAAAAAAAGGTAGTTGTCGAATTATATCGGGAGGAAAGTGAATAAAAATCGCGATTCTGGGCACATCGGGTAATTAAGCCGTGTTAGATAATCCCGTTTTTGTGGCGCGATTCGGTATCGATTCAACTTTTTTTCGTTTGGTTTTCTCGGAAGGGCGCTCTCTCTGTCTCTCTCATTCTCTTTCCCTGCTCTTGCCACCCCCTCTGTCCCTCACTCTCTCTACTCCTCATTCTCTGACTATTTTCTCCCCGTTTCTCTCAGTCGCTTTGACTTTGTGCTTCGTCCTTGCGAGAGAATTTGCACTGAAATCGCACCCACCGCTGCCGCGACCACCCCCGTGAGAACCCCCCCCCCACAACCCCTTTTCGGTGAGCCCTTCGCATCCGCTTTTCTTTTCGCTTTCAACTGTTTCGGGGTCTTTTCATTTCCACACTTTGGTGTCATCAGCTTGAAATAGTTCGAGAGCCAGGCGAATTCGTCAGTCCAGCAGCTCCACTCTTACGTAAATAAATAAATGAAAATCGTTTCAAAATGCAGACTATTATTTAAAGAACTGAAAATTAAAGAAAAGAAGTTACCGACGTGGGGAAAGGGGGTTCTTGTATTATATAATAGCAAAAGTAAAAGTGAAAAGTGACTTCAAAACAATGGAGAATCAGAGTGCATAAGTGATTACCAAACAACTTGGAGAGTGAAAGGACTTTAAAGAAATAGTTACAGAAAAATAATAATAACCAATAATTATAGATAAAAATAAAACAAATAGACCTTAACCTTCAACATTTAAGGCTTAACAAATATCTAAATAGCTAAGCCCGCAAAAGAGCCAAACGGGAATCCTTTAATCCTCGAGGTCTTCTGCTGTGCTGCATTACACAACGAAAGTGCAGACCCAACCCCCGTGACAAGTTACCTGTTCTGCCACCTGAGCGACTTTTTCATGCCACTTGTTCTACTCATTTTTTGTTCGTTCCCTCGCCCGTTCGTTCTTTCTTTTTCCTTTTTTTAATGGCTAAATCGATATGCCTGCCAGTTTCGTGTTTCTGCCAATTGTCTGACTATTACATAATAACAAAGGAAAAGCGCCCGAAGAAAAGCCCCTGGCAGGAAGGGAACTCACAGCGTTTCCCACAGGAAATGCCAAAAGACGGCGACAGTTGATAACAAAAACAAAAAAAAAAAAAGGAAAAGACTAAAGGAAAAGTGGGAGGCACTGAACTAGGTCAGGTATTGGATTTCCCGAGTGGGAGTTACTGCAGAAATGAGACAGAGTGTTGCATGCCTGGCAACATGCAACTACTGCACATCAGATATTTATGGGGGAATCACATAAAATAGTGCCACTCAATCAAGTTACCATTCCGATTTTCCATTTCCCCTCCTTAATATACATATATATATGTACATGTATAAACTGTCAATTTGAACTCTTCCGTTCCGCCTGTCAGTTGTTGTGATTGAGTGAGTGGCCGACATGACAACGGCCCCTTGACTACCATATTGATTGGCTTTTCATTCGCCAGTTCCAGCCATCTTACGTATGTAGGAGCATGGACATACACAGCCACACCAACTGTGTGTGTGTGTGCCAGAAACCCAAATTTGCTGGGTAGAACGGGGCGTATGCGTAATATTTCTTACTCTGATCTGTCCAACTGCAGTCAGTGCTCTAGAATCTAGCATTTGATGGGCCTCCAGTGCATTGCACTCCAGCCGATTACGTGCTCCATATTAGAGGGATCAGTGGGGTCCGGTTACATTGTGGTAAGCCGTAAATGGCCAAGGGAACGCCGGGCGGTCCCGGAAATGGGCTGACAATGCAATTACTTGAGTGGCCAGGAAATTACGTATTTCAATCCTTAAGTGGAGTCATAAAAGGGGTTGTTATTGGTTAAGCTAGTCAGGAAGAAAATAATAGATTATTCAAGTACAATTTCAATGGATTTTATTTAAGTAATTAAAAAGATTCAATAAAGGAAGGAGTGTTTTTAAAAAGAGGTTAATGTTAAAAAAATCTTCCAATTGGAATCAAATATTTGACTACATTTTTTCAAGTGTTTGCTTTTGTAATCACAGTGTTTCTTTATAAAAGTTCAAAACTAATGGAGAATATATTTTGAATAATCCTTAAAAAAAAATAAAAGGATTCAACAAAATAAATGTATATTCCATAAATAAAAATTAAATTAATTCTAAGAACATAAACTTTCAAAGGCTGCGGTCCTACCTTGCGTGGCAGCAAATTTCTCTGTCCTACCTCTGCCTTCACACCCACAATATGAAAAAGACAGAAAGAATATTGGAATTAAAATGGTTATTTTTTAAGACAACTATTTTTCAAGAAAATGTTATTCAGTCTTTTTGAAATCTCTGAATATAACAATAAATTTGTGAAACAGACTCCCCAGATTCCAAATAAATACAATAAATAATATCATTGCATAAATTTAGACAATAGATTTTTAAACAAAAGCAATTTACATGCTTTTTTATGTATTTCCCATAGACTAATGTACATTGTCTCTCGAACTAATTAAAGCTTAAATCTGATTCTAATTTGATTTTTGTTGGCCAGCTTAATAAAATTTAATCAGATTCCCTGGGAAATCCGAGAAAAGCTCGAGCAAGACCGGCCGAACCACTTCAGCACGACACGAGTGGGGTATAAATTGAAAACGGCGGTGTATCGAATCACTTGGCCGCAAATCGCAAACGATGACAAAACTATTAAAAGCTCAGGCTGGGCAGGCAGAGGATGTGGGGGGCAGGTGGCTTTCTAACGGGGACATTGGTAATTTGTTACCTAGCTACCGAGAACCGTTAGCAATTACGTTTCATCCACAACACCCGCGCGCTCGCTGGGAAAATCAATCGCCTGCTCGGCACACACAAGAGGGGGGGACGTGAGGGACTTTTGAGCAATCATTGCAATCCAATTAAATAGCCAGTCGAACGCAAGTCGAGGAATCCTACGAAAAAAAGGTGTACAAAACTTGAAGAAAAATCAACAGCAACAACAACAAGTAGGCACTGCATATGAATGGGTTCCACACGGATGTCTCTTGCATTCCACAAGCCAAACTAATTGGGTCGCTAGATGGCGCGCGTCATCATTTAGCTCTCTCTCGGCAGACAGAGAGAGAGAGAGAAGGAGAGCGACCTCTAGCGGCAGTTGCAATGCGCATTCGCCAATTCCCTTTCCCTCCCACACTTGTCCAACAAACTGCACTTATGTTGTTTTTATTTCCTGCACTTTCCTATTTTCGTCCCACTTTGTGTTTTCTTCCCCTTCTCCACCGTCATTCTCCGTTCCATTTAGTTTTGGGTTTATTTTTGCCAAGGCGCTTTTCACTTTTCATTGCAGTCAGTCAGTGAGTCGGGTTATGTGAATATTTCGCAAATATCAAAACGTTTACGGGTTTGTTTTTTTGTTGGAAGAAAACCTGTAAACCTTTTTCGCCGTCTTCCTTCTGTCCCTTTCAGGCTAACATGCTAATGTAGCAAATCGCAAGAGCCACGAAAATTGTCAAACGAAAGCGAAATCGAACAGTCAGAAAACAAATTGTTGCTCCAGCCGCCGCCGCAGACGCCGCCGAGCAGAGAAGAGACGAAGCGTGGTGTGGATATATCCATAAAAAAGGAACATAAATAATTAATTTCAATAAACCCAAATACATACAAAATGTCGCCATTCATGGAGAAGATGCTGTTGTTGTTAGGCATGCTCTGCTGCATACAAGGTAAGTTAAGCCCCAAAGTTTATGCAATGCAAAATGATGCACACACGCGCACACACACAACCCTGACATTTAGTCGTCTATGTATTGTTTTACGAAGATGGAGAAAGTGCCTGTTAAATCTGCTACATTTTTTATAACGGAGAGACAGCTTTTTCCTAAAAACGATCAGAAATCTAAAAAAACTTGGTTCGAAAGGTCGAAGTTTGTATACACTTGCAGTACCCCATAAGGGTAAAAAGATAATGATCAATCATCGTAATCAAAGTTTAATCTTAAACATTTTGTTTTGTATCAAAAGTTCAATTTAATATCTTTTAAATATCACTAATTCTATCAATAAGTGGTCAAAAGTATCTTTAGTTAATCATATAATACCATAAACTTTGTGTTTTTATAAACCATAATATCCACAGATGCCTTATTAACAATTGACATTTTTTTTGTATTGATGTTATATAAAACCGTATTCCATAAAAATACATAGGATAAATAGAAGGTTGCTTTTATGACGTTAAATCTCTCTATCTAAGATTGTAAATCAAGTTTATTTCTATTCATAAACACGCTTTTAAATTAACATAATCAAAAATGGCACATTCAATCATAGATCATCCATTATGTATAATCACCTTAATATTTAAAGTTTTAAGACAAATTGTCATTTAAGGTTTGACTTTAAAAATTGCCATATCATGGGATTTCTCACTAATCCAATAAGAGAGCTTTTGAAAAATATAAAATATATGTAGATAGATGAATCAAAGCAAAACTGTAAAGAGATTCAATCTTCAACACCTAATTTATATATATCAAAATATTTTTATAAACTTATTTGTTTTAATAAATTCGAACAATTCTTATAAATAATACTAAAATCTTAATTCTCTAATAATATCATTACCCCTTTAACTTGTAGTTACCACTGCCCTTATGTGCTATGACTGCAACAGTGAGTTCGATCCTCGCTGCGGCGATCCCTTCGAGCCGTACTCCATTGGCGAGGTGAACTGCAGCAAACAGGAGCCCCTGGAGCACCTCAAGGACAAGTACAAGCCCACCCTGTGCCGCAAAACCGTGCAGAAAAGTGGGTGATACTAATTATTTAAAAAAATCATATTTTAATCCTATATACGTGTTATTAGTTTACGGAAAGACCCGCATCGTACGTGGCTGCGGATATATACCGGACGAGCGCACCGATGCCGAGTGCGTGAAGCGCTCAGGTACCCACGATGTGGCCGCCATCTACTGCTCCTGCACCAAGGATCTGTGCAATGGCGCCAACTCCCCGCTGGCCCAGTGGATGATGCTGCCCGTTGTCTTTGCCGCCGGATTGGCGATCCTGTTGAACTCGAGGCACACAATACGATTCCAGAGCTCGTAAATTGGGCTTGTCCTAGCATTTCACTGAGTTTATTTACCGTACTTATCGTTTTCGAGATTATTTATAATGGTTTTTCGATTCAGATCTGCAGTTGATGCTCATTTAGTTGCATAATTTACAATAATTTTTAATTTAATGTGTTCGTAAGCATAAACATAATGAGAATAATATGAAAATCAACACACATAATAAAAAAAACCACATTGGGGGCAGTAATAAATCTATAAATTTTAAAGCTTGGTTCGAACAACTTTTTCAGAATACAAACAAACTGCCAGTATATGTCTCCGCCTGAAAAATTAAATATTTCAATCGTAAAACTCTAAAGATGTTATGTAATTTAGGCTTATGTTCTTGGAACTAGATTGTCACAGCTGAAAAACACATTTTTCAGTTACTAAAACTCTATTCCGTTGAAGTTTTACAAACTTCGCATGAGAACGGAATAGAGAATGTAATGTCCCCATGAGGGATAAGTGTGTTTTTCCCGCAGGATATAAGCAATGTATATGTATTTTAATTTGAATTCAAATTCTGTCAGAAATTATAATTTGAGTTTATATTTGATTGAAACCAATAAGATGGTAGGGTAGCCCTAGAAGGTAAACCCTTCACACAACCTATGAGAAAAAATTCTAAAGATGATCATCTATAGTGCATAAAATTTGCAATAATTAGGATTCAGAACTCACATGAAACCAGAAAATTGATTTATATAGAGAGGAATATAAGAGAAACATATTAAAATATATATATGAATTAAATAAATGGAAGAAAACTATTTACAAAACAAAAACAAAGGAAAAGAAAGAAAGAAATGAAAGGGAATAAATCACATTTTGTCCATTTTAAGCTTCATACAAACAAAACCAAAAACATAAAAATCAACTTAATATGATCCATGATCTCGATTCCATTTCCGATAGTGTTCTCCGAAAGTACGGTCCATTTACTCCGCGAAAGTCTTGGGGAAGTGGAATCGACCGCATGGCTAATATAAATAAATCTTCCTAATATTTTAGACGGAAAATGCATAAACAGTTTGATTTGTGTCCCCAACAAAACACACACACACACATGAACCGAGGTACAGTCAACACAAAGCATGGCAAGATTATCTTAAAAAACCAAAGACACTAGCCAACATATAACAGAAAAGCAGTTGCGAACACATAATTTTGTGTAGAAAACAAAAATTATATATATATACATATACATGAAGATGAATTGCATAAATTATACACATTATAATTATTTAGTTAAATATTATTAAGAATTATATGGAAAGATAATAAGACAAGCGCCGAAATGGAAGCGTGAGCATATGTAGATAAACCTAACTAATTTTAATTTATAACGAGAATAACAAAACACTAGCCGTTGTATCGTAATTGAGAAAACCAAAGCCACAACAACAAATTATAAAACGACAGCAAAAAACAATTTCAAATCAATAATCCATTAACTACTTAGGATTTTGCAACTTAACAAACTATAATAAATTTCTTTTCTCTGATTTCTTCTCTCTTTTTTTTATTCACTGGAATAATATTTTTGATAAATTTATCACAACAAATTACAACCCAAGCACACCCCCCAAAAAAAAAAAAAAAAAAAAACAAGAAAATAAAACCACAGCCACATCAAGCAACGATAAAACCACAAAACACTTATTCCAATAACAAATTATAAAAAAACCAAAAACCATTCAGCGTGAATCATATCATTGAGCTTTGCTTCACTAACGACGGGAAGACATTCTAAAATAAATATAAAACTAAAACAAAAATGGCGAAAATACAACATATATTTCAAACTATTTAATGCAATTGAAATATAATAAAACATAACGATAATACAAAACGTTTTCAAAACAAGTTACTGGAACTTAAAAAAGAGTTTCTCGATTAAGTAAGCAACAAATTAAATTCACTGAAAGAACACACACACCAGAAAAGCTTTCGCCTGCGCTGGCTGAGTCGAATATTCTATAACCATTAATATAATAATCGATATCAATATCATTTCCATTCGTTTCTTATACTTTCGAGTCACAGCAACCAGAAAAGAACAGTCACAAGTATGGGAAACATATTATGCAAGAAAACTATAACAGAAAACCAAAACACAGCAGAAAATAATAGAATAAAATCCATGAGCAAACAAATAATGATGCGAAAAAAAAAGAAATGAAAATAATGTGAACTTGTTAATTTTTAGCATTTAAGTCTGTAAAGCTCCGCTTGTAGATGAAAAATCAATAAATAAACTAAATACAAAGAATAAATTCAATAAATGGAGACATCAAAGCTATAAGCTTTCACAAAAGAACATGAAAATAACTCGGATAAACATTAAATATAGGCAGAAATTTGGGGATTTATATTTGGAGTACCATGGCATAAATTTAATTATAAAGATAGCTCTCCAATTTTTGTTAGGTAAAAGTAAATGATTTATTTTTAAACTAAAATTCACTTTCTTGAAATTACAATAAAAAGACTTGCTTCTTTTTAGGCCAGAATACTGGGGAATATGGCATTCTTGGCAATGGGCTGGTTGGCCCTTCGCACAATCCTGATGTAGCCATCCTCTCCCCACCCCTTCCCGAAGGAGTTCAGGCACCGCCAGTAGTCCAAATTGGTGTCCACATCGTGATCATAGCCCACAACGACCAGGAACTGTGAGCTCCTTGCATTGGTCAGGGCACTCGTATCCTGGACATAGACACCGCTGGAGTACTGCATGAATCCAAAGGTTGCTGGATTGTATTCCACAATCACGGGGAATCCATTGGACACATAAAGCATGACAGCATCATCGTCACCATCGGCCACTGTGGAGTAGTTGGCCAATCTCACACCCACGGCCACAGAGGATGGGGGTTGGCACATGCCAGGTGTCTTGGAAATATTATCGTTCCGATAGTCCGCCTCCGGATACAGATACGATTCAGTCAGCTGGGTGAGATAGTCCAGGGCTGCCTGAGGCTCTTGGGTTGTGCAGCCGGTGCCCATGCCTGCACAATCGATTAGCTGCTGGGCGGAGAGCGAGGATGGAGCAGCATTGGCCGACTGGACGGCATTCAGGATCTCCACAGCCTTGGCCGTGGCATAGGCCCAACTGCTGCTGCAATTCTGTCCCTGATCCTCCACCATCACGGTCAGTCCAAAGTCGGAAATGATGTCGTAGGAGGCGGACGCCACTTGCGTGGCCGGGGGATCACTGGCCTGCGAGGTTGCCAGGGACACTGCCTTGGGCAAAAGGGCAGCAAACTGGATGAGTCGGATGTCTGAAAACTGATTCACTGCCTCGCGATAGCTACTCCTATTCCTATCCGCCTGGACATTGTGCTGGGCCACCTGGTTGCGGTTATAGACAAAATAGTAGTTGGCAAAGTTGCTTGCGGAAGCTGACACATATGACTTGTTATAGGTGGTCTACAAAAATACAAAGAAATAGAGCACAAATTGTAATTTAAAACTATCATAATAAGCTGTTTATATCCTACTTACCATATAGGCATTAAAGTCCGCCAAATCCTGGCCATGATTAAAGGCCCATCCGCCACCGACGGCCAGCAGAAGACAGCAGAGCACCAACTTGAACATGACTAAAACCGAAAATCGACACAACTGATGATGTCTAGAACCATGGAATGGTCTTTTATAGGCACCGGGAACTCTCCTTCTGATTGCCAAAGCAAATAGAAGTTTACCATGCCGAGTTACTTTCGCAAGAAAAGTGCAAATAGATTTCTATGGGGCCTTGAATTCGCACTTGGCCTACAGACAAGACATAGAAGTATAGAAGTACTATGGTAACTATGGGTCCGGGTCCCGGTGGTCTCGATAAGCCCCCGTTAGAGGGAAAATGTCTGGGTGCGCTTTGTTTGTCCAATAAACTTGTCAAATGCGCTCCGTTTCGTATCGTTGCGATTCGCTGGGTTCTCGTATCTCTGTTAATTCGAAGTCATCACTGGCCCAGTTCAGATATATGTAGGTATATACTACCTAACCCTCCTGAGCATCGTAAAAGCGTCGTCATGTCTCTAAAGCCAACTTATAGTCATTTGTTTTGGTTTTTTTTTTGTCTCCTCTCCAGGTTTGACTAATCACATTCATACTTTCATGGGGTCCATAAAAATTGCAACATAGTGTTTAGTAGTAGGCTCGTTTGATGTCTTGTCTTGCGTTGTCTGGGCCAAATCGATGTAAACGAAGTGCTAAATGAGTTATTTGTCAATTTCAATTGACGTGGGTCTAACGGATACTTAAACACATATACGGGAAGATTCTTGGAAGTCTGCAAAAAGTGGGCCTCGAGAGGGCTGTCAATGAACTTGTTAGTAGCTCATATGTATACTTGATCAACGACTATGAATCCGTTAATTAAACTGCAAATAAATGGTACATTTCGGCTATGCTTTTGTTATGCTAATACATAGCTCTAAAATCTCAGATATTATTTAAATGATATATTATATTTTTAAATTTAATACACTTAAACAAAGTTATGTGACATTAAGTGCTGATCATAACAATAAACAGTTTATACAAATGTAAATAACTTTGATCAAGCATTTTCGAGATTTAAACATATTTTATAATACACTGAAACAAGAAATCTTGAAAACATAATAAATAATTCATTGTTATATTTATAGTTTCTTTGTTATTTTGTGGTTATGCTTTCATAAATTGTAAACTAGTTTTGGACAGCATGGATCATGTAATATTGATCAATCCCATTAATTAATTACTTTCCACTTTGCATAATTTCCCCTGTCTTAGGATAAATTAATATATGTAGTTATAGACACCATTTCTATTGGCCAACAAACAATTACTAAACATGCATAAAATTAAGGCAGGCCAGATTATAATGCCATAAACCAGAAAGCCAGCCTGCCCAATGAAGACGAATACGTTTTTGGTTTTCTCAAAAAAAGATTCAAATGGGCGCTCATCTGGTTTCGGCCAGATAGATGTCTGAGCCCGGACTCTGGGCCTGGACCCTATAAAACCGAGATGTGCGGGTCGAGAGCCGCTTATAACCTCGCCGGTCTTCGTGTCTGCGCCATCTTCGCACAGATTTCTGAACGCGGAAGATATTACAACCATAAAGTCGTAAAAGGTGATTGAGCCACGCTTTCAACATATGGGTGTCGTGTGTGTTTCTTTGTGCGATATTTGTGTGGTGTTTCGTTACACGGAAAACAAGTTAAAGAGAATATAACACCTGTTTAATAACAACTGCTAGATAATCAATGATAAAAACTATATTTAGTGAAGTTTCATTACGAGTTCATAGAAATTTCTAAATAGTTGAATACAACTGAAAATGAAAGAAGATCTGTCTGACTAAAGATTCCAAAGAAAATATGAACTGATTTGCAGCCCAAGATAAAGTGATCACAAAGGATATTTCTTATTACAAAAACAGAAAATTAAATATGGGTTTATTAGGCTTTTATGTTAGATCATATCACTTTAACGTTTGATACACTCAATACTTTTATATGTACTTAAATCTTCAAGAATCTTGTGTTATTATTATCTACATTGATATAATATAAGTTCAGCTCAAAATACTCTTCCCAAAACAATTATATTCAACTCGAGGAATCGAATTGGTTCGGTGTAATGACAAATACATACAAGAGAACTGCAATTGCAATTAAAGACAATGTATATTCGAATAGAAATCGGGATTAACTCTCAGAGATGAAAGGAAATGGGGTAATCGCCTTTCACCCAGGCCCAGCGTGTGATGAATATTTACGATTAACGGCATCGAAAGTGAAATTTTGGCCTGCGGTTGCCTAATCTAGATTCATTTGGCCCACGGCCAGGCAATCTAAGCCAAAAAAGAAATAAAAGGAGAGACCCAACCATCCACGAAATGATGTATATGCCGAAACTCGAGCGGATCCAATGCAGGGCTTGTGTCTTTCTGAATGAGACACCAATGGCTATATGCTTAGCATATGCAAATGCGATTATTCAATCGATAATGATGATGCATATGTCATCAGAGATCGGAGATTGGCAAACAGCATCTCGGAATAACGAACAGCGAATGCTCTGCTAGTTTCCAAACTTAAATTAGGATCGATGGATCGAAAGTGAAGACATGGCTCAAAGCCAACGGGTGATTAATTACCAATTAAGTTGCTCGACCACCGACAGAAGAAGATGATCTGCGGGATACCAAAGGAGCAAATAAATACCATTAAATCGTCCGACATGTAGTTTTTTTAAATCGATCATTAAGTTGTTTCTTTGAAATTTATTTACTATACATGCAGGTTGAAAAAGATAACCAATTAACGGATTTGTTCAGGAAATATATCTTGACTTTAACTTTGTTTATTAAACATTGACAAACTATTACAGGTTTTCATTCATGCTTTTCACTTGTTCATTAAGGCTTGATTTATAAATATAAAATTAGATGGGGGAGTGTTTATGATAGATAATTAATTTTTTATAGAACTAATTCTGTACTAAAAATGTATATTATAACATTTCAAATTAAATGGAAAGATAAGTTTACATGATAGTACCAACCTAGCCTTTTAAGAATAAATCAAATATTATACTACATTTTATTTAAAAATGTCACCTCATTGCTATGTTCATTATAAATTCTTTGTTCCACATGATAAGGATAATATACGGCTTTTTCCTATGAATTTTGTGCCATAGCTGATAAGGAGCATCTTTCATTTTATAGTGCTTTCCCCATTATGTTTCCCTATTAAACATTCCACGAACCCTATAGCAAGATAGTTCATTTCGAGGTGAATGGGCTAAATTCACCTGCGATTAACGTTGACAGAAGAGGTTGGAGAGTTGGCAAGAGAGATGGAGGAGGAGGAGGAGGATGGACTGTGTTGGCCAAGCGCGATTATCTAACACTCTCCTCTTTTTTTGCTTTCACGCAGATGCGGATGTGCTCATCGATGTGGCTGCAGCTGGCGACGGGCCTGGCCCTGTTGGGTGCTGTGTCATTGCAGACCCTTCAATCGTTCCCCAAGCTCTGTGACATTCGAAACTTTGACGATTTCCTGCGGCAGACGGGCAAGGTGTACTCCGATGAGGAGCGTGTCTACCGCGAGAGTATCTTCGCCGCCAAGATGTCACTGATTACGTTGAGCAACAAGAACGCCGACACTGGCATCGCTAGCTTCAGTTTGAGTGTCAATCCATTGGCGGATATGACCAGGAAGGAAATCCTCACCCTGCTGGGCTCTAAGGTGTCCGAATCTGGAGAGTAAGTATGCTTTTGCCATGTGGCATGCTATGACGTAATACCAACTATCATAAGGGGAAGCCCATATGCTTAAGCGTGGAATAATTAACACCTTACCATAACTCCCAAACGGGTTTTATGACCTTCTTGTGGGCGCTAAACCATCTGAATGCTGAATTAGTTCAAAAGCAAAATTATATAGATTCCATTTCTGGGCTTTATCTAAAACAATTCCCAACAACATTATTTAATCGCAAGTAAACAAATGTCTACGTCTTTTTATCGTATGACTCTGTAAGAAGTAATTTGTTATTATCTTGTTTTGTTTATTCCAAATATTCGGTGAAATGTATCATCACGACCTTGGGCACTTGTGTTATCTTTTATTAGTCCAATAATTAAATTGTTATTGTCTTGTATATTCCGGGAATTCAATCATTTTTTTTGGTTATTGCTCAATTGAATTTAAATAAAGAATATATTTCTTTATTTCTATTTAAAAAAAGTTACTTTTTTCTCAAGGTTTTAGATTTTGACTGTTCATAAATAAAAAAAATATTATTATATTAATATAAAACATAAAAAGAAAGGACACTTCGGTATATCGTTATATACCCTTGCAATTTGCAATTAGAAGTTCGCATTCTTTGAATCTATAATATAAATATTTTTAAATGACAATTTGATAAATTTTTTTTAACAACGTTTTCGTATTCTAGTTTTAATATGGTTAATTAATATTCACAATCGATTAAAAATTAAAAAAAAATAATAATTTTTCAGCAAACGGTGGCTTGATTGACTCGACTGTTGACGCATATTATGAATATATTTGATATGCAGGGTGGAAAATGAATGCATTTTGCTAAAATTATAATACCCTGCAAGGATATACAAATTAGGATAGGTAGTAAGGGTAGACCTATAGTTAAAATTTAAAAAGATATGGAAAATTTAAAAAGAAAATTAAATTTCCATTTTATAACTTAATAGTGTGATGCAAGTTGAGATCATCATGCCTCGTCACAGTCTTTAATTGGGAATTTTTGTGCAATACCCACACGAAGCCACAACAATTAACCCCATTCGGAATTGAACTCACCTCTACCGTCTACCTCTCCCCTTGCAGAAAGTACACCGATGGACACATTAACTTTGTGACTGGCCCAAGGAGTCCAACTGCCGCCAATCTGCCCGAGAAGTTCGATTGGCGCGAGAAGGGAGGCGTGACCCCGCCCGGTTACCAGGGCGTGGGCTGTGGAGCCTGTTGGTCCTTCGCCACGACCGGAGCCCTCGAGGGTCACATCTTCAGGCGGACGGGAGTGCTGCCATCGCTGTCGCAGCAGAACCTGGTGGACTGTGCCGACGACTATGGCAACATGGGCTGTGACGGTGGATTCCAGGAGTACGGATTCGAGTATATTCGCGACCATGGCGTGACCCTGGCCAGCAAGTATCCGTACACGCAGTCGGAGATGCAGTGTCGTCAGAACGAGACAGCCGGAAGGCCACCCAGGGAGAGCATCGTGAAGATCCGTGATTATGCCACAATCACTCCTGGCGACGAGGAGAAGATGAAGGAGGTTATTGCCACCCTGGGCCCTCTGGCCTGTTCCATGAATGCGGATACCATCTCATTTGAACAGTACGGCGGCGGTATCTACGAGGATGACGCCTGCAACCAGGACGAGGTGAATCACTCGGTCACCGTGGTGGGCTATGGATCGGAGAACGGACGTGACTATTGGATCGTCAAGAACTCGTATTCCCAGAACTGGGGCGAGGGCGGCTTCATGCGACTCATCCGCAACGCCGGCGGCTTCTGCGGCATCGCCAGCGAGTGCAGCTACCCGATCTTGTAGAGGTTCTCATCCGATGATCCCTACGTAGTTAGCCTATGCCATAGATATATAGTATAGTCAATTAAAAACCACGAATTTATAAATATGTATGTTACTCTAGTTTGTAGCGTTACGTGGCGACATCCATCCAATATGCTTGGGCTTTGGACCGGCATGAGTCACTCGGTCAATAAATAAACAAAAAAATTGCCTTTTAAAGCTTCTGTGTACAAAATAGGGGAATAATTTATCTACCTAGTTTATGCAGTGACTAGGTCTCTTAGATATACATACATAGATATCTCTTTGATCACCTCAAGTGTCAATTGGATACTCCTATTTCTCATGGACTATTTTAGATGCATTTTTAAGAATCTCCAAGATTATGTCAATCACCCAAATCAATTTCTTGCTATACAAATCGAATTAATTTTTTTAACGCTTACATTGAGGATTAAATAGCGAATCAGATTTATTTAAAAAGTGTGAAATTGTTTAACAAATACTTCGAAACTTTAACTTTGCTAAATTCATGATATAAGTTGCTGCATAAACCAGTCAACCGGCACAGATCACGTTTTGCTCTTATTTATAAACAAAACAGGTAAGTCCCCCCATGCTTCACCTGAAATACATATATATGTATGTATATGTATGCTCTCCAGAACGAACAGAGAGAGAGAGAGTTCAAATAAAAACAAAAAATAAATAACGCCTTTGTTATCGGCAGACAATTGAATCTTTCTCTTCTCTCTGTTCGCAATGAGAGCCGAGTATTTATAGGTAGCCACTCGGTGGCTACGGCTCAGTACGCGAAATCTTTGCAAGATGAGCTTGGCTCACCTCTCCACCGGCCCCATCCTGATCGTGTTCTTGACGGGTGCGGCCTGGGCAGCCCCCACAACTCCCTCCTCCGGAGACCAGACCAAAATCGAACGTGATTCACAAGTGCATAATGAACTACCGTTGATAAAACTAACCGCCGAAAATAATGGAAATGAGTCAGCAGCGACCACTTTAGGGGTTGACCTTACATCAGAATTCTCAGAAGAATCCGAATGTCAGAACGCTTGGCAAAAGTTCATAGTCAGTTTGCCGATAACATATTCCCAGAATTGTAGCCCATTAAAATATTGTTTTTAGGTCGACTTCGGTGCCCACTATGCAAGCGATACAGAAACCCAGAAACGTCGTGGCATCTTTTGTGAAAATTGGAAAAGGATTCGGGAGCACAATGCTCAATACGAAGTGGGAAAAGTGTCCTTTAAGAAGAAAATAAACCAATGGGCTGACTTGACAACTGAAGAGTGGAAGAACAAGCAACGTCCCATCCTTTCACCTGAGTTTGCCAAGGCTAAGCCTATGACATCTGAAGTGGATCAAACGAGGATTAAGTGCGAGGCTGCCTGGAAGAAGTTCCTTGTAGGTTACCTTTACTATTGAATATTTCTTTATAAACATTTTCACGATTTACAGAGTGATTTTAGTCGGACATATGAAAATGATGCCGAAACTGAGAAGCGTCGCAGCATCTTTTGTAACAAATGGCAAAGGATTGAGGAGCACAATCTACAATATGAAGCGGGAAAAGTGTCCTACAAAAAGAGTATAAACCAGTGGTCTGATTTGACGTTTGAAGAGTGGAGGAAAACGCAAAAACCTCACTTTCCACCAAATATGGAGACACCGGGAAACAAAACCGAGGAAACTAATGTAAAGGAGCATCCTCAAAGGAAACGTTTTCCAGCAAATATGGAAGAACCTGGAACCTATGTGGAGGAAACAGCAATTGAACCCAATGGATCTGATAAAATCGATCTAAACAATATTAAGTGCCAGGCTGCTTGGGAGAAGTTCCTGGTAAGAATTATTAGTCATTATAAATGTATCTATTATTAATTGTCATGACTTACAGGTTGATTTTAGTCCGAAATACGAAACCGATGCTGAAACTGAGAAACGGCGCACCATCTTCTGTGGTAACTGGCAAAGGATTCAGGGGCACAATACCCTCTACAAAGCAGGAATAGAGTCCTACATGAAGGGTATAAACCAGTGGTCTGATTTGACTTTTGAAGAGTGGAGGAAAACGCAAAAACATCACTTTCCACCAAGTATGGAGACACCGGGAAACAAAACTGAGGAAACTAATGTAAAGGAGCATCCTCAAAGGAAACGTTTCCCAGCAAATATGGAAGAACCTGGTACCTATGTTCAGGAAACAACAATTAAACCACAATATGTGAAAGAAACACAAACTGTCGAAGCACCAATCCAAATTAAGGAGAAAGAGGAGAAAGCAAATAAGGAACTTCCTGAAAACAAAAAGGAGAAAGGAGGGTCACAGCAGGTTTTGTTTCCCCCTAACATGGAAAAACCAGGGACCTACATTAATAAACCGAACGAATCTGAAAGGACTCGGTTCCCAGCTAATACGGAAGAACCTGGAACCTATGTGGAGGAAACAACAATTGAACCCAATGGATCTGATGAATTCGATCAAAACAATATTAGGTGCCAGGCTGCTTGGGAGAAGTTCCTGGTAAGAATTATTAGTCATGATAAATGCATCTATTATTAATTGTCATGACTTACAGGTTGATTTTAGTCCGAAATACGAAACCGATGCTGAAACTGAGAAACGACTCACCATCTTCTGTAGTAACTGGCAAAGGATTCAGGAGCACAATACCCTCTACAATGCAGGAATAGAGTCCTACATGAAGGGTATAAACCAGTGGTCTGATTTGACTTTTGAAGAATTGAAGAATAAAATACCGTACACCTTTCCTCCTAATATGGAGACACCGGGAAACAAAACTGAGGAAACTAATGTAAGGGAGCATCCTCAAAGGACACGTTTTCCAGCAAATATGGAAGAACCTGGAACCTATGTGGAGGAACCAGCAATTAAACCAATACCAACTTTCGAAGTATCAATTCAAATGAAAGAGATAGTGGAGAAAGCTAATAAGGAACTTCCTGGAAACAGCAAGGAGAAAGTTGGGTCGCAGCAGGTTTGGTTTCCTCCTAATACGGAAGAACCGAGGGAATTTGAATCCGACCAAAAAATGATTAAGTGTCAGGCTGCCTGGGAAAAGTTTCTGGTAAGTTTATTGAGTAGTAAACGTTTCTTTACAATAACTATTTTGGCTTTTAGAATGATTATACCCCGAAATATGAAAACGATGCAGAGACTAGGATTCGGCGCCTTATCTTCTGTGACAATTGGCAAAAGACTCAGGAACACAAAGAGCTAAACGAATCGGGAGGAGTGAGTATTGACGAGTGGACTGACTTGACTTCTAAAGAGCTTAAGAGTCAAAGTCCAAATCTCCTTCCACCAAATAGAAGACCACCAGATGACAAAAGGGAGGAAACAATAGTGCAAGTAGGATCGCAACAGATTTGGTTTCCGCCGAATATGGAAGACCCTGGGATGTATGTTAAACAAAACGAAGACGTACCTTTTATTTAAGAGATTAAAAGCACAGCTAATGAAAACCATAACTGAGACAACTACAGTGAAAGTAGGATCGCAGAAGATTTGGTTTCCATCTAATACGGAACCTATCTTACTAAACCACCAAAGAAATCAGAATCTTTGAGTGAAAAACAAACCGAAAACGTTCCCAGCAAATAAGCTCCATCTTGAAGTAAAATAATGTACATTTTTAATTAAAAATTGTAAATAGTACGAGAAGACCCATACCCAATGAAAATACCTGACTGTTGGTTGGTTTTTAAAAATATGTATTTATATTAATCTGAGGGTTTCCGCTTGAGGATCTGGTTTGAGGAGTTCTTCTGTTACAATAGTGTTCGCAAATGTTAATTTCGCTACTTTTCACTGGCGGTGTTTTTGTAATCTCGACCTTAAGTTTTTGAAATGAGTAAATTTGGATTTTTGGTTTCTTTGTCTATCATTGTAACGCACACGAATTCTACATGATTAATTTATATTTGTATATTTGCTCTGAGATCCCTGTCCGCTTGTGGCTTTCAGAAGGGCGCTTCGTATGACATATACAATCCGTAAATATATATAATATATATGTATGTATATATAGTATTTAATTTAACAAATACATTTGTAGGTTATCGCAAGTTGCTGCACTAAGTGAACATTTATGTAATCAATATGTTTACATTCATTGATATTTGAGTGTATTCCAAGGAGCGATCGCACCCAGCCTCTCCAGCGGATGGGACAGCCCCTGCAATGCGTAATGGGTATTGTACATACAAGTATATACATATATCCATTTCATCGGCATTATTATTATTATTATTAACTATACAAATCTCTGGTTGGGAGTTGGGGGCAACAACAAGCCTTGAACAAGCCTTAGACACATGTAAGCGAATCTGTAATTCCTGCGGTAATCTAGTTTGAAATACTGTGATCCTTCTTCTACAGGTTGGGTTCCTTACTGTGTACTGTGATGATTACTGTTTACAATTTACATATTGTTTGGCGTTTATTGTTGTTTCTCTTAACAAGCTTAGGCCCTGGCCGCAGGACTCTTATGTGTGGGGCTGTCCAGTTTCGGTTTATTGGATATGTGGCTTGAGCAGTGTATCGGAATAGCGTTCTGTTTCTGACCAAATTGCTGCTGTTTGTGTGTAAATTTATCTAAAAAATCTCGTCTGCTTGAATTCCTTCGGTAGCAAGCTATATATAGCTGATCGGGGCGACCAGGACCTGGCACAAACCAAAATCATTCATATATATAATAAGTACGTACACGTAAACACTAAATAACTAACAACGTTGAAAGCATATATCATATCATATATCGAGTACGCAATGCACAAAACAATGCCTCAACTGGGTAGCCTGAATGCATGTATACATATGGGATACATAACTAGTTGTATATCTGTATAATATATGTATATATATATATATATATATACATATACATATATATATATTGCAACAAATTTTCACTACAAAAACTGCACACACTCAACTTAGGGGGCTAGCTTAAGAGTTATATATTCAAACTATTCCGACAAATCCTTATATATCCTCTGGTAGCTAAAGCAAGTGCGTGGCATTGTATCTGCAATTGCTTGACTTTTGTATTTGCATCTTTCATGCTTTCCTCGATTTAACCAACTGCTTTATTGTTTCTGTTACTTTGTTACTTTTGTTATATGTTCGACATCGGTGTATATGGTAAAGCCAACTGGTGTGTTTGCTGTTTAGTCGTGTAAAACGTTTGCCATTTGCACTACAAAATCGAAGTGAGTGTTCTGTGGACAACGGAGGAGCAAGTGGGAGAAAATCCTTAATAGGTGGGCTGCTGGTACTCCATGCCGGATTGCTGCTGCTGCTCCATACCACCTGAAAAAAAAATATATATGAGCATATTTATATTATTTATAGGTCACTAAAAGAATGTAGTAGAAATGTGGGAGGGCAAAGAGCTCTCTATTTACCCTGCTGCGGCTGACCAAAGGGCGAGGCGCTATATTGATCATTGTCATTGTCCATGGAGTAGCCGTAGGCCTGCTGGTGCACCACGTTGGCCGGGTCCGTTTCGAAGGCCGAGGTGAACTCATCGCCGGCGCCAATCAGGAATCGCTTGTAGGCCATCAGAGCGCACAGGGCCTAAGCACAAAAAGATTATAGAAAACTACATTTCTATTCAACGATTGACAGGTGACAGTTGTTACGCACCCAGGTGACTATTGAGAAGAGGCAGAACCAGATGGCGGTCTTCATGCTGCCAGCTCCAATGCCCAGCGGCGGCGGGGGCGACGAGCTCCATTGGGACCACAAATACAGGAAGGCCACAAAGTACATGAAGGTCCAGAAGGCTGCAATGAAGGATTGTTGTAAAGTGTCCTAGTTAAGGCCATGTAAGGAAGGAAGGAGCTTACCCGAGAAAGCCATATCAGCCATGACGTAACGCTTTCTACTCTTCACCGATGACATCCTTTCGAACAGGAACTCGCCTCCCATGAAACCCATGGAGGCCAGGAACCCGAAGACGCCGACCATGTTGCCGAACTTACAGGCCATACCATCGCCACTAAAAAGGCAGTATTCCTTGCCATCCTTCTCCGTCCAGCCCTCGGAGGATATGCAGCCGAAGACAACGACTGAGAAGAGCTATCAAATGGGAGAAATTCCATGTGACTGAGGGCAGAATACTTTGCACATTACACATTCTTGAGATGAGTTAATGAGCAATGAAAAAGTCAATTTACTTAAAGCGATACGTCAGCTTTTCAGTTTAACTAAGAATAACCTCCCTAAGTCTTTGCAATTTATATAACTATTAAAGTTAATTATATTGATTTTATGCTTGACAATAAAAAATTACAGTTTAAATACTTAGTTAATGTTTTTTTCACAACTCCCACTCTCGGCTATCGATTTTCCTGAGCAGGTGCAACAAGCAACAAGAAGTTCAAGTACACAGACAACGAGGCAGACACGTACTTATGTTTGTGACCCAATTCGCGGAATGAAGGCCAAGTTTAGTTTGTTTGGCCAGGAATGCCGGAGGAAGGGAGGAAGGGGGCCATTGGAGGATTGCAATCGCAAGGACCAAGTGTCCTTGGTCAGCAGAGTGGGCAAATATTACGTATACACAAATGGAAAGCAAACTAAACCCCTCCCCAACACTCGGCTATCGCATATTTCCCACTTCGCTGGCTGACGCACATCAAATCGCTGGTATAATAAAGTCCTATAAGTTCTATAAGTTCCAAGTCCAGTGCCAGTGACCAATTGCCGCTCGGGTCCTTTACGACATTTAATTATAAAGCTTTCATGGGCGTGAGAGTTTTTATGGTGTCGCTGCAGCTGATCCCGGTTACCCCCTCTAATGGAGCACACCTAAGCCCCTGGACACACTCGGGTAAACAAATCCCAGAACTTTATTCCTATACTACGGGGTTGTCACTACGTTTATGCGTTGTGACATTTGGGGATTACTAAGTTTACGAATGTCACGCACAGTTTATAGATGTTTTTTGTAATGACCAGGCTTAATCTTTGCTAGTAAACAGGTGAGAAATCTACAAAAGTTTTTTTAATGGACTTTTATAAAAGGTTCTTCATATATACATTTTATTATCCTGGAGACCTTATGGCTTAGAATATGTATTATTCATTGAAGTCGAGCCATAACTTCTTTAAAGTTCTTAAGAACGGGACTAAAAATATTAATAGAAGTTATAAGAAAAGAATTTGGGTGATTCAAGGAATAAATTTGGAATTTGTGTTACCTAACTTATCAGGAGTGTCTAAAGATTTGAAAACAATTAAAGTTGCTTTCAAAAGTATAGGGTTTTAAATTCAAACACACCTTATAGAACTTATTACAACTTCTCAAAGGCATTTCTGTGCATAAATTCGAAACATTGTTTCCAGTGTAGTCCAAAATTCATGAATCCCTATTTGGGGACACTTTCGTAAACTACTTAAGTGCCGTGCAAACAGCGTGATAATCATCAAGTCGTGTGAGTGGCGCGTGTGTGCTTTCGGGGGTCCGAGAAATCCCAGCATTTCCCCGAGCGGAGCACTCAACCGGAGTCCCCGGAGTACTACTTACCCAGCAGAGCGCCCGGATGACAACCTGGGGCTTCATGGCGAACGTGACCGGATCGAAGGCGCCGCCCGCCTTGCCGCCCCCATAGGCGCCCCCGTTATTGATGCTGAGTATCTGGTTGAGCATGTCCATGTTGCTGGCTATTGGCTAGTGGCGCTTTCAGCTCAGTTTAGAGTTCGATTAAGCGTTTTCTCAGCTTGTTGTGAAAAATCGAACGCTGGCTAAGGTTCGTGGGGCCAAGGGCAATGCGGGGGCGTCTCACCCACTCACAGAACTGCTGTGTGTGTCTATACCGAGTGTGTGTGTGTTCGCAGGTCTCTTTTCTTTACTCGCAATTATGGATTACGGCACCGTGCGAATTTTGAGTGTTTGGAAACTCGAAACTTTGATTTTCGAAATTTACTTTTCCGTTGCGGCGCTGCGCTATGTTAAATTTCACTGTGTTTTGCTTTTGTCCTAATCAATGCATAATTGATGAACACAAATTTCAAGGGCCTGATTTTCACTTTTACTTTTTTCGCCAGCTACGCTCTCAACGGTACTTCGACTGTCAACGCGCAGGACTCGTAACAGTGTTGTCAGTTTAGCTTGTTTTAGGCTAGATTTAATAAATTTTAGAATGGAAATTCTTATGAAATTTGCAGTTACCCTTAAAAATAGTTCATATTTACATTCATTCATTCAACAATTTATTTTATACAGACAAATATAACATTTTTTTCACTAAGTGCTTGTAATAAAAAATATTTTAAATGTATATACAATTGAATAAGGGATTCATTTCCGACCCTTTAAATCATATACATATATTCTTGATCAGCATCACCAGACGAGATAGTCTAGCCATGTTCGAAAGAAAGTAAATTTTGCTCAAATTTTTAAAAATATTGTAAGGGGTTACATCATTAAAATTGTCAAAACCCACAAAAAATTACGTTTATGCTGATTTTTTAGCCTAATAAAGTCTAACACAGAATTGCTTCCCGAACTGAAAATATTGCATTTTTGGCTAAGTTATAATTGACTCCCGTTGGATTTTATGATCAAAATTAGCTTAGTTTCTTTTTACTATTTGAAATAGCTTTAAATGTAAGACGAGTTTAGAAAAAAGGTCAATCAACTTCCCTATATTATGTTGATATCAAATTCAGTAATCATACCTCTTTCTAACTGAAAAGAGTAATAAGATTATATACTTGTAACAATTTTCTACTAAAATTCGTACCACAATACACGTACAAATTACCCAAATACCATAACTTTACATCACTTGAGGAAAATTCAAAAGATTAATTTAAAATATATTTGCACAATAAATTATACCGTGTATTTTATTGACCATTCTATTAAGCAGCTTAAGCCATAAAGCTACCGATAATTATTTCCTAAAAATCCGAATTTTAAGCGCGAAATATGGAAATGCGCTAAGGTGCGGCGAATTGACGAGCTCGGCGTAGCCCGAATTCGCTCTCCCCAGTTCTTTTAAGCTTTCAGTGCACTGGTAGTGTGACCACCCTTGAGTTAAATTTCAAAATAAATCAATTTTTGGATTTACGCAAAAATTTCCATGTGTTTGATAAATACATTATGTCTGTGTTTAAGAATCGCAGTAGATGTAATTGTTGTCCCCGGCAGCAAAAGCCGTACAAGGAGATGAAATGGAAGATGGGAAAACTAAATTACAGTGATGATTGGGCTTTCTCGAAGGTAAATATAAAATTATTTACTAAATTACAATAAGAAGGTAAAGGGCGTGTTGATAAGGATGGGATATTACTTAAAATAGATTAGTTCATATATTTTTTAAACTTCAAAGGGAATTTGTATGATTTTGTTTATTTTTTTAAGAATAAAAAGCAAATAATGTTGTTAAAGTTTTGACAATCTTGTGTAATGTCTCCAAAATCATTTTCAATTTTACTTTTACGAATCTTTCTTAGATCCCTGATTATCCATCCATTTGTAAAGAAATTGGAGCCGATAAACATGCCTATAAGGTCCTGTGTGGATGCAGGAAAAGAAGAATTAGAACTCCTGAAAAGGAAAATCGAACCCTTACGCAACATGAAGATCTTCGGAAAAGTAAAACTACACTTGAAGGATGCAACGCCAGACTACTCGAAGTCTACCAAGCACCGCTCGTCCAGAGATCCTTCTTTGGTAATAAGAAGCCCAAGTGGCGGGAGGAAATCGAGAAAAGGCTTCAAAAGGAGGCCAAGGCAGAGGAGGAGAAGAATATGGTGGCTATGCTACAGAATCAAGTTAAGAAACTCGAGGCACATGAAAAGTTCCAGCGACTCTTTGAGCTAAATCAAAAGCGATCCATTCGATGGAGGCTTGAAAAGGAGCAGGTGCTTAAAAAACCAGGAAAGGATTTCTATGGTAAAGAAAAACCTATAAAAGAAAAGAGGAAAAAGATAACGCCCGAACAGGTGGAGAAAGACCTGATGAAGATTTTTAGCAAGGTGGGAAGAATTGGCAAGGACAAGAAGAAAGTGGGCACAGAAACTACTGATGAAGTATTAAATATCCCACTTGGAACGTATGAGAAGAGTCATAGCATCAAGGATGCTGAGAGGTTTCGAGAGTTTATTACCGACCTGTGTCTACCTGCGAAGAATTTAAAAAAGGGAATCGCCGAGAAGTCCACTCCCTACTCCCACTTCCAGAATGACTCATTGGCTTTAATCGATAAAAGCGATCCCCACCCTGATTCTGTTGATCAAATGCCAGAGGCTAAGGCTGTAAAAGTTCCCCAGTTTTATTCGCTTCGGGAAAATCAGAATTTACCAGTTGAGATTCAAAAAAATAGAACTACTCATGTGGGAGCGAAGTTTTCATGGAACTATAGGCAAATGGTGAAAGCTAAATATGTGCTCAAGCCAAAGATGTCAAAGCCCTTCGATAAACTGGTCCAAGGAAAGAACGTCGAGATTCCCGAACTGTTATCTGCTCTCAAGAGTCGTGATAAAATTCCTCTTGAAAGAAATTTAAATAAAGAAGAAAGGGAAAAGGCAGACAAATCCCTTTCTCACAAATCTAGACCGAAAGAAGACTCCGAGCCGAATTACGGAGTTTCCAAAAAGGTCAAGTCCTGGCACATGCCTACCGACAACCGACAAACCGACAAATCTAGCCACTTGCCTAGCGGTGAACTAAAACCAAAATTTTCCAAACAGTTTCACAAAATGCTAAGGGGGAAAGAGAAGCATAATCCTGAGCTTAATGATGTCCTAATGAGCCATCACGAAATATTGCCGAATATGAAGAGTGCAGAAAAATCATCTTCCGGAAAGCGGAAGGTTAAACAGAAAACGGAATCCGAGCCGAATTATGGAGTTTCTAAAACCAATCAATTTAGGCACTTGCCTAGTGGTGAAATAAAACCTCAATTTAGCAAACAGTTCCATGAAACGTTGAGGGGCAAGGAAGCCACTATGCCCGAACTAAATGAGGCTCTTATGAGCCATCACGAAATATTCCCTGACAAAACAGGATCAGGAAAGTCCACTCCTGGATTCCCCAAGGGCAGACTGAAACCCAAATACGAAACGACCTACGGAGTATCCAAAATTGCTACATCCAGGCACCCGATGCGAAACCAAAAAGAGGTCGAGATGAGCCAACCACGAATAATCCCTGTTAATTCGGATGGATATAAGAATAATTCGCTACGTAGTATTTTGAAATCAAAGGCTTCCCTTTCTTCCCACCAAATTCTAAACGACATGGACAAAAAGGGCTTGAGCTTCCCTTCGAATATGCCAAAGGAGAAAAAAACACAGGCACCTGTTGTGTCCTCAAGTAAACATCGCCCTTACCTTATCGGGAAAAAGCTAGAAAAGTTTAATTATTATATCAGGAACTCACTGCCAGATCGGAAAATAATAGAGCAGAGCGGCTCGAAGGATGCAATTTGCTATTTGAATACAAAGAGTATTACCAACCTGATGAGTGAAAAATCGGGTCCGATCAGGTACAATGAAATATCAGAGATGGCAGGGAAGAGCGGGCATCCAAGTGGTTCGGACATTACCCAGTCCTTCCAGACCGTAAGTGAGAGGGAAAAGGCATCAGATAGTGCTATGTTCGACGCCGACCCAAAGGACTACCAAGACACAAACTTGAAAAAGACACTGAGCAAACTAATCACCAGCTTTGTCAAAGCACAAAAGGCCAAGAAAAAATCCAAATCGAAGCACAGGGTGATGCCAAGTGCATGTCCATCGGACTCGGAGCTGAAAACCCGAAGGAATAGTTCCGTTTCACTGAAATCGGTGCGTGACGAGATCAAGCAGTTCGAGCACGAAGCCCTCAAGGAATTTGCCTGGCAAAAGCAATACCAGGAGGAGTTTGTGGTTGAGGAGAAGGCCGACGTGCAGGCACGCATCCAGGAGCTGATGAAGTATGTTGCTATCCGTGAGGATTTTCAGCCACCAAAACCACCAAGGGATTTCATAAAGGAAAACATCGAGATGCTCCAGAAAATGCGACTGCGGAAGATAGAACAAACCAAGAAAAAGCGGAAACCCAATCAAAAATACCCCAATTTGATACAGAAGTTGCAGATGCCGGAGCGCTCCAACTTTTTCGGCCAGCAACTGTCAGATACAACGTATGAACTCACAAAAAAACGATGCTGTAGAAGCCAGGATCAACAAGAGCATCAGCAGGCAAAGCCAAAGGCACCTGAAAAGACAGTGTTAAAGGAGACCCAGAAATGTGACACATTTGATTCGCATACAAGTGGTAAGGAATTCAATATACTATTTATATAATCATCTCATACATATCCTTAACAATCCGCAGAATTTTTAAAGCCAGATTCTGACTTAACCCAGAAGACAAAACACATAAATTGCGAAAAAGGGAAAAAGGTGTAAATAATGAGAAGAATAAGGAGGAATGGTGCCCTAAAGACTTTTAAATTCTAAAATACTCAATATCCCTAACATAGAATCCTTGAAGAGAACAATAATCCATGAAGAATCATTATAAAGACAATGCATTTTGTCATCTTATGATTGTCCAAAGATTATTTTCCGATTCAAGGTATTTCAGTGTTTTTAGTATAAAATGTGTTACTGAATACAATTTTTGCAATCTTGAATTTGACACCTATTTCTCGGTTTATTTTTTAACATTTGGTTTTAATTTTATATACAAAATTTCCCTGTTTCACAATGGAAATCATAAATGCATCAAAGACCAAGAAGCTGAACTCACAGATAACCTGCACATCCTACTACGATTTTCTCACCAAGGAACATGCCTCCCTGGAGGCGATGAACTGCATGGATATTCAGCGCGATCCTTCTAGCGAATCGGGAATAGAAGACCCACTCGGGTCGGTCATGGAGAGTGCGAAGTACTACGATGTGGATGACAATGCGACGGAATGGTATCTGGGTACCCGGGCTTTATCAGCCAAAAATCCGTTGGTATGCCAACGGCAACGGAGACTCAAGGCGACCTCTTACTCTGTCCCTGGACGACGTGTATCCCCGGAGTTCCTAAGCCTTCTCAAGCAACACCATACCAGGATGCGAGGGCATATGATGTGCAAGTGCAAGCGCCCCAAGGTGAGCTTTTCCTACTACAAATACGATCCGGCGGGCAAGAGACGTCATATGCGTCCGGGCATTGATACCGCAGCCCCCTTAGAATTCCCATATCCCATGGAAAAGAATGACCTGGAGTATCGCAGGCGCCTCTTACGGGGACAGGAGTTAGATTTTAGTCCTTCTGCTCCATTTTCATTTGGGCCCAAGCGTTCCAAGAAGCGCAGGGTCCGGCATACCAGAGATAAATGGAATCAGAATAAGTATATGAACCCAAATGACCTAACGTGGCTGTATGTTGATAACTTGGAGTTGCCCTCTACCACAGAGGAAGCCAGAGAATCTAGTTGCAGCCCCAGCCAGAAGGACTTAAATAATAAGAATAATTGTCAGGAAAATATAGAAACGAAAACTTCCAATCCTTCGGATGCCAAGCCGGCCCACAAACCTCCCAAGATGAAAACATTCATCGACCGGCTAACAAAATGTACTTGCCCTTCAGGTCAAGGGGTAGTTCCGTCGACTCGTAGGAACAGAAGACACAGGGATCCTCGTCTCATGGACTACTTTAAAAGTGCATTCCTCAAGGTCTTCCAAGGATGCAGTGGCGAGGTATGTCCACGGAATGAGGGTTCTAACCAAAGCAGATGCAGTCAGTGCTTCAGCGCTGAAAATAATTCCTTCGGGGAAACGGTATTGGATGGTTGTATGTGTCAAAAGAACTCGGTAAATAGCTCCCAAAGAACCGATCTAAGAGACAATAACAGCAGGGGAATTCTTCGCAATAGATCAAGTTCCAAAGCATCCGCTTTAAATTCAGACTTTCGCCAAAAGAAGAAGGTAAGCATTGCAAATTGCAAGTGTCGGAGACAGAAATTACCAGAAACAAGCCCAAACGGGTCAAATATAAATCCAATTATAACAGAACAAGAATACTCAAGATTAGCAGAAACAGAGAAAGAAAACCCTAACTTTAGCGGCAATAGTCCGGATAATAGTGAAATACCTTATCCATGTAAGGGACACTCATGTAGCATGAACGTTCCTAAACCCAGTTCTGGTCAACATTTAAAGACAAAGCAATCCAATATGGAAAACCCAGACAAGTTTTCCAATACCAGAAAATTTGAAAAGCCAAAAAGGAAAACCGAAGTTCGAAAGGCTTGTCTATTTTCCAAGGTGAAGCAACGAGTACCTCCAAAAGAAGATCAGAACTTTAATCAAGAGAAAACTTGCAAGTGTCAGACCCACAAATATTGGGAAGAAACAAACCCACACGGGTCTGAAGACAATCCGGAGGTTACGGAAGATCAGAACCATTCGGACTTTTATCAACAGAAGATTTGCAAGTGTCAGACCAACAAATATTGGACAGAAACAAACCCATACTGGTCCGAAATGAATATGGAGAATACGGAACAAAGAAAATCAAGATCGGCGGAAAGAGAGGAGGAAAAAGGCATGGAAAACTCCAGACAATCCGAGAAACCTAACTTTAGCGGCAATAGTCAGGATAATAATAAAAAACCCGTGCCCTGTAAAGGTTGCTCATGCACCCAGACCGACCAATCGAAGTTTGACAATCCTCCCAATAGCAGAAATATCGAGGAGCCAAAAGTTAACTCTGGGATTCAAAATGCTTGTCCATGTTATGGGGCGAAGCAACTAGTACCTCTAAATGAAGATCATAACTATTGGTACTGTCGTCAAGAAAATTCTGCTAAGGGTTTGACCCAGACAAAACTGACAAATACTAACCCTAGCAGTTCGAAAATAATTCCGAAGATTACAGAACAAGAGGAGTTACGATTATCGGGAAAAGAGATTAAAAAACCCAAATTTTGCAGCAATAGACCGGACAATAGTGGAAGACCTTTGCGCTGTAAGAAGTCCTCATGCACCCGGAATGTTGCTGAGCCCAGTTGTAGTTTCCATTTAAAGAGCAGCCAATCCAAGAAGATACATCTGGACAACCCTTTCAACAGCACAAAAGTGCAGAGGTCACAAGTAACTCCAAATGTTGATCCTAAACGTAATAAAAATAGGATCCCAGCTAAGCCTGCAGTAACCAGAAGATTTGTTAAAAATGAGCAGGTCAGAAAATGTGTGACACACTGTCCTAGAGATTGCAAAGTAACTGATAGAAACGTCTGCCTGGAAGTTCATCGAAATTTAATGAGGTGTCCAAGCAAACCTATTCCTATCCGATGCGATCCAATCACGAAAAAATGTGTCCCTTTTCCGCACTCATCCGGGAACGAACGAACTGACTTCTTAAGATGGCTATATACAAGACCAAATTCGGGAAGGAGCAAGAGGTATACTAAAACCAGGAAAACTCCACGTAAGGGTTTGAGTTGTGATCCATGCAGAGTCCAACAGCAGCGTTCTTCCTGCGTCCAGCAGGAAACCCAAAAAGGATCGTGGGAAAGAAGTGAGTCATGTAGTAGGTGTCCTTTGTGTTCGTCCGTGATTCAACCAAGATGCCAAGAAAACCCCCAACGATGTTGTCCTCATAGGAAGCGTTGGCATTGTAAAGAAACATGCCAAGAAAACATCCAAGGATCTTTTCCCTGGTCTTGTCAGCAAACTAGATATGCGTCCACCGTTTCCAGGTATTGTGGGTTGGGAAGAATACGGGGAGGTATCGATTTTCAAAAGGATGATGTCGAATTTATTCCAAGAAGAAAACGAGACGTCTCGCACAGCTTTTCAACTAACCTGACTTCCGAGAAGCAAGTAAAATACAGAAAGCCTCGGAAGTGGTCAATGCATGCCTTTAGTTTCGATTAGAACCAGATCCGTTTCTGGACAAAGAGACTGGCTGTCAGGTGGGAGTACCACCTTTATAGCAGCATACATAATACTCAACCTGGCAGCCAGTCTTGCCGTTCATCACACAGTTTACAGTTTTAAGTTATCACGATTAAATTTTTAATTGCTTACAAAAAACAACAGATTTTGTTACAAGAATATAAATGCAATGCTGGCGTCTGACAGGAATCCGGATAATATCCAGAGCCTTACTCGTTGGTGAACTTGGCTGGACGCTTCTCGGCGAAGGCGGTCATGCCCTCCTTGCGATCAGCCTGGGAAATATAAACAAAACAAATAAGATTACATAACACTTGTCGCATTAAGGCAAAAACGCACCGTTGAGAACGTGGCATGGAAGGTGCGACGCTCAAACTTGAGACCCTCCTGGAGCGTGGTCTCATAGGCAGTGTTCACAGACTCCTTGCACAGCTGCACAATCAGGTTGGAGTGGGTGCCGATCTTCTCGCCCAGCTTGACGGCTTCTGCGAGCAGCTGGTCGGCGGGCACAACCTTGCTGGCCAGACCCAGCTTCTCCGCCTCCTGGGCACCAATCATGTTTCCAGTGAGGCACATCTCCATGGCCTTGGACTTGCCAACCACACGGGTCAGACGCTGAGTGCCGCCGGCTCCGGGAATGGTGCCCAGGGCAATCTCGGGCTGGCCAAACTTGGCCTTGTCACCGGCATAGATGATGTCGCACATCATGGCCAGCTCACAGCCACCGCCCAGAGCGTAGCCATTGACGGCCGCAATGATGGGCTTCTGGGTGCGGGCCACCTCGGTCCAGTCATTGAGGAAGTTACCCTGGATGCACTGCGAGTAAGTGTTGGGCAACATCTCCTTGATATCGGCTCCAGCGGCGAAGGCCTTCTCACTGCCTGTCAAGACGATGGCGGCGATGCTCTTGTCCTTGCCGAACTGCTTCAAGGCGGTGGACAGCTCCTTCATCAGTCCATTGCAGAGGGCGTTCAGAGCCTTGGGGCGGTTGAGAGTGATCACGGCCACATTCTGGCCCTCGCCAGTCACCTCGGTCTTGATGTACTCCCAGGTGTTGGTCGCTGTGGGGGAGCGAACGAGAGAGATAGGGAGGGGTGATGAGGTGATGAGGTGATCGTTGTGCTGTTACGCAATCAATGTTTTGGACCGGCAATGGAAAAATACCAAAGATCTCTGGCGAGTAGCCGGCATCTGGTTAATTGGAATAGTATTTCTCGGGTGGAGTGGGGACCGCGTGGACTTTGATCTTGTGTAAATCTCTACCATACTTACAGGAGCTGCTGAAGCGGGCGGCCACCTGTGGCTGCCGGGCTGCTGCCTGCAGCACACCCTGGGCACGGGAGGCAAAGAGTTTAGCAATGTTGGCCATTTTCAAGGAGACGATGACACCGGCTGCAAGTGAAATTTGTTATCTAATCAAAGGAGGAATCAATCTGGAGCCACTTAAGATGGTTACTTACGCGTTGGAGCACTGGAGCAATATGGGGGCTTTGGCGAGCAGTGTGAACGTGCTTTTGTAGACCGAAAATCCCACGAAGACTGAAAATTTTCTGTTTCAACGGGTTTTTAAAATATTAAAGCAACATTGCGCGCGATTATTATGCTTCTTATTAATTTAATATTATTTATTTATATAATGCTAGCCTTTAGTTAAAACTACGTGCTAACAATGGGTTTGAGCAATAGCTTCTAGGGCCTTCAGCAAAATATATACATTTATTTTTACACCCCTGCGAGGGGAATCATTATTTTATAAATGTATAAATCATATGTACATATATATTCTTGATCAGCATCAACAGGAGACTCTATCTAGCCATGTGGGAAAAAACAATTTTGTTGCTAATATTTCCAAAATTTAAAAAAAAGTTAAAATTGTCAAAAATTTACCAAAATTGTAATTTTTTTTAAATGTAGTATGCAGACTTATTAACTTTCTAAAAACTAACACAGAAAAGTTTTTAATTATTGTTCAATAAAATATCAAATAAAAATATAACAAATATCAATTTAAAGAATGCGAACACTTCAGGTCTTCTCGAAAGCGTAAATAAATAAATAAAATAAACATTACGAATTTAATGCTTATTTGTCTTAATTGTAATTCATTGTATAAATTAAAATAAAATGAACAATATTATCACTAATTTTATCTTAAACATAGCTATTATTCTTAGACCTTTGGTATGCCAGGCTGTGCTGGTGGATGAGCAGTATTGGTCTCCACCAACCAAATGTGCTCCTCACGCCGTCGCCTTCCATTGTTATCTCGTCGAACGCGCCAAATCAGGAAAAGCAAAACGACAAGCAGGAAAGAGAATATCGTTATCACAAGGCTAAATACGAATGCTGTGGGTGCTACAAGGAAAATATGTAAAATTATATATAGTAGAAGGTTCCTTTTCATCCTCCATCCATACTTACTTTCACAGTACGGAAACTGTTCAGTCCATATTGATCCCAAGCATAGGTTCTCATGCTCTCCTTTCAGAAAGTGATCGGCAGGACAATCGTACGAGATACGAGTGCCGTTCGGCACCTTTGAGCCTGCATAAAGGACGGCATTGCTTAAATGCTTAACTATCACATTCGGCAGCTGAGGGACCACGCATTCTTTAGCTTCCTTAGTCTGATTTGGTATCTGTCTTATACCAATCGTGGAGGTCATGATAATGACATTCGATTCAGTGGTCACCGTAGTTGATCTGGCAGTTGTATTCGGTATAGCAACACCTTCGCACAGCGAATCCTGCTCGTCGTCTCCGCCCGCGCAATCCTTGATACCGTTGCACAGCTTGAAGTAGGGCATGCACTGGCCGGAGGAGCAGTATAACTCCCAATTGTCGCAGTTGGCCTGCTGCATTTGCGCTCGACATAGCCAGCCCTCCTCGTCTGACCCGTCCACACAGTCTCGAGTGCCGTCACACACCGCCGTACTGGCTACACACGCTCCGTAACTGCAGCGGAATCCGTAGCCCGGACACCAGACCTTCTCACACAAGGCCTTTGTTTCGTCAGAGGCATCCAAACAGTTGGCCTTACCATCGCAAAGCTGATCCAGTTCGATGCACTCGCCGCTGTCGCAACGATGGCTGCATCTCGTAGCGTTTGGTGATGCGGAGCAGCAAGTGATCACCGCCAGGGAGAGAAGAAGCAGCAGCTGGAGAGAACGATCGTCGAACATTCCTGATGGCTTTCGGTAGACAGACTGCTGGATTCCATGTTGTGGCCAGAGGGTATTATTGTCGGGGTATCGAAAACCCGTTTGATAATGATATGACGATAGCTGTGCAAGTGCTGTGCCCATGTCATGGGCTTTTCTCAGAGGCGTTGATTATTGTTTTGTCTGTATTGAGGGAGGCTGGCATTAACCGAGCTGGTTTTTATTTTTAGATAAGCTGTACTTCCCATTTATAATCTGGATTTTGCAATAGTAAACCGTTATATGTATATAGTTTATATAAAATATAGTGAATTTAATTTGTATAAATCTAAATGTAGTTTTATTCAATTGCTTTTCAAAATCCATACCTTATTTTATTTCTCATTCAAGGCGAGTATACTCATGTTAGTTAGAATAAAGTGTTCTTGTTTTATAATTGAACGTATTAATTATAAAGAAAAACATATCCTAGTCGGGGTTAGTGGGGTACAAAATATAAATACAGCTCGGAAATTGCTGTGGCCGGAAACAAAAACTGTAAATACTTGAAGTAAACTTAAGTAACACGTCAAATGCTTTCCCAAACGCGGAAAGACAATGTTATTTCTTGTGCGCAGACTGAGGCGGCGGCGTGCCATAGAACTTGCGCTTCTTTATGGTGCCGCCCTTGAATGGAGTGGCTGCAAGGAAACAGTGTCTTAGAAAAGTGATTTTCATTTTACCCCCAATATATATAACTTACCATATAGCGAAAGTAAGTCGTTCTTGCTGCTGGGCACTCGTTTAATCACTGTCGCTGGAGTGGGGTTCATATCAATAGCTATGTACTGCTCCCAGAACGATGCAGACAGCTCAAGCAGCGCCTTCATCACCTGCTTCTGGGTGAATACCTCCGTGTATATGGCGTGAGGATCGGGATCCGCCGATGAATAGCCTACTATGGTGGGGCCAAAGATGAGCGCGATATTATCGATCGGCATCAGCACCACGGGGCACTCGGCAATGCGCTGAAAGTGCAGCACAAGGAAAGCCAGCGTGTCTCGATTTGCCTGTGGCAGCTGTTTCACTGACTTGCACAGCATATCCTGAGCGGCATTAATATCCGGATTCTGTACGGCGTTGGCGAAATCCTTCCACTGGCTGGTCGGGATAAGGGGCTCTGTCAGGGACCTCAGGAAATCCTTGACGCAACAGCACAGCACATAGACATCTGTGTTGCCCAAATGAGGCGTTGTCTTTCCCCGCAAGAACTGCTCCTTTAGCGCCTTGTACTCGCGCTCCGAAGACGAGGCTCGATACAGACCCACCTCGGTAAGGCCACGCGCCTCGATCTCATTAACGCAGTGCACGATCAAAGCCGGAATCATGGGTGCAATGGACGGGGCAAAGTCACTGACGTAACCGGTCAGCGTCTTCGTTGTGGGCGTTCCCGTCTGGGGAACACAGCTAACGGTTAGTAGATACCAGCAGTCGAGGTGACAGCGAACCGGGCAATCCCGGCAACGCAGGCCAACCGATCCAAATCGAATTCTGGAAAGGGAATATTTAAAATTTTAAAATGTAATTTTATTGTATGGAAATATCTGTCTTACCGCTTCTGACACTGCACACAGTTGTCGCCCCGCAAGAAAGTCTTTTGGGTGAAGCTGTGCTTCCTCATCAGCGGACGGTGCTGGGTCGGAGTGGCCGTGTCGGCGGCCATCAGAGGAGTCTTCTTGTTTAGAGGGGTCAGGGGCGGAGCATTTGGCTCTTTTAGTACCGAGCGACGCGGCGTCGAGGACAGGCCATCGCCGATCCTGTCTGGGCCGCCAATCACTGGCAAGGACTCAATGGTCGACTCTGCCCGGATCACGCCTTGCCCATCCTGGGGTATAGTCACCTTGGTGGTGGCACAGAAGCGCTCAGCGCCCTGACCCACGTCCACTGTGTGCTGCTCGACTCCGATACCGACAGCCGAACGCCGTGACTTTGTCGTGGTGGTAGGCGTATTCACCGACATGCTTCCATTCAGTCCCGAGCTGAGGCGTGATCTCTTGTTGCCCACACTGGGAATGGGGTTCTTTGGCAGCGAGGGACGGTGCTCACGCCAGGACTTAGATCTGCGCACGTCCAGGAAGTCATCCTCGGAGTGCGTGATGGACAGATCGGACAGCAACGAGCCGGTGGAGTTGATGTCGCCATACGACTTGTCCTCGCGCACTGTGTTTAGGGATTTTCGTTTCCTGGATGACGGCAGCGTATTAAGGAAGGCCAGCTTATCGCGGGTCTCATTGTTCAAATTTCGCTCGTGGCGCAGCAGATCCGCCACTGCCATGATCTTGCCCTCCATGGCGTCGCGCTCATGCTCCGCCTGGCGGCGGGCCTTCATCTCAGTGTCAATGATACGACGAGCGTGAAACAGCTTGCCCTCCAAATCGCCCATCTTGGTTAGCGACTTGTCCAGTTCGCTTTGGATCCTCGCCGTCTCGGCCGCGTACCCGGCACACTTTTCGTGGTAATGCTCGAAGATCCGCAAAAAACGGAGAAACTCTAGGACGACAACGCAGTTGAAGGTACTGTCACTCGCACCGCATCCGGTTACATTTACTCACCCTCCTCGGCCGTTCCATCGGTCAATACCTGCATGCAGCGTCGCAGATCATCATACGACGCCAAGGCGGAGAGCTCCATTTTCCGAATGATCTCAATAGCTGGGAATATAATTTTACGCTCACGAGCTTCCCGCACACTAGTATTCTTTCTTTCACACTAACTTTAATTCAAACAATGTACTATTTTCCTAGTAAATGCGTGGCAAAGGAAGCACGCTGCAAAGGACGCGATAAAATTTTCTGGTTCCGTTGTTTTCAAATTGACGCCATCCCGCAGTGTGACCGTTTGCTGAGCGATCGAAAAAACCGTAGGGTTGTCAACTACGTGCTAAAAAATCGGATTGGGGTTGGTTTTCATTTAAAATAATTTTAAAACATACATGTAGATATAATTAATATTTATATTTTTTTAGGTTTGAACAGATTTTTATCAAGTTTAAGATATATCCATCTTGTATTGTTCTACAATTATTGTTTAAATTTTATAAAAATTGCGAGACTATATTATATTGCTGCCATAGAACCTATAGTTCAGTGCTGAGGAAAATACCAAACTATGAATTTAAAACTGTACGTATGTATAAGTATAGTGCATCATAACCTTATTACATATTTGTAATACACAATTTACTGTCAAGTGAATTAGAAATATATCATACAATAAATAAATATTATTGAACTATCGTGAACCCATATTAATGTACGATACCTAGCAACTGTGGCTCAAGCAGTGTTGCAAAACGTGACGCTGTTTCCGCGGAAAACCATTTGTCTTGGATTTGTTTTGAGCTTAAAAATGTCTGTTCCCTCGCCAAATCCCGCTGTGATCCTGCAAAGTAAGCGCTTCAACGCTTTGCGCAATGTCCTGGAGCGCGAGGGACCCTTCTGCAAGGACGACTTTTCGTCGTCGCCTGACAACTTGGAGTTTCTGCAGACCAAGTGCAAAGTTCTGATCATTGGTGCCGGCGGCCTGGGATGCGAGTTGCTCAAGGATTTGGCTCTGATGGGCTTTGGCAATTTGCACGTTATCGACATGGATACTATCGAACTGTCCAATCTGAATCGACAGTTCCTATTCCGGCGGACTGACATAGGGTCCTCCAAAGCCGAATGTGCGGCTCGCTTTGTCAACGGGCGAGTGCCCACATGCCGGGTGACGCCGCACTTTAAGAAGATCCAGGATTTCGACGAGACCTTCTACCAGCAGTTCCATCTCATTGTCTGCGGCCTGGACTCTATTGTGGCTCGCCGCTGGATCAACGGCATGCTGCTCTCAATGCTGCGGTACGAGGACGATGGAACTATAGATGCCAGCACCATCATACCTATGATTGATGGCGGCACCGAGGGATTTAAGGGCAATGCCCGCGTCATTCTGCCCGGCTTCACCGCCTGCATCGAATGCACCTTGGACCTGTTCCCGCCACAAGTCAACTATCCCCTGTGCACCATTGCCAACACTCCCCGACTGCCGGAGCACTGCATTGAGTACGTGAAAATCATACAGTGGGACAAGGAGAGCCCCTTTGGCGTTCCCCTCGACGGTGACGATCCCCAGCACATCGGATGGGTATACGAACGGGCTTTGGAGCGAGCCAATGAGTTTAACATCACCGGCATCACCTACCGCTTGGTCCAGGGCGTCGTTAAGCACATTATTCCCGCCGTGGCCAGCACAAACGCTGCCATAGCCGCCGCCTGCGCCATGGAGATCTTCAAGCTGGCCACCAGCTGCTACGACAGCATGTCCAACTACCTGAACTTCAACGATCTGGATGGGATCTACACATATACATATGAGGCAGAAAAATCAGAGGGTTGTTTGGCCTGTAGCAATACTCCCCAGCCGCTGCCAGTCGAAGATCCAAATACCACCACTTTGGAGGACGTGATCAAGCTTCTGTGCGATTCGCCTCGCTTCCAACTAAAGAACCCAGCTCTCACCACTGTGATGAAGGATGGCAAGCAGCGGACGCTATACATGGCCACGGTGAAGAGCATTGAGGAGGCCACCCGGAAGAACCTGACACAGTCGCTGGGCGAACTGGGACTGCAGGACGGCCAGCAGTTGACGGTAACGGATATCACCTCGCCCTCGGCCATGACCCTGCAGCTAAAATACCAGGCGAACGAGGTAGAGATGGTCTGAGTTGTATTTAATCACAGTAGACAACAATTTTACATGTAAATAAAACAATAAAGGCACAGGCTCAGCCTGAATTTCCGCAGTTATTCGCTCATGTCCAGGATGTATTTTTTGCCAGTGAATCCCTTAAAGTTCAGGGCCGCAGCAGTCGCATCCTTGAAGTTCTCCAGCGGAACCATCTCGTGGGTGGGGGCCACAAACTTGCCCTGCTCCATGAGGTCAAAGATTTCCTTGAACATCTTGGAGCGTTCGGGAGAACTGTAGTTCTCCTTGGACCAGCGTGTCATCCAAAAGCCTCGAAATGCAATATCCTTGAAGATGAGGGGCCCAGTGACCACAGTGACGGGTTCCCGGGACATGCCGCCATAGGTGACTAGAACACCACTGTGGTCTAGGTGCCGGGACACCTCTGTGGCGCTCTTGCCACCCACGCAATTAAAGGCAAGTCGGGGCTTCTTCAGCTTGCCGGACTTGAAGATGTCAGTGGTGCGGATTTCGGCCTCGGTCAACACCTCTGTAGCCCCCAGACACTGAAGCATCTGCTTTAAATCGGCAATCTCCGGTCGATCGCGGACAATGCCTATGCTATTGATGCCCCAGGCACGGCACAATTGATGAACCGCCTGTCCCACAGCACTATTCGCTCCGTTCTGGATGACCGTGTCGCCAGGCGACAATTTAACAAAATCCTTGAGCATGCGATAGGCAGTGCAGGGATTCACCGTAACAGTGGCTGCCTCAGCCACTCCCACTTTGTTGGACACGGCCAGCAGTTGGTCCTCGTTGTACACTGCATGGGTGGTCCAAGTGCCCAGACCGGTGGCCAGGGGAATGACATGCTGTCCGGCCTTTAGATCTTTGACCTGGTCGCCCACGCAGAGGACTTCGGCCACACACTCGTTGCCGCCAACAGCTGGAAACTTTGGTTTCACGGGATATTTGCCTGTGCGGGATGAATAGCTTGTCATTTAAGGTGCTCCATGGAACTCTTCAATTTTACCTTGGATGGTGTTTATATCAGCAGGGTTAATTGGAGCAGCCAAGATCTTCACCAGCACCTGTTTGTCCTTCGGGTCGGACAATTCACTCTCCACCAGCTCTAGCACATCCTGCGGCTCGCCGTGCTGTGTGTACTTCACAGACCTGGCCACCACCGACATTTGCCGGCTCCAAAGGGCGGATTTCACCCCCGGAAGAAGCGTTCTACGAAACATTATTTACCAAAGATTTCCAGCCGTTCGGGGGTTAAAGTTGTCAAAAGTCTTATGCTAGCCAGTGTGACCTTAGCCTTACGATTGAGGAAAATATTATTTTGCTTCTTGACGGAAAGAATTAATTAATGTACAACTACTGTTTATTACCTATTCAACCTACTTGTATTATTTGTAATGTCTGTGTCATAATATAATTGTCACGGTTTTAATTTATTTTATCTCCATTTAAAAATGCATTGCTCTCTTTTCGGCGCTGGAAGACCCGCATTTTGGTATTTTCCAAGTAACTACAAATGGTCGCCGTGTTTGTCGCAAAATTTCAGGTGTCTCAAATCGATTTTTTTTAAGAATTCCCCGAAATACTCAAAAACTGAATTAATAACTGGCCAAATGGACGCGTAAGTATTGAAAACTTTGAAAAGTATTGCCTTTGCTGTGACGCTTGTTGGTTTCTCGCAGTTTACAAGACGAGGTGGAGTCGCTAGAGGCAATTCTCATGGAAGATGTTTGCATTAAACGCACGCCCAGGTAGGTTAACAGCTCGCCGATTGTGTTTGCTATGCTAAAGCGATCTCTATTCTTCTTTTCCAATGAAGCGGTGAGGTGGATCTGATCGAGACGACGGTGCTGCCCCTGACCGGCGAGGAGGAGGAACAGCAGTACGTGTGCGTCACCTTGCAGGTGCATCCGACACCTGGTTATCCGGATGCAAGTCCCACATTCAAGCTGCTGCGTCCCCGGGGACTGGACGACGCCCGGTTAGAGGCCATCAGGAGCGCTTGTAACGCCAAGATCAAGGAGTCGCTGGGCTTTCCAGTCGTGTTCGACCTAATTGAGGTGGTGCGCGAGCACTTGACCGGCAGCAACCTGCCCAGCGGCCAATGCGTGGTTTGTCTGTATGGATTCGCCGAGGGCGATGAGTTCACCCGTACCGAGTGCTTTCACTACCTGCACAGCTACTGCCTGGCCCGCCACTTGAACGCCCTGAGGCGCAACTACCAGGAGGAATTCGAGAAGCTGCCTAACTGGCTGCAAAAGACCGCCGATCCCTTCCAGGCGCTGTGCCCCGTCTGCCGCGAGCACATCGGCGACGATTCGGACAGCCTCAAGTGTGCCATGCCGCCGTCGGAGCTGACCAATGCCCCCGAGTTTAAGGTGACCGAGGAGTTGCGCCAGATGCAGCAGCGTATGTCGCAGTTGTATTTGCAGCAAAAGAGCCGTGGCGCCATCATCGACGTAAAGACCGATGGAGCTGCCGTGATTTCTATTGAGACCGAAGAGGATATACGCCGACGAAGGCGTCGCGAAGAGGCAGAGGCTGCCCGGAAGCTGGAGGGTCCGTCCAAGGAGGAGGTCCCTAAACCCACCACCAGCACTACCACCACCTTTGCGCCCGTGGTTCAAGAGACGCAACGCATCACACCGGAGCCGACCAACAATAACTATCATCACCACAATCGGCGGCACTATCGTGGCGGTAGGCGCCATCATCATCATCACCAGCACGGCCATCACCGGGCCGATCGTGATCGCGATCAGAACTCGGGAGCAGGCGCAGCCCAGGCCAGCGGAGGAGGCGGCGGAGGCAACACTTCATCGAATACAGGGACCGGTAAGCAGGCAAAGGCCCAGACAGCTAGCTCCGGACTTGCCAGGTGACGATGGCTTCCGGAAGAGATGGGCAACCGGATACCCATTGCGCTGCCATGCTGCTAATACACAATGAAGCACTCCCAACCGCACCCCAGAATCCAAACGGCCCAGGTTTAGTTTCGTGAGGCGCGCGCACTCATTTCTGTGAATTCCTACGTTCTTATGTGTATTTATGTTTAGTTAGCTTTAGCTTTTAGCAAGCCGGGTTAGCTAATTTCGATTGTAATATTTAATGGCGATATTTTAGTTTGTATCTTAACTATAATGATGTATTTGTAATGGTTTACAAGACTTGCGGCATTGTGCCGGAACGATATTACGACGACAATGAGTGAGTAGGGCGTTTGATAGCTAGCGATAGCGAGCATGTATGTATTTAGCAGCACCAACTGGCAGCGCTGGCGTTGACACCCCACAGCATTGCGACGATGACCCAGGAGACTACGATGATGGTGATGATGATATTGATATTCACTTACGCATAATCTGCAAACAGCACCTTAAAGTTTAGCATAAATATATGAACTTTCCTCTCTGGCAGCCTGTAGCACAAAAGGAAACGTAGAACCAAAGGCAGTTTAAATGAAAATTTAAGAAAATCGTGTGGCGTTACACATCTTGTTCATTTACATTGTTTTTGGCGGAACTCAGCTTGAAGTCGACGTCAGTCGAAGCGGCACTTCTAGTCAGTGAATGGAGAGGAACCCGACATACAGGGCATTTGCATTAGCATGCACACATATATTTAATAAATATCACAATTAATTGAGTGTCTCTGTGTAGAAAAAACAAGTAGAGATCGATCCGTATTATATCGAAAATTCAATTTCAATGTGTCAAATAATAAATACTACGATTGAAAAAACTTAAATAAAAAATAAATCGAATTTGGAAGTCAAACAGAACGCTGTTTCTTTTGCTTGCGCGGGGGATTCCCAATAAAAAAGGCTGGGTAATTATGTTGTTATTTTTTTGTAAATGTTTTTATTTCGCATTTAAATTTGTTTTAATTGAATAGAATTACAAAAAACGTGTTTTAATGCCTTTTTCTTTCGTTTCGTACAACAAAATAATTTAGTATTAGTATTTTACAGTATTTATATAAACGGGGGCTTCGTTTCTTCCATTCATTCGCTGCCGTATTGCATATAAAAAACAAAATAATTATGCAATACAAAAAATCTGTGTGTTTGTTTTTTTTGCTTAACGGCTAAATTAATTAATTAAACTTATAGTAATGACTTTTAGTATATAATTAAACATTGTTTCTCTTTTCTTTATGCAGCTTACGATTTTTCACTTTCCTATTAGTTTATAATAACAGAACAAAATCAAATTTTAATCCTTTTTCAAAAGGGTTTTTAGTTATTTTTTTGGCCGTGCCACCTTCTGCCACACCCCCTCTTCGGCCATCAGTCATCCACCAGACTGGCGATTCCAATGGAGACCGTGGGAGTCAAGGGTATTAGCAGCAAAAAGGCGGCGTCCGACATTTCATTCGAATGTGTTTTTTGTATTTTTTTCTAGGTTTTCTTTTCAATATTTTTTGTTGTTTGTATTATAATTTTTTAATTGCCTTAGAGCACTTGGAGTGTATTTTTCATTAATTTACGCTTGCTCTTCTCTCTTCTATATAAGTATATACAAATCATAATTTTGGAAACTAGTAGAGTGTATAACTAGAGTGAATAAGGGTAGTGGGCATTACAAATTAGTAGTAGCAAAAGGTAGTATTAGTATTAGTATTAGTAGTACTCGTAAGTAGATCGGTTGCTTCTCTGATCAACTTTGTGTGCTAGCTATGTATATGTCTGCAGTAATCCTTCTTTGTATCTGAGTGTGTGTCTTTTACAAAATATATATATATATAGTATATAAACATCTATAAATTGTCTCGAATCCTCCACTCCTTTAGGGCACTTCGTAGTGTTAGTCTCTTTAGAACTGTGTGTGCTGCTACATTCATTGCTAATGTAGACTTCTGTCGCTTCATTTTCAGGAATTTTTAGAGGGTTTGTGTTTAGTTTAGTTTAGAACTTCAGTGCGTAGTTAGTACATAAAGTTGTGTGGTGTAGATATTGGCATTCTTTTGCTTCCTCGTCTCTCTCGTTTCCACCTCATAGACGGAAGGGTTCGCGCTTTTCCGTTGGCGTGGTGCCCCGCGATGTCCGGCGCATCGTCGAACTGAATGTCGGCTCCGCTGAACTCTTGCGCGGCGTCTGCATGCCGGATGGCGTGGAGCTGCCACTGATGTTCCGCCTATATGCACAGGATCAAAATAGTACAAGTTAGTTTCCATTTTTACATAATTTTATAGCTCATAAAACACATAAGGATAACGAAATTTAAATCGAACTTAAGCATTAATCGAAAGCATTATCTTGCTCGTTGCTTTTTTTGTTTAGGTTTTGGTTCTCATGGCATGAAAGACATTCACATAATCATTAGCATGCTTGGACAGGAAGGAATAACCAAAGGCTATATAATTTATAAGATGCATAAAATAAAATAGAATGTGCTGCACATAAATCTAAAAACCTTGAGAATGCATATGTTCTGTTATTTCTCAACAAAACTTCAAAAAGAGTAGCAATATATATAAGGCATTACGCATCTTATTCATTACATGTTCTTTGGTTGAACAAACATAGGAAACTTAACGATAAAATTAATAATTAAACGAGTATAAATCATAATTACTTGCTACTATCAGTAGAGACTCTGAGTTGAAAAATTGACTAGTTAATGTCTGTTGTCTGGTGGTTTGTAAGCTTATCAACTTTACCCCAAGCTTGTTGGATTCGTAGTCGAGCTGGTGGGCGATGTTGACTTGGAATCGAATGAGGGTATCTTAATCGGTATCCGTGATGGCCGGCTTTTTGTTGGATGGGGGTAGTAAGTAAGTAAGTACAATAGTTAGCGAAAGGTAAACCATAACCATAGCTATTCCTGCAGTACATGAGATCTCGAACTTACATCTAGCCTAGAGTCTTATGAGTATGTTTAATTATGTTTAATTATGTCGAGGGTCGCTGTATTACCTAATTGGTTTGAAGCCGAAGCCTGTTAGTGCTGGTATACTGGATGATCTACTCATGCCTCCGTTGCTGTTTTACATACGTTTATTTATTTTTTTTGGGAGGGTTTTCAGGCACAAGTTTCGCAGTTAGTTGCATTTTTAGTCGCGTTCAAGCAAATTTCAAAAATGGTTCAAATGCCAATTATAGTTGTTGTAAGTTAGCGTTTTTTGTTTTTCATGATGTTTTGTTGATTGATTTTTGTGTGAGTGGTGTTGTTGGTTGGTCAAGAGTTAATGCGGTGGTCAACCGAAAACGGTGTGGAAATAAAAATAATAAATTAATAAGAGTGTCTGAATAGATCCCGCCCCATCAATGTCCCCACTAATCTGTGGACTGACTGCATTGCCAAATAAAAGCATACCTTGTGGGCGCTGGACTGGCCGAACCGGAGGCGGTCTTGCGGGTGATGGTGCTGGTGCCATTGAGACGGCTGCCTGGCGTTGTGGTGGTAGTCACCGAAAGACGCGCTGGACGCGGCGTGGTGCCGCTGGTGGTGCTGGCCGTCGATGGCTTGCGCTGCGGAATGCGTGAGGGCGTGTGATCGTCTAAAGAAATAAAATAATAAACATTATTAGATGAGCTTCCCATTTTAGATTACCTTCTGCTTACCAGTGCTATCCAGCGACAGCGTAGAGCCCTGTCGCGAAGGCGGCTTCGATCCTTGTCTGCTGAGCGGGCGCGAGTTGGGCTTGGAGCCGGCGCGAGAGCCTCCTGGCGTGAGGCCCGTGCGTGTGCTCGTGTAGGTGACCTTGCGGGGCGTGTACCGACCTGAGGGTCCACCATGGCTGCCCTCGTTGTCGCTCAGAGAGTCGGGGGTGCTGGCCGAGAGTGAGGATCGCGATGGTCGCGACATGGGAATGGAGCGAACGGAACGCTCGCGAACCTGCATTAATCATAAGTGGATATTAGCATAGTGATTCATCTGATTATATACAGGTTATCCCCTGTGAATGGAACCGATTGCGGGGTGCTCCTCCTGGATTAGCTTCTCCTTTTCTTTCTTTTCCTTCTGTCGAACTTACCCAGTGTGTTGTTGGATGACAATGCAGCACATGAGGACTCAGTGGCACCGAGCGGCTGGTATTGCAACGAACGAATACCGTGCCGCCGGCGCCCATGTGAATGGGAAAGGCGCATGGAACCTGGTCTTGAGCGCGGATTTTCTCAAAGATTGGCATTAGTTCGGCCAAGTGTTCGTCGGCTAGTTTGGGGAATCAATCAATTTCGATACGTTTAACCAACAATGGACAGACTTATGGCAGTTGGCAAACGGTATATGGTCACTTAGGCCACAAAACAACAACCTAACATTATGATATCCTGGCCTAAACTCAATTGCGCAATGATCAAAGTGTGGGGTGTACTCTAGCATCAACTCAAAAGGGCCGCAAAAGCGTATCAAATAATAGTCTTAAAAAAAAAACACAAGTAAACATATACATATATAGTATCGATACGAAGTATACTCGGTTCTCATGCAGATACAACAAAATCAAGAGTCGGCGGCGCGCAGCAGCGAGAGCTTTTCTTTGTCAACAACACACACACAATAAACCCAATTAAAAAAAAAGGAACAGGAAGGAAAGGAGCACTTACCTTGTGCCCCCTGCAGGATAAAGGGATGATTGAAAGGATAGATGTATTGGTGTAAGGGAATCAGGAGTTGGCTTCATTCTGATTAAACACTTAATGTATTTACACCTGGTTTCCTTTACACTATTCAAATCAAAACATGGCTATTTTCGGATTGAATAGTTTTAAAAGCATTATTTCTACATACATCCTACATTAGAATTTAAAATTTAAAATGTTAAATTTATTAAGTCACTGGTAAAGTGATCAAGTTCAAGAATTGGTTAAGACTTAAAATAAATGATGTAAAAATTCTGGATTAAAGTATTGGAAAAAAGGGATCTGTGCAATATTTTCCAGTTAAAGGGTATAGTTGGACGTAGTTCAACAGAGATCGTGACTGTATATTGTGTTAGTTCACACTTGCTTATCGGAATTGAAACATTATAAGACTTCAGAATTTTTTTAAACAAATTTGGAAAAAGGGATTGCAAAGTTAATATTTAGATATTTTTAACTGAAGTATATTAAGAAAACGGTAAGGTTTTAAGGGAAATTGAACAACTATTTTTGTTTTAAAACTATTATTCAACTATCCATTCCGATTTGAGCCATTTTTGATTAGTTAGGAAATCGAAAACGGGTTATCCTTTGGTTTCGTTTTTTCTGGGGAGTTTTCAGTTACTGTCGTTGGTTTTTCTATTAGATTTACCTTGATGATGGGACCCTGTCCACTCATATATGGCGGCAAGTTGGAGCTACCGCCATTCTGGGCATTGGGTGAGGAGGAGGCAGTGGCGGCCGCATTGGGCGTGGAACGTCTGGGCGTGAATGCGGCCATGCTCTGTGAGACGCCATCGGCCAATATGAATTGTTCGCGCAGCTCAATGTTAGTGCGTCCCTTGGCTGCTCCCGTGGTAAACAGAGTGGCATATTTTGGTAGCGATTGCAGCAGCGGTTTGCAGTGAATGCATCATATATACATTGTATGGATGTATATTTGGCATTTTTTGTTTGAATATAACACACAGACAGAGGCGCACACGGGTATATTTGCAATGTTTTGTTGTAGGGCGAAACATATAAACAACAAACAAATAACAACGAAAGTTTGTTACCGCAGAGTATTTGTCACAGTTTGTTTTTTTTTCAGTTTTTCGTGTTGGAATTTTCATTCAGTTTCGGTTTTGGTTTTAATATTTGTGGTGTGGTATTTTTGTATTTTTTCGGTATTTTTTGTGGGCACAGGCAGGTGCATGTCGGGCGTGGACGTGGTCGTGGAGCGGGCAGCGCAAGCGAAGAATACACATGTTTGTTTATTTTTTATCGGGATCGGTTATCAATCGATTTTTCATTTTAATAAAGGAAACCATTTCGGAATAAAAAGAAAAAGGGGTAAAACATAAAATTTGATTAGTAAAAACGAAAAAAACAATAACACAAATTATTAAACAAATTTCAAATTTACAAAATTTTGAACAAATAGGACGCACAGCGATATTGGCGAGACTTCAAACGTAAAATGCATGACATGAAGTACAGTCGTCGCAGACTCTGTTAGTTAACAGAGCTAGCTGGACTGCATCAAACAAATAAAGCAGGATGTTAGTAGAAAAGCAAAACTGGGGTTAACATAAAAGCATGCTTAAGTACTGGTTTTCAATTAGATACATGTGGTTATTCTGACTAACACTAAATAATAGTTGGAGAAACCGGGTTAATACCACTAACTAACTACAAAGATAGAGAAGGTACGGTAGGGAAGCGGCTTTGGTGTGTGTGTGTGGTGTTACGCAGTAAGGGTATCGAAGCGACAAAGATGAGCATGAGAATAGAGCAAATGGGAGAAACCTTGGAGCTAAGTTGAGCTTAGGGTTTCTTGGGGTTCTGGGTTCAGCTGTTGATTGTTGTGGGTTTCTTTGGTTATTGCGTATGAGAACTGGCTGGATGTCAAAAGTAAGAACAAATAAGTCTGCAATATGGGCACTGTTAATTTCAGTTTAGCTATGTTTTTAGGCAAACTCTTGGACCAGAATTAATAATGATGAGGTCAGAACTAGTTTTAGGGTTTCTCCTTTTTAAATATCCTGGATTTTTCATTTGCTAGTACAATTTTTAGGCACAGTAGTTTATTCTTGGTTGGTTGGTTGTTGGTTTTTGGTTAAATGACCATATCCGTTTGGTATTATTATTATTATTATTATTATTATTAATATTTGGCATTATAGATGTGGTATAATTAGTTGTTAAGCACAACTATACCTATATGTGGTATGAATGCGTTTAAAATGGAATGATCAAACGATGCACAGCATCTGGGTATAGACAAAATGCATGATTCTGGGGTGGAGTATATAAGTATTTAAAATGTGGACTACAAGATTACGCTAGAATATTATTGTATGAATTGTACATGTGACTCGTACTGATGTGGCATGGATGAAGTCCAACAAATTTCGAAAATGTGTGTGTACGCAACACAACTATATAAAGTGTTTTGAATAGCTTATAAATTTTAAAGCAGATAATAAACTTACCGCGACAAGGATCGTTCTTTTGCAGGAATTCGTCCAGGGCAACCCAGCCGCCGCCAACGCGCACCATGACAGTACTGCGAAGGATGCGAACCAGACGCAGCTTCTGGGAGTCTCCAAACTAGTTTACGAAAGATTATCGAGTTTAGTTACCTTTACCTGAAAAACTGCTATGTTAAACTTACCCTATACTTGCCCTCGCCGACTTGGAACACTCGGAACTTCTGCCGGCACGTACAGAGCATGACCAGACGCTTGACTTCGTCATGTATCTTGTCCGAGTCATTGGCCGGTTTGCGCTCTTGCCAATCGGGACGCAGGGCAGCGATGAACTCCTGCCAGTCAATGAGACCCTCGCCATTGCGATCGAAAAGATCGGCCACAGCCTTCATTTCCAAGCCAGAGGTATCGAATTCTACAGATAATATAAAGAGTTATAGAGGTTAACAGAGCTACTCCAATTATAAACTTACTCGTATTGAGTATGCCATCGATGAAGACATCGCGTGGAATCATGCCATTGTTGTCCTTGTCCATTTTGCGGAAAAGATCCGTCAGGCGCGATTTCTTGTGGTTCATGTACTTGAGGAACTGAAAGTGAAGCAAGAAATATGTCAGATTGCAGTAATAGATGACAGATCGATGTATCCAATATTATTTAGGATTTTCCCTTTCAGATACTTACGCGCTTGCGCCAATCGTCCCAGCTAAAGTTACGGGCACGCTCCACATCCTTCAGATACATCAGATGATCGTTGAGCAGACGCTGGCGCTCCCATGAGAGCATCCAGACATCACGCCACTTGGTCCACAGAAGCTTGGCCCGCGGAGAACGGAAGTCCAATTCGGGTCCAGAGGTGCTATATATACGGAAAGGTAAAATGTCAGAATATTTCACAAAAAACATAGATTCAAACACGCAGATATAAGATAAGGTTTCGAACTACATACAAACACTGGGCACATGCACGGATTGAGATGATATCTAAATCATTGTGTATGACTCCTGATGATTACGACTTACCTTGGCGAGAATCGGGGGCCGTAGTGCGGCAAGCGATCTCTGTCGGGTGTGTCACGTGTGGGCGTAACACGACTGCTCAGAGATTTGATTTTTGGACATACGACAAGAGGCAAAAATAAAGCGGCAAGATGCATAGTTTGATATTCGAGCGATATGAGGAGCAACGTTTACGTAGTAGCGTAGAGATGAAAGTAGAATCGAAAAGAGACAAAACAAAATGGTAAAGTAACGAAACAAAATACGCAATACACATTAAAAATAACATGGATAATACATAGATTTCAAAATAATATGTATAGTTTTTTGTATATATAAACATTTCGAATAGTTGTAGACGCAGCAGCATTTCCAAAAAGTAGTTTTAAAAAGTTGAAAACAAAAGAATTTCGAGTTAACATGCTGAAATCTATCTATTCTGGTACTGATCTAAGAATGATGACTCACCTTCCCTTGCGGGCATTGAGTCCTTGATCCCGAGATCCCTTGAAGCTGTGAATAAATAGGAGAATTCATTATTAGTAAGTACAATTTAAAGAGTGCTTAGTAGACTTAGTGGAAGCAACAGTTATATTAAGCATCAGTGATTAAGCAGAAGTGGTTTTGGGTTGCTGGAGAGTGCTCGGTATTTGGTATGATTTGTGTTCGTTAGCTGCTACTGGTTTTTAGCGCTACTTGTAGAGGGGTTGGGTTCGGGTTTCGGATGTTAGGCAAACACTAAGACCATTCGTCATGGATGGGATGGTGAGTAAGCGCACATTCGCCACTGGACAATCCAGTGGATGAGACACGAGTAGGCGGGCATTAGAGTATGTTGTGTTGCATATAGAGAAGTTGCGGCCAAACCTTTGACGCCTCAGAGTGCCGTCGGGCGACTGCTCACGCAGATCGTGACTGGAGCCACGACTGTCGATCGTTGGTTGATTGGTTGGTGTGGTTTTTGGATAGGCAGAGAGTATAAGGTGTGCAAGACGTGTTGCGGGGGTTTTTGGTACAGGTATTTTGATTTTGGAATAATTGTAGCAATATAAGGTGGAGATACGACAGAGAGTATATAAAAAAGAAAATTGGCAAAAATAAATATACAAAAAAATAATAAACAACGGAGGTTCATATTTGTATATACAGCAGTTTTTGCTATACTAGTCAACTCACACTGGCGTCTTTCCGCTACGTGATGGCTTCCTGGCACCTGGTGGCAACTGCCTGGGCTTGCAGGCGCGATCTATTTCATTCTGGCGGCGTGCCGTGTTCTCCATGAACTCCTTGTGGTCTTCAATCAGTTTCTCCACCGGTGGAATCTCATCTGGCAGTTGTTCGTGCTTCAGGTCTGTGGGAATACATAGTTAACTTCTTATAATCTACAGGTCCTCTCGAAAACTTACTCAACAGTGTGCCCTCGAGTCCGCTGAGCCAGGCCAGTAGCTCCTCAATGGTATCGTCCAGATCCTTGAGCGACTGCAGGTGCTGCTCCAGCTTCGACTCCCGATTGATGGCCCATTGGCGCACCTCCTCCCAGCGTTGCTGGATGATCGATAGCCAGTTCTTGATAATGGGAATGGCATCCGGATAGGCCTTGTTGATAATATCCTCGGCGTACTCGAACGTTTCGGTCTTCTCGCGTTCGCGAATGCGCAGATCCTTCATGAACTCCATATGAATGTCCATCATCTCGCGCGATACCTTCTCATCATCGGGTGCGTTTTTAGCATACCGGAGCTTGTGCTCGGCATGATCCAGCCAGTCGAAGAGAGCCTGTACGCGGGCGTTCAGCTTTTCGGCATCGACCAGCGCCACCTGGAGGCGTTCACCCCGCTTGGCAACGGCACTCTTGACTTCCTCCCAAATGGACTGCATCTCATCGAGCTGGCGGGCCACCTCTGGGTTGTTGCCAGAGCGTTCCAGGTCGCGTCCGGTCTTGAGAACGGCCTGCATTTGAGCGGCACGCTTCTGCAGATCCTGTTCGATGTGCTTGTGGTGCTCGCACAGACCCTGGACCGTCTCCAGATCACCGTGGACGGGTCCATTCTCGTTCAGGCGACTCTTAGCCTTCTTCAGCCAGTCGAGGAGCTCACCCAGAGCATCGCTAAACTGGCCCGAGAGGAGCAGAGCCTCCTCCAGCTTTCGCTGGCGCTCGATGCTCTTGGACCAGACGCGAGTCCACTGTTCCTTCAGCTCCATCAGCATCTTATCCAGTACTGGGCGATCGCCCTTGGGTGCACGCTCCATCAGATTCTTGCCAGTGCGCATGGTGCCATCGTAGACGGTTTGCTTGGCGCCCAGCTGGCGGTGCGTCTCCTTCAGCTTGCTAATGTACTTCTTGATCTTTTGCGGCTCCTTGGAAGCGGTGGCCTCCTCTATGATCTGATCCAGAACCTGTTCGGTCTCCTGCAAATACTGCATCATGCCGCTCCAGGCGTCGTTAAACTCGCGGGCCTCTTTGTAGCCGTGATCCAAAGCACGGGTGCGTTCCGCGGCCTTGCTAACCACTCGCTCCCAGCGATGCTGCACGGACACAAGCAGATTCTTGATAAGGATAACGTCCTGCTTCTGGCTGAAGTATTTTAGGTGTGTTCCCTTCTTGTCCAGGAGCAACATGGCCTCGCGATGAGTGCTCACATCCTTCTGCAGCACCTTGTGCTCTTCCATCTGGGCCTGGATGGTCTCCAGAACGCGCGAGACGGGCTCAGCGTTGGACAGCAGCTTTTCGGCCTGGGTCAGCCACTCCACGAAGGCCTGCAGAGTGTCGTGGAACTCGGTGGCCTCCTTGAGGGCAATCTCCAGCTTTATCTTTTTGTCGGAAGCGCGGGATACAACGGCATCCCAGCGCTGCTTAAGCGTACGCAGTGTGTGCTGCAGGTTGCTCGACGATACCTTCATCTGGTTCTGACGCTTGATATACTCCTGGCCCTGGGCCTGAATCGTCTCCACTTTGGGTCGGTTCTCATCCAGTTCGTTGTACACCTCCATGAAGCGCTCCAGCTGCTCGGTGGCAGTCTCTGGGAGTCCACCCACGGGCTTACTGGCACCAATAACGGCGTCCACATCGCCCAGCCAGCCCAGGATGTCCTGGACTTCGGAAATGTAGCCATGGGCCTCGCGCAAGGCCTCCTCCAGTTCGTGCTGGCGATCACTGGCCTTCTGCAGCAGCTGCTTCCACTCGTTGTTCAACTTGCGCAGCTTCTCCTGCGTGGTGGATGCCTCCACGGAACCCTTCTCTGTTTCAATCAACTGCCTGCCGGCATCGTTAAGCGTATCCACAGAGTTCTGATGGGCCTGAATGTCGTTGGCCAGCACCTTAAGCTTGGCCAGTTCAACCTCCAGTAGTTGCGGATCGCCGGGAATCTGGACAATGCAAGACAAGACATTAGTATTTACCTTTAAAGATTTATTTTTTCCAACTTACCGGTTTCAGTTGATCCAAGGTTCCATCTGTCCTGTTGATCCAGACCAGCAGCTCGTTGAGGGCATGCTGGAATTGACCCAAGTGCAGCAAGGCGTGCTCCAGTTGCTTCTGGCGCTCAACCATGCCACGGAGTAAAGCCTCCCAGCGTCGATTAACCACCGACAAAGGTTCGCGGATAGATGCCGCCTGCTCGGGTGAAGTGCGTTCCGTCAATTCCACAGCTTGTCTGTAGGAAGCCATTAAAGATTAGCTAAAGAACCTGACAGTACTAAAAAAACAGGTGTGGCAAAAGCAAGCGCAAAAATAAGAGTTCATGGCAAACGTATTTTGTGTCTTTGTTTGTATTTTTGCATTGCATGCAACAAGTACAACATGCTCCTGCTTAGCTCAGTTAGGAGATCCCAGAATCACATCTGAGATCTCTTTAAAAGCATCAGTAGGCACTTAATAATACTATTCAATATTCACAACAACGAACGAACGAACGAGAGATTTTTGGAAACTATCTTGCCTTTGGAGACCTCTGCCAATTCACACGTTGAGATACGACACCACACCGCATTAATGGAACATTATAGATATTATATTTATGAGATTTGAGGTGAATTCATCACAGTTTTAACGAGTGTGCTTACCTGTTTAATGCTTCTACTTCAACCATATGCGGATCGACTTCATCCTTGAACGACTTGAGTTGCTCAATCTGTCGCTTGACGGCATCAATGTCCGAACCCACGGCTCCAAGATGGGCAAACTTGTCCTCAGCCTTGGTGAGGAACTTGAGCAGGTTCTGCAGCGTCTCATGGAACTCCATGGCCTTCTCCATGGCATCGATGAGATTCTCCTCGCGCTTGGCATACAGCGCCGTGATGTTGTCCCAGGCATTGTCCAGATCCTCAATGTGCTTCTTCACCTCTGGTTTGTCTGGTTCGCCGCACATGTTCATCAGGTTGCTGCCATGACGACGCACCTGCTCCACCTCGGGCTTGGTCTGGTCAATTTCGTGACGGATCTCCTGAAGGGCCACTTGCTGCTTCTTGATATCTTGCGGCTGTGCCGCTGGTGGCTCCTGGCAGGACAGAGTCTCCTCCAGATCCTTCAGAGTCTTCATCACGCTATTCAGCTGCTTCCAGAAAGGCTCCGCCACGCTGAGAATGTCATCCAGCGAGCTGCCACGCTTCTTGGTGGCATTCTGCACATCGTTCCACAGATTGTTGAGTTTCTCCAGCTTGGCCTTGATGTCACGCACGGCGGGATCGGACTTGTTGCCGGCCTTGGCGATTACATCATTGGCCGCTCGCTGGACAGCACTGAAGGCATCCTGACGCTTGTCCAGATCGTCCATCAATGCATCATTGTCCTCGATCTGTTCGCGAATCTTCTGGGGCAGGGCGGATAGGGGATCCAGTTGGTTGACCTGATCCACGGTGTTGGCCAAGGCACGCAGCATACCCTCCAGCTTGTCGGAGAATTGGCTAGACTCCTGCAGGGCACTTTCGAGAGCCTGCTGGCGTTCACGCAGCTCCAGGCGGAGCGCAGCATACCGGGCATTGTCCGTATCGAGAATCTCATTGATCTTGGCACTGTCCTCATCGGCCACCAGAGAGCCCAAAGCCTCGCCCGTCTTGTTCAGTTTATCAAGCAGTGGCTTGTGTTCCGCAATGGATTGAAGCAGACGCTCATTCTTATCCTGCTGCAGGGTTATCTGGTCTGGGCGCAGTGCTGGCATGCTTAATCGCGAGATCTGCTGCTCCATGTCGTCCAGCCAGGTGGTGAGTCCCTGATGCGAGTCGGCAAAGTGCTCCGACAGAGGGAGAGCCTGTTCCAGGATGCCCAGGCGCTCGCTGCACAACTGGGCCACAGTGTCAACGATCTCCTTGAGATCATCCAGCTTCTCGCGAAGCGTGGCAGTGTTCTCGCTCTGCGGGGACTCGCGGAGTACCTTCTTTGAAGCAGCAGTCACGTCACGCACGCGTCCCTTCTGGCTGGAGATGTCGTCGTTGATGGAACGATGCTCCTGCAATTGGGCGCGCACCAGCTTGGGTTCCATGGCTGGGGGATCGGCCTCGCGCAAGGTGGTGTCCATTTCACGGAACCACTCGAGCAGCTCGTCAATGTCGCCGGTGACCTCCTTGGCCCGCTGATTACTCAGATGCAGACGCTCGGCCTTGCGTTGGATTTGCTCCACGATCGAGTCGAAACGACGGTTATCCCGGGTCACAATGCTCTCGATGGTGGCAGCACCCTCGCCGGGCGACAGCTGGCACAGTTGCGGTCCCACCAAGTTGATGGTGTCCAGAATGGGACGCATATCGGCAAGTTCACCCTCCAGACGGAGCACATCCGCCTGGCGGGGTTCGCTGGGGGCCAGAGCAGCCTCTGCACTCTGCATCCACTCGACGAGACGGTTGTGTGCCTCATGGAATTGCTGCACCAAGGGCAGGGCATTTTGGGCGCTCTTCAACAGATCTCCGCCTCGATTGGTCAAGTCTCCATAGCGACGCTGCAGGGAGTCCAGCTTGTCCTTTAGTTGGATAGCCTCATCGTTGGAAATGTGCTTCATCAGCTCGGCACCGGACTCCACAGTGGATTCTACATTCGATGCATGGCCGGCAATGTTCTCGTTCAACTCCAGCAAATGATCCATCTGCTCCAGCAACTTCTCGGCGTAAACGGGCACGGACTTGAAGCGCTTCAGCTCCGCCTCCATGCTCTCCATCCAGGCCACCAGATCCTGATAGCTCAGGACCAAGTGACGCAGTCCCTGGCGGGACTCGGAGAGCAGAGCTCCGATATTATCGCTGGCATCCACCAAACCGGTGTACCGCTCAGTCACGCCGCGCACCTTCTCGCCAAGATTGACAGCCTCCTCGTCACTCACCAAATGCATCAGCTGGGCGGCCACATCGGCGAGATCTGTGAAATCGGGCTTCTTGCCTAGAATCTCGTCATGTAGGCGGTCGTGCTCCCGGATGCGCTGTTGGATCTTCTCCTCGTCGGTAGGTATCAGCTCCATGGCCTTCACCGAACGCTCGGTGTTGTCCAGCCAGAGCTCGAGGGGACTAATCTTGTCGTGGAAACGCTTGGCCACCTCCATGGCCTCTTCCAGGTCTAACTCACGCTGCTCGGCGCCGTCGGTAAGGGCATCGAATCGCTTCATCAGATCGTTGAGCTGCTTCTCAATGGAGGCCCTCTCGGCAGGCTCACAATGATTGGCCACCTCCTTGCCGAGATTGGCCAACGAACCCATAGAATTCTGCCGATCCAATAGCATCTTTTTTAGGAATTTCTGTTCCTGTAGCTGGGCCTTCACCACCTTGTAGTCAGAGCTGGGAGGCTTCTGGTTGGCCACCATTTCCTCCGTGTCACTGAGCCACTTGGAGAGACCGGCCAGTGCTTCCTGGAACTTGCCAGATTGTAGCAGGGCCACATCCAAGCGACGATCACGTTCGTTCATGCGCTCCTTTAGGTCATTCCATCGGTCGTTCATCTTCTCCAGATCCTTCTCAATGGTTGCGGTGGAGACACCACTGCCAGCCGAACGCACCAGATCTCGTCCAGCCACGTTGACCTTGTCAACGTTCACGGCCAGTGGTTCAACCTTGCGCTCCCTGAAGTTGCGGAAGTCCTCCTGCTGGCGACGGATCTGATCCAGCTCCGAGCCCACAGGCTTCATGCGTTTGAACTCATCGCTGACATCCTGGATGTCGTCCATAGTCTGGGATTGGATGTCATAGAACTGATGCAGTGCCTTCAACGTGGCCTGGAGATTCTCCTCGTGATCGCGCACTCGGTTATCCAAGCGACCCAGGGTCTTGCGCAGCGTGGAGATTTGCTCACGGGTCTGGGTGGTGTCTGCAGCGAAGCCAGCATCCACTAAAACGTCAGCAGCACGATCCGCATCCTCCAGACGACCCACAAGCCTATCCAACTTATGCTGGATCTTGCCAACATCATCGATTTGCTGCTGGACAATCTTGATCTCACGGGCTGGTGGCGAAAGTTTCTCAATTTCCGTCTCCAGATCGTTAAGATCGATGCCCAAACTCTTCATTTGTTCGTTAAACTGGGAGACGGCGGTGGCTGCCGACTGCAGTTCACCGCATCGATCATCGAGGCGTCCCTGCAACTCCGACATGCGATCGGCCAGTCCGTCAACTTCGCTGGTCAAGTGATCGGCATCACCGCCAGCTGCCCGAGCCTCGGCACTGATATCTTTGGCCAAAGCCTTCAGCGACTGCAGCGGCTTGCTCAGACTGGTGAGCTCCTCGCGAATGGCCTTAACACGCTCCAGGAGCTTGGGATCCTTGGCAGCTCCTCCCAAGGCGTCGTGGGCAGCGAGACGGTCCTCGCAGCGACCCAACGAGTGATCCAGATTGCGCAACTCATCGTTGAAGTCTCCCAAGCGACGAGAGCAGTTCTCGATCTCATGGGCACGGGCAATCAGATCATTGTTCAGTCTCTCCCAGCGATCTCGTATATCCTGCAACTCAGCCTTGATTGGTTCCTTGTCGATGTCACAGCTGGTGAGGAAGGTCTCTCCAAGTCCCTTGGTGTTCTCGAACTCACCGGAATGCTTCCATACTTCGCTGCGGAAGGTCTGCAGGTCGCGCAGACGCGTTTCCAGCTTCGCCTTGGAGAGCACGCCGGGTGTGAGATCGGCCAGCTTATCCTCGGCGGTACGCAGCCAGGCGAGGAAAGTCTCCGAAGTCTGCGAATACTTCTTGCAGTGCTCCATGCACGTCTGCAGTCTCGTGTGGCGATCGACAGCTTCGCGGCGGAGTTTCTCCCACTGCTGCTGGATGCGATCCAGGTCGCGTTTCACACCACGATCCTGCTGACGATCGGACAGATCCTTGCCCTTGTTGATCAGCATAATTACCTCGTGCTCACGCGCCATCACCTCGCGGTAGATGGGCTCGTGGGTGTCGATCTGGTGCTGTAGCGTCGGTTTGTGGGCAGAGACCAGCAGGCGGTCGGTCAGGTTGGAGAGCTCTCCTCCTAGCCAGCCAAGGGTTTTGGAGCAGTTCTCGGCAAAGTGACGACCGTCACGCAGTGATGCCTCTGTTTCGGCCTTCTTGGTGTCCAGTTTCTTCTGGAGAGCAAGATACTGCTTCTCCAGGGCAGCCACACGAGAGTTGACATCGGCACGGGAGGCAGGATCACCGAGAATGTTGCACAAAGTGGCGGCGGATTGCTCCACATCAGCCAAAAGGGGACGTTGACCCTCCAACTGACGCTCCAGATTCTCAATCTTGCGCAGATTCTCCTGGTGATCCCCATCCAAGGGAAGGGCATCCAGATTGTCGCTGATGTTTTGCAGCGCCTCGCGTAGTCGATTGACGGCCGCATCGAACTCCTTGGAGCTGTCGGCGGCTCCGCCCAAGCTGTTGGCGCGGTCGTCCAGCTTGCCAACCAGATCCTCCCACTTGCCCAGGATGTCCTTGAGCTTCACTTCGACGGCCTGGGCATCGGGAGTGCCGGCCAGATGGTCGACCACATCGTGTCCCAGCTCCTGGAAGTGCTTCAGTTGCGGCTGCTGGGTGCGGAACTCCTCGCGGAGCACCTGCACCTGCTGTACCTGGCTTTGGACCATGCGGGGATCGGAAGAGATTGGTCCGAGGACGGTCAGCATACGCTCCTTGCTGTCCAGCCAGCTCTTCAGGTTGCCATGTGTGTCCAGGAAGTCACGCAGCTTCTCGGCGAAGGCGATGCGGTTCTTGCAGATGTCGTTGAGATTCTTCCATTTCTCCTGGATGTTGTCGTTCTCCTGGCGCAGCTGCTCAGCGCCGGGCACATCGGACTTGCGGCGCAAGATGTCCTTGACCTGGGCCTTGGTGGTGTCCAGCAGGCTCTGCTTTTCGTACATGTCCTCGAGAATCTTTCGCGCCTGTTTAATGCAGCGCTCAGCCTCATCCTTGTTGGAAACGGACTCCTTGGGCACTTGGCGCTGGATGCGTTCCAGGAACTGAGCAAGTCCCTTGAGGTTCTCATATTGCTTGCGCAGCTCCTCACTCAGATTGTCCAGCTCGTGCTGGCGGTCGTTTAGGCGTACGCCAATCAGCCCGTAGCGGTTGTTGATCTCGCTCAGCTGCTGCTGCACGGGAGACAGTTCCGAGAGCTGGAAACCATCCTGGGAGGACCTGCGGCTACCGAATCCACTGGAACCAGTCGATAGTGGCGACAGGATGCCTCCCTTGGTAGGGCTGGGGCTTCTGGCGTCTCCAGACATGCGGCGCAGCGGGCTGGCCCGCTTGATCGGGCTGTAGGTGGACCGCTTGCGCGAGGCAGGGCTCTCCGGGCGAATCAGGGCATCGTATTGGGCACCAATATCGTTGATCTTGTCAATAGTTGGAGCATAGTCGCGGTAGTCCTTGCATATGGGCTTCAACTCGTCATGCTGCTGCTTGATCCTGTCCAGATCGATGGCCACCGGCGAGAGGCCGTTGACGCGGGCCTCAGTGCTGGACAGCCAGGAGAGAACTTGATCCTTGAGTCCCTCGTAAGCCAACTGCTGCTCGGCCTTCTGCTTAGACAGTTTGGCGCGCTCATCGATGCTGATGTTGATGTTGCGCCACTGAGATTCCAGCGCCTTGATGCGGTCACGCAAAGCTCCTGTGTCGGTGACATCGCGCAGGCTAATCAAATCCTTGCCGCTGCGCACGCAATCCTCGAACTGTGGCGCCAGATGATCCTTCTCACGCGACAGTTCGTTCATCCGTCGAGCCAGCTCCTCGGTGGAGAGCAGGCTGGTCTCCCTGCTATCGAGAGCCTCCTGCAGACTGGCCATGCGCTGCTCCACGGTACTAATCTCGTCCAAATACCTGCTGAGCCGGTTATAGACGTCATCCAGGAACTCGCCACGCTTGTTGGCCTTCTCGTAGAGCTTCTCGAACTTGCCCGTCACATCGTTCAAATTCGATTCCACCTTCTTGGCGATGCGGGCATTCGATGCGCTGGCCAGCAGATGCTTGGCCGAGATTTGGACGCTGTCGATGCTAGCCTGGTGGGACTGAAGATCAGCCAGCAGCACCTTGTGTTCGCGGATCTGCTCCTGCAGACGCTCCTTAATGAGCGAAGCGGGGCGCAGGTTCAGTTTGTACTTGTCCTCGGCCTGGTTAACCCATCCCACGAGACTGTCCAGGGCATCTTGCACGCCCTGCGACTGCACCAGAGTCTTGTCCAGAGTCTTGCAGTGCTCGCCAAGATTGTCCAGCAGTTGCTGGTAGTTGTTCTTCAGATCGGCAATGGGCAGTTCCAACTGGTTGATCTCCATTGGGCTGAGTTGACCGCCCAGGCTGCGCAGCAGATTGTCAAGTGCCTGTTGGGCATTGTCCACCAGTCGGCCACTGGACAGGAGCTCGTTGTGCAGAGCCTTGGCTTCGTTCATCTGGTCCTGGACTCCCTTCGGGTCGCCGGCTATTGGCTCGGAAATGATGCGCGAGACACGCGGATGCACACTCCTCAGCCACTCGTTGGCCTTGTCCAAGGCATCCTGGTACTCCCGTTGACGTCCTCCCAAGCCAGAGACGCGATCTTGCAGAGCGTTGACACGGTTCAGCAGATCCTTGTACTGGGCCGAGACCAGCGACACCTCCTGTCGGATGGGACTCTCGGCACTGGACAGCGGCTCCACATGGGGCAGTCGCTCGGGCAGCGAGGTGCGGAAATCGTTGAGAATGGCGAGGAATTCCTTGCTCTCGTCCACAAACTTCTGGGCAGCCATGGTTATGAAGCGCAGATCGGCCTGGTGGCCAATAACATCGCTGACAAACTCCCTCACGGAGTCAGCCTGCGAGGGCAGTCGCGTCAAATCGGACAGGGAACGCTCCTTGTCCTCCAGTGTGCGACGGGCTACTTGCAGCCAGTCGGAGAAAATATCCAACTCGCTGCGCAGCTTGGTCAGCTCATCACGGCCAGCCTCCAGGCGACGGAGCAGACGCACAGTGCGATCGTTGACACGATCCACACGAGAACGTAGCTCTCGACCAGAGTTCTCCAGGGTTGTGACTTCGGGGCAGACAGAACATCACCACCGGTGAGCACAATCTGACGGATTTGCTCCAGACAAGTGGCCACCGGTCGCTGCTGGGACTCAATCTCATCCTTGATTTGCTGTGAGAAGAGTATTTAATGTTAGATTTTATTAAATTTATAGAGTTCAACGATAGTACTTACCTTGAGAGCATTAATCTGGTTGCGCAGCTCATCGATCTTCTCGCGAGGTCCGCCGACACTTGAGATTTTCTGTTCCACAGTGGTGACCCATTTCAACAGATCGTTCACATTTTCCTCGCACATGTTGAACTTCTCGAATACTGCTTGCTGTATAGGCACAAAATCGCGAAGGGCAAAATAAATTGATTAGAGTCTTGCAGAAACAGGAAGAGAACATCTTAGCTCGATACGGGTCGCTATATAGAGGATTTTGTTGATATAAAGATTATATAGATTTTGTCTATATATATATAAATGTTGATAAATAAATGGAACACAAAATATATATAAAAACACAAAGATAGCTGAAAGAACACACATTGGTTTGTTGAAGCAAAAGACATAGGGCAAAAGCGGTTTGGTTTATAGCAGGCATTAAAACTAAAGTTGAGTTATAAAAGCGGTAAACATAAACCAGAGTTATAATCAAGACATATACAAACACCAAGGTTTATTGCTACGAGCACTACTATTGGGGACTAGCAACTACAAGTTGTTTTTACTTTTAGTATTTGCACTAACTACGGTTTAATGGAGTTTTGTTTTTGGTTGGGTTTGGTTTTTATTGGTTTCTCGGTTAGTGTTAATTTTTGTTTTGTTTGGTATTTGGTTTGGGTTTCTTTTTCAAATTAAAAACTGCAAACGAAATAATATATATGTAAAAAATATTTGTATGCTGAAAATAGGTAGAAAATTGGTATTTAAACAAGATGAAAAAATAATAAACTAAGCTAAAGCCTGGGTTGGAAACGGAAACATTACCTTAGTCCAAAACTAAGAGCAACTGAGGAATAGGAACTAAGATCAGACCAAACTGTAATCTAGGAAGGATATCATTACACTTTGGTCTGAAAAGGATAATAATCCTATGGAAATATACTGCCTAGGATAAGGATACGCTATGTGGAGTTTATATATATATGTATAGAGTACAGAAGAGATATAGAGACGAGAAGGAGTATGTGTATGTGTGCGAATTCGAATGGTTGAGAGATTCGTATGCTAGTGTTATAGACAAGTCGATAGAGTATATATATATTGAACATGTTGTCCTAGATATTGCCGACGTCATTTATGCGGAGGAGTATGAGACATAATGCTCTTCGGCCTGACAAAGCGCGATCGATGTACGAGTACGAGTTTTATGGATGTGTGTGATCTGTGATGTACTTGCTGACTCTGAGATTGCATTATATTGTGGCTGCTGTCGCGAGCTCAGCGAAAAATACGATTTATAGAACATGTATAAAACTGAATGCCATGCGCTGCAATAATAAGAGATTGGCAAAATAATAATAATAAATATGATTTGCAAAGAAAGAATGCTAAATTGAATTCTTTTTGGAAAGCTTACATCTTGGTTAGTCTGAGAGATGAGATCGAGATTTAGATTCAGAGGTAGACAGAGAGAAAGTTTAAGATAAAAGACAGCGCGCTGATCAAAAAAAAAAAGTCTTAATAAAAGTTCGAAATCAATATCGATAGAGTAAATAATATATACCAAAACATGCCACGAACAAAGCTTTTTAATTTAGAATTAGAATAATTTTGCTGTAATTTTTCTTGCAAGTAATTTCTGTGATTTTGCATTCGCAATTCCGTTTTCCGGTTTCCGGTTTCGGTTTGGAAATTGAAAGAGAGTAAACCAGTTTTTCTGGACTGACACTTACCCTCTGTTCTGCCGGCAGGAGCAGACCCTTCTCGGCGGCCTTCACCAGGTCAATGTTGTTCTTCGGCTCATTGGCATCGGTCAGACGGCCCTCGGTGGCATCGATCAGCCCGCTGCCGATGGCAGCCGTTAGTGGGACAATGACCCCACTGCTGGGGTCTCGCACCACCGTCGACGAGGGATCCACCAGACCCGAGCCAATGGCCTCGGCCAGGGTGAACTTTCGGCGTCGGATGATGTCGGGATGCATTTGGAAGGGATCAACTAGGCAGCCGTTGGTTGGGTTGTACAGGTTAAAGGTGATGGCTTCTAGCAAGCCGAATGACCGCTTGGGCGTGCAGATCAGGCCACTCTCGTAGGCCTCCTGCAGGGTGCAGAGCTTGGAGGTCTGCGTATTCAGTACATTCGCCTTGTTCGCATCCATCAGGCCCTTGCGGAAGGCCTCCGGCAACCGGACCAGCTTGGCCTTGGCCAGATCCTTGACCAGCGCGGAATCGGGATCGATCACGCCCGCACTGGCGGCATCCTTGAGCGTGTATACCTTGGGCGTTTCGATGACAGTCAGCGAATCGTTTGCGCTGTCGTCGTTGGCTGGTGCTGGTGCGGATCCTGGTCCACTGGCTGGCACATAGGTCAGCATTCCGGTCTGCAAGTCCAACCACTTGGACTCGGCCGCCTGGTCAAAGGTGACCGGCTCACGGACATAAACAATTAAAGTGGGATCGAAGGCAAAGTACAGGGCCTTGGGATCCACGAGAGTGCGTTTGGTGGTGTCCACGAGACCGCGTTCCACGGCCACCGAGTAAGGTAGGCACTTAAAGCTATCGAAATCGCGAACGAGCGCGGTCTTGGGATCGATTATATTGTAACGGATGGCCTCCTCGAGAGACATTTCGCGCGGTTTGCTAATCACAACGCTGACAGGCGTTTGTCCCAACAATTCAACGCTATCCTGTCGGCGAACAACGTCGCTGCGATCGGTCAGTGGACGGACAACAGTTACGAGTATACCCCGAGCGAGTGCCACGTCATAGTTGTAAGCTGACTTGGACTTGGGATCGAATACCCTACCCTTGGTCACGTCAATGTCCCCGTTTTCAATGGCTTCCGTTAGAGGAAGCTCCTTACCGGTGACCTGATTCTTAAACACGGTCGTCGCGGGATCTATAAAGCCCGAGTGAATGGCCTCGATCAGATCGAGATACTCGCCGGTTGTGGGGTCGCAGAACTTACCCGTTTCGGGGCGGTAGAGTTGCTGACGTAGGACAAGTTCAAGGCTAAGGAGACGGCGATTGGAGACAATCAAACCCCGGGATCGAGCTGCCTGCAGATCAAGCTGTTCGCTGCCCAAATTATAGACTCCCCTAGAATCATCGATGAGCTGCTCCTTGATAGCGTTTGCCAATCGCAGGTACTTGCCACTCTCGTGGTGTTTTACCAAACTGGAGGACAGGCTAACCACATCCTCGACACAGGCTTCATTCAGGTTGAGCTTGCGATTCGTGACTGGGTGAAGAACCTTGCGGGTGTTGACATCATAGAAACCCATGGACAGGAGTTCGTACAAACCGAAACCGGCATTCTCAATGTCCACGATCAGACCTAAGCTAAGGGCCTCGCCTAGCGGTACAAAGTTACTACTGCCCGGCTCCCGGAAGACACCCTCCCTACGGTTGATAATGCCATTGCGACAGGTCTCGCTCAGCGAGTACATCTGCTCATTTTGCTCATCGAAGTAGCACGGCAGGTGCGGATTAATGACAAAACTGCGCATACTCTCGAGCAGAGTGATCTGGCGACCGCTACGGGGATCGCTCAGCTTGCCAGTCTTATCATCGAATAATCCCTGATGGATCGCTCGCTGAATGCTGATGGGCGCATTGACATCCATTAGGATGCCAATGTCAAAGGCGTGTTTTAGAGTCATTGTCTGGTTGTTGTACAGTAGCTTCGAGTTCTGAGCATCAATAATTCCCGTGTCCTTGGCGTGTGTCAGGTTTAATTGCTTGTAAAGACCCGTCTTGAAGTCCCTGATTTGCACACTGTGCTCGTCCAACAAGTTGGTGTTCAAGGCCTCCGCAAAGTTCAGTTTCTCGCCCGACTTGGGATCCACAAAGTGTCCGTCGATCTCATCGTAGACGTTCTTGACCACAGCCTCAATGAGGCGCAGTGGCTTCTTGGCTTCGACTAAAACACCGCGATCGAAGGCCTCCTTAAAGTCAATGGCATTGTCATCGGTATCCTTCACAGTTCCCTGCCTACTATCGATTATGCCAGTTTCTGTGGCCACCCCGAATGGAATGATCTGGCCAGAGCCCACATTGACGACCGTCGAATCGGGATCGAGGATGCCCCTACGAATGGCACGTTCAGTTGTGAGTTTCTCGCGGGTTACCGTATTGCTGAACTGGCCCGTCTTCGGATCGTACAGACCCCGGTAGACGGCGTCCGGCAGGCTGCGCTTGCGCTTGGGCGGGATTAGAATACGATTCTCCAGGGCTTCGTGGAGGGACAACTTGGTGGAGGCATAGGGATTGATCACATATCCGCCAATCGGGTCTAGATAACCCTTGGCTATGGCCTCGGTTATAGAAATGATAGACTCTGTCTTGGGGTCGAGCAGCACCAGCTCCTCGGGATTGATGAGCTTCTGGGCAATGGCCGACTTAAGGTCCAGCTGCTTGTCGTCGATGGTGAATTTGGCTGTCGAAGGGTCGTAAAGGCCACGCAGCAGGCAATCGACCAGGGACAGCGGCTTCTTTGTGCTGATCAGGTAGCCCTTGACGAAGGCCTCGTCGAGGCTGATGTTGGGCGAACTGAGCGTGCCACGGACCGTGTCCAGAAGACCCACCTTGGCCGCCTCTTTGCCCGGCACGATCTTGTCGTGATCTGCGTCTTTGACCAGTGTCGTGTCCAGTTCCACGAAACCCATTTCAATGGCTTGTTGGAGGAGGATCTCCTCGCCGGTGACTGGATTGAGAACCTTGCCAGTGCTGGGCATGTAGTATTCACGCTGCAGCACCTCCGGCAGGCTCCAGGTGACGCTGTCTGTCTTCAGCAGACGCTGCTGCACCCCGACATCGAAGGGCACCAGCGTGTTGTTTTTGTTGTCCTTGATCTGACCCGTGGCAGGTAACACCAAGTCATCTTCGATGGCGCAGTCTAGCTTCACTTCCTTCTTGGTTACCGTATCCACAATCAGAGATATCTTCGGGTCTACTAGACCAATTTCAATGGACTTTTGCACATCAACTTGGTTCTGACTCTCCGAGTCAAAGAGCTTGCCTGTCTCGGGATCATACAGACCCTTGCGGACGGCTGCCTCCAAGGAGATTGGCTTACGTGCGCCGGGCACCAAAAAGCCTAGCTGGAAGGCCAGCTCCATGGGGATCTCCTTGAGTGTCTGAATGTCAATAACCGTGCCCGCTTGCATGTCCACCACTCCCAACTCAATTGCCATACGCAGGGGAATCACCTCACCGCTGACTGGGTCGCGCACCGATATCGACTGAATGTCCAGCTTGCCACTGTTGATGGCCTCAACAATGGAGCAAACCCGACCATCGTCAAGTACCACCTGTCCGGTCTGGGTGTCAATCGTCACGTTCTCGATGCCCGATGGACGCTGCTCCTCGGGATTCGATCGGATTATCCACTCGCGGGCGATGCATTCGAAGAATGGAATCTTCTTGCCTGTCTTGGGATCCACCATGTGTCCAGTGTGTCTGTCCAGCAACGGACGCTCTAGAGCCGTTGTGAGGTTCTCGTATTTGCCGGTGCTAAAATTCTTCACCAAAATAGTCTCCGGATTGAAAATGTTCATGTCAAAGACAAGGGTGTGGAAGGAGATTTTCTGGCCTGTGTTAGGATCAATGAAGTACTGATTCTCGGGATCATAGATGTTCAGATCGCTCAGGTTCTCGACAGTCAATTCGGTGTCCCCATCCACCAGGTAGGTTATCTGCTGCAGCACAATAAGTTTGTCGTCAATGATTTGGACTTCGTCCAAGGGACTAAGCTGCTCCTCCTTGAGCAGCGTTGAGACAGTCTGAGATTGCTGTTCACCATCCACAATCACCTGGCACTCATCGGGACTGATAAGATTCTGGGAAATAGCATCGCCTATGGCCAATGTCTTTGGAACCTCTCGTTTAATGGTGGTTTCCGCAGATTGAGCTGGCATTTCCACCACATCTCGAGCCTCATCTTCCGGAGTACCATCTGCACTTGTTGTTGTTATTGTGGTCGTGGTAGTGGTTACTTTGGTGGTTAATGTGGTGCTGCCAGTGGAGTACACTTCACTTGGTTGTTCTTCTACATACTCGGTTACCACTTGAGATGTGGTCTGTCCTGGTTTCGGTGTCTTTTCTGTGGTCAGGGCATCCACCAAAGCCTTGCCAGCAAGGACAGGTGCTCCCACAATGGCCAAGGCGCCCAACTTGGCAGCATCCTTGACATTCTGCATGATATTACTGCCAGTTCCCAGTGCTTCCTGCGGACCCTTCTCACGCTCAATAAAATCAACAACGGACTGATGTTTGTCCGAAGCAGGATGACTGATCTGTTCGAGATTACCAGGTTGTTGGGGCTGCTTCTCTTCATTGATGATAGCTGTAAATGTTTCGGTTGTCTGAGTAGTATCCGTAGGTTTAGCTGGTTCCTCTACCGGCGTCTCTTTCACTGTTTCAGTGACAACAGTCTCCTGTGGCAGCTGTCCATCATTGCCCGTAGTTGTAGTTGTTGTGGTAATGGTTGTTGTTGTCACTGTAGATTCCGTGATTGTTGGCTCTTCGATGGTAATTATTCTTTCTTCTAGAACAATTGTGCTAGGTTCATTGGTGTGCTCACGAGGTTGATCCACTTCAACGGCTTCGTTAAGCTGTGCATCCACAATCTTTTCTGGCTCCGACTTTTGGGTGACTGTAACTTCCTGAACCGTCGGTTGTTCTTCTGTTGTTCTCACCGTTGTTGTAATAGTAGTGATAGTTTCTGAACTTGTGACAGGTTCTTGAATTTCGCTTGTTACTTCTGTAATCTTTGTCTCAGAGGTAGGTTCAGCGAAGGGAGCCAGTGGGGCTTTGAAGGGTGGTTCAATTTCTGACATCTCATCCTTTTTAGCAGTCCTTGGTTTCGGTTCTGGTTTTGTTGTTGGTTCCGGAGAAGGCTCCTTAACAGCTGGCTCGGAAGTTTTCTCCTTTTTGAATGGCTCTCGAATTTTTTCGGCAGTATTTCCTCCCTCTTAACTGGCTCAGGATTAGTGTCCTTCTTAACTGGCTCAGGAGTAGTGTCCTTCTTAACTGGCTCAGGAGTACTCTCCTTCTTAACTGGCTCTGGGCTGGGCTCTTTCTCCGATGACTTTGGACTGGGTTCTTTCTTAACTGGCTCTGGTTCTGGTTTCTTTTGTATAGGTTCCTGAGCATTTGCTTCCCTAGGAGCTGTCTTGTCGGCTGTATAATCTGTCTCCTGACTTGTCACTGCAGGTATAGTTTCAGTTACCTTAACAATATCAATTTCCTCTGCTGGCACTTCTTTGGGCTTGTCAGCAGTCTGCACCGGCACTGGCTTCTCCTCCACAGTTGTGGTAGTTTTGACATCTTCAACAACAACTGGTTCGAGATCACCAGACTCTCCTACTGTTTTTGAGGTAGTTATTGTTGTGACTGTTGTGGTGGTCAGCGTGGTCGATGACTCCACCGTTGAAGCTTCCTGAGGCTTTGCCTGCTGCTGCTGTTCGTTAGCTATAAAGTTGGCAGTTGTCGAGCTGATGAAATTCTCTGTTTCGCTGAGGAGATTATCCACCTCACTTGGCACTTGTTGCGGCTGTGGCACATTGCGGCGCTCCTGGTCAATGAAGGAGGTTTGAGGTTGTTCTGGTTGCTTGCTTGTCTTGGCATCTTCACTGGGAGACTTCACAGAGTTAATGAGGCTCTTAACGCCGCTTACGAGGGCTCCTCCGGCCAGCACTGGAGCTGCAATTACTCCCAGTGCTCCCATCTTGGCAGCATCTTTAACATTTTGCAGAGTCTTCGACGGCTCCTTACTGCTCTTTGCATCGCCTTCGGTCACAATTGGGAGGGGTGTTTCCTTTGTGGACTGCGTCGTGCTGACCACTTGCATTTCCTGCTTGTGAGTGTCCGAACTGACCACCACTGTCTGGGTTCGCTCTTCCACTACAACTGTTTGATCGCTGCTCGTAGGAAGGTTTGCAACAGCTTCAGGACTCTCTCCCGCTGATGCCTTGGTCTCTCGTGTTGTGGACTCCTCGCGCAGGATTCCAAGCTCCTTAGCCTCTTCCAAGCTGCATACTTCGCCGGTGTTAACATTCTGCACCTCGTTGTTTGAGATGAGTACGTATCCTTGCATCAATTCAATGGTCTTGGTGGTCACAGTATGGACGGCTCGAACAGTCTCCATTATCTCTGTCTTGGGAATGGGTTTCTGGGTCACCACAAAGTCGGAAAGATGTTTCACTACCAGCACACCATTCTCCATGGCCTGACGTAGGGGCAAACGTTCTCCAGTAGTTGGAACCGTCAGTGTTTGGCTTGCGACATCAATGAGTCCCCGCTCCAAGGCAGGCACCACCTCAATGGCATCTGGCTTGGGGGCATAGGGAATGGACATAATAAAGTTCTCATCGATGGCTTGCTTAATGGGGAGTGCCTTCTTGGTATTTGGATGCAGAACCACACGCTTTGACGGCTCCACAAGGCTCTTTTCGACTGCCACTGGGAAGATCATACCCACCGGTGGAATTTCCACCTTGGATTTATGCTGATCGTAGCTGGGATCGAAGAGTTTAGCTTCAATGGCTTCGGTGATGTTGAGGGTCTTGTTCTTGTAGCTGAATGTGGAATCATCGGCGTTGACAATTCCCTTGGTGATTGCCTCCTCCAGGGTGCATTTTTCGGGCTTGTGCAGTTTCGATTGTGGATCCAGGACCTCGCACACGATAGCCTCGTGGATGCTTAGTGGATATCCACTCTCTGGATGTACAATAGTCTGAGTTTGAGGATCAATTAATCCCTGAGCCGCCAACCTCGGTACGGACAAGCTCTTGGCCAATGGCATCAGTATGTGATTGGTTTGCTCAGGATCCAGAATCTTTTGTTCGACGGCTTGGCGGAAATTAAGCACTCGATTGCTCTGTGGATCGATAATTTTACCACGGCGGCCATCAATTAGTCCTGTATTCAGAGCCTCGCTTATGTTGACCACTTCGCCTTTAGGATTGGTGAAGTTGCTAGTATTTTCGAGTATCTGGCAGGTCTCCTCATCGATGATTCCCTTGCGCTGGGCATCCTTTGGCTTCAGAATGATCTTCCGCATGCGCTGCAGAACGACCACCTTTTCCTCCACCGTCGTCGTCGACGGTTCACTGTCAAAAGATCGTCCTCGTTGCAGTTGATCTCGTGACACTATACCTCGCTCATAGGCCACCTCAACGGGTATTTGCTCTCCCGTTCGCGGGTCAGTGACAAAGCGCACCGTTCTCAGTGCTCCCTCTGCGGCAACCAAAGGAGCACCAACTACACTCAAGAGTCCCAGTTTGGTGGCTGTGATCAGATCAACTGGCTGTCCTTCGGAATCGAGTATCGTCGCTGTCTTGGGATCGTAAATGGCACGAGCTATCGCCTCTGTCACCGAAATGGGTTGTTTTGTCGTGGGATCTATGATCTTGATCAGCTGCTCATCAATCAGTCCTTGGCGGGCCGCATCGAAGATGTTCTCCGTTTCCCCGCTCTGAGTGAAAATCACCAAAGCTGTGGACGGATCGTAGATGGCGCCAGGTGCAATTTGCAAGGGCTCCGGAGAGGCGAGTTCTCGCTGGCAGGTGAGCACCTCCACAAACTTGGGCGGGGCATCTTTCAGGGGTGTTGAAACCTCCAGAACATCTGGCATATTATTAACCCGAGTGATGCGAAGGATTGTCTTTTGATTGGCTCCTCTTGTCGCTGGTACAGTCTCCAGAATAATTTTGCCCTCGTCGATGGCACTTCGCATGCCCAGGACTTGCTTCCTGCTGTTGGTATAGTTGCCATAACTATCCAGAATATCACGTTCAAAGGCTGACTGCACGGAGATCTTGTCACCAGTGCTAGGATCAATAACAGAAACCGATAGATTGTTGATGATCTGCCTGTTGATGCATTCCTCAAAGCTGACCAAACGATCTGTGCCCTGCACATGGAATACTCCCGTATCGGGATTAAATAGCCGCTGCTCGATGGCATCCTTCAGTCGCCAGCCGCCGGGAGGCAGCTCCATGATCTGACGCTCTGTCACATTTTGCTCGATGTAGCTGCTCTTCTCCATGTTGATAAAATCGGAGACTACGCGTTGAGGCTTTACCAGCTCCTGAGAAATGGGAATTTCCACCGATTTCTCCACATACTTGGTGTGTTGTGTGTTTAACTTGATGGGCTCAGCTTCTGGTATGATCTGCTTGGTCACAATGGTGATTGTGGACTTTGTCTTCTTCCTATTTGTTGGCTCTGGAACGGTTTGGTTGCTGTCGGGCACCAATAGGCCGTAGTTAAGCGCCTGTTGCACGGAGTAAACGTTGCCTGTCTTGGGGTCTTTAAAGAGCTGCCTATCCTCGTCAATGAAACCTTGTCGCACCGCCTCGGTGAAAGTGAGCAGCACACTCTCGCCGCCCGGCTCTTGGGAACCCGCCCTGATTGTCACATATCGATTGATAGTCCGTGTCACCGTCTCTGTGGTCAGTGTAATGTTGAGTAAACTGCTCAGGAGAAGAGCTCCCTCGGGTGTGATGAACTTTCGCTCGATGGCGGTGTCCAAAGGCACTGTCTCCCCGGTCTTGGGATCCAGCAGGTAGCCCGTCTTCGGGTCAATCAGATTGTGATAGACCAAATCGAACACACTGAGCTCTTTGCCACTGGCATTGTGAACCCCGATGCCGCGGCTAAACATCTCGTACACCTCCTGGCGCACCAAACCCTCACCCACGGCAACCTCCAGGGGCACCAGGCTATCCCTACCCGTCTCTAAGGCAAAGCCCGTGCTCTTGCGACGCAGAAGTTCACGCGACAGGGCCACATTAAAACTAACATAGTCGTTGCTCCTCAGATCCTTGAACCCGTCAATATCGAAGATCGAACGCTGCGCCACAGAACTAATCAAACCGCGCTCTACCGCCTCCGGAATGCTAATGAGTTCGCCAGTCATAAAGTCGCGATACTTGCACTCCGCCGGCAACACGATGCCGTCAGCAATGGCCTCCTGAAGGGTGACCAGTTCACCTTTTCGCTTGGTGATGCATTTCAGCTGATTCCCGTCAAGCACACCGGCCTCGATAGCCTGCATGATGCTCAGCTTTTCGCGGCGCATGGGACTCGTGATCTGAGCCTGCTTATCGAGCAGGTTCAAATCGCAGATGTCCTTCAGCGTGTACGGTTTCACGATCAACTGACGGTTACGCGCCTCCGCGAATGTCAGCTTCTCCTTGGTCACCTCGTTCACGTACCGACCGGTTTTGGCATTAAGGACGCCCGACTGCAGTGCCTCCTGCAGTGTGATTTTCGTATCTCGTTTCGCGTCCACCACTTCACGCACACTCGCGTCGATCAACTGATTGGCAATGGCCGAGTCCAGCCGGAACTTGTCGCCGGAGTTGCGATCCGCTATCCAGCCGGCGCCGTCGACCAGGCCATGCGAAATCGCATCGCTCAGGCACAGCGCATTCGACTTGATTGTCACCGACTCGTGCCGGATGAGGTAGCCGCGCTCGTAGGCCTCCGCCAGGCTGATCGTCTGGCCGGATTTGACGCGATACAGGCCGGTCTTGGTGTCCACACTCCCCGCGGTAATGGCGTCGGCAATGTTGCGTGGGTTCTCGGGCGAACCCAGCGCCGCCTCGGGCGACTGCTCTACGGTAGTGTTTACCTTGATTCTCTTCTCTGCCGTCTCATAGCCGGACTCCGCTTCGGTAATCTCGCGCTGGATAACTTCCAGCAACGACAGTTCCCGTCCGCTGGCATCACGTCCCGCTCCCGGTTGGAGCAATTGGCGGGCCAGCTGCGCATCAATTAAACCTTGTTCGGCAGCCTGTTCCAGGCTGATGCGTCGGTCGCCCACCAACATTTCGCCAGTGCGTACGTCCAGAATGCGTAGCTGGATGGCCTCGCCTACGGTTAGGATGCGACCGGTGCGCGGATCACGGATTCCGGCGATATCCAGCACGGATTGGCCACCCAACTGCTGGGCGCGCTTGAGCGTTTTAATCTCGCTGAACTGGATCTGCGACTGGGGCAGGATAGCAGCGGTGCTGTTAACCTCCTGACTAGCTGAATCCAAGCCATCGCTACTATAGATGCTTTTCGTAGAGCTTTTCGTTGTCTTCGTTGAGCTGAATCTGCGAAGGAAGTGAGAAAACCTTAGAAACCAACTCGGGGCTATTGTAACTCATACTCACTGTGTGGTGCTGTAGGTGGTGGTGTAGAGATCCTCCTGGCGTGCAGCGTAACCATCGCCAGTTGGTACGCTGCCCGCACTGAAGTCAACCCTAAAGGTCTTGAGCGGTTTCTGAAGACTCTCAGCGTATTGCTAAATGCCAAAATGAAAGCAATTTCAGTCAGTTTTTTGTACAAAATAAAGTCAACAACTATCTGCGGAAGGTCTTTGCGAGGCGAGGTAGGAGTAGAAAAAGGAGGAGCTGTGGATGGAGTATTTTTTACCTGAAACTCGAACGCAAAGTCGTAGTCACTTTCCTCTGCCACTTGGACAGCTGTGGTCGTGGTCGTGGTCTGGGTTTTGGATTTGGTCGCCTTGCGACCCGATCTATGCTGAGGCATGTCTAAGGCTTTCGTTTGATTCAGTTCGACAAAGTAGTCATAGTCAGCAATTTGGTTTTGATTCGTTGGCTTAGTGGGGCCTCTTGAATACACTGCGCGAGATTTAATTATGACAAAAGCAATTAGAGATTTGCGATTTACGGATACGATTTACGATGGACATAGAGACGCGTCACTTTGAAGTTGCCCTGACCGTGGAGCCACAAAACAGTGTGGAATGTGTTTATGGCATGCGTGAGAGTGATACGGAGTCGCGAGATAAAGTCACCGACGATAAAGCAAACTAAAAATAATTGAGTTTCGACTCGTAGAAGCTTATTCTCCTCCTATGGAGGCTATAAAACAATGCTTCATGGAGCTGGTGGAATCTTGGCACCTGGTCTTAAAGTGTCCAGCCTGCCTATTCTCTCGTTGAATCACTTTTCGACCCACTCACTGGATCCAGTTTCACACAGGGAACACATTATTATTATTATTATTATTATCAGCACCGAACCGAAGCACACAAATCACAAATAAAGCACACAGAAATATAAAAAAAAATAAAGAAAAAAAACACGCATACAAAAAGCCAAAACCCAAAGCCTTTATGAAAATAGAAATGACGCTATATATAGGGAGCGAGGGTGACCTCCTCCACAGCTCTGCAAATAACTTGGTGCAAACTTGAACAAGAGTGCAGGGATCCCCATGAATGGGTAAGGAAAGAGCCTGCTTTTCTTGTAGCTGTTGGTATCTGGAGTACATCTTATCGGTCGGTACATCTGTTAATTTAATTTTTATCTTTATGAACACCGACAGACAGAGAGTGTTGGTGATTCAATGGCAAAATGCCTGACAGATGGTTGCAGGTCATAGCTTTGGTTTTGAAATGCATTGACGTCATTGTAGAGTTCCGGTGAAGCATCATTTACCAGATGAAGTCATTGATTAAAGGAGGAGGAGTCTGCCTCTCGCTCCAAAAGCGATCATCGTTTATGATTTGCATTTTCGAAAAAATACAAATAAACTACTAATTCGTTTGCTGCTTTTCAAGGTCGCCCTAGAGTCGGTAAAAGCAACAAATAAATTATAATTAACAAAAACACGCATACAGGAACCAACACACATCGACAGGGACAGGCATTTATATGAGTGCGAGTTCGAGTACGAGAACAATGATGTCATCAGAGTGGCGAATATTTATTTTGATTATAAATGAAACAAGTTTTGCCCAACTGCGAATTGAAGCTGAACTAGTGTGCAAAGTGTAGAACACAAATTCCTACTTCTCAATGGCTTCTCGAGTGGGTTTGCTTGGAGAGATTAAACAGATTCTAGGCTCGGATGCGCTTGACACTGATAACATGACTAATACGCCACGTTGTGCCGGCTACAAAATGGGGGCAAAGGAGAAACACCGCCGAGCCGGCCCGAGTGACTGAGAGAGAGAGAGGAAAGCTTTCCACATGCAGCATGCTGCAGCCTGCATTTGGACCTCGCCTTTGCCGCAACACGAAAATAGAGGCGCCTCCCTTTTATAGCTAGGCTAAAGCAAAGGCAAAGACCCCGAAAGAAAAACGCTCGCTTTCATTCCTGATTTATCGTTAGAATGCCTCTAAAAATATATATAAAATAAGAGACATATATTTATACATCGCACAAGGCACACACTGAAGCACTGACTCCTCTGCGGCACAAGTTTAATCGATAATCGAGCGGAAGGGAAAAGTGCACACCACAACACACTTTAAGTTTTGGCTGTCTCTGGGAAACCTGGAACTGATCGCTCTGTCCCAAGGCATAGCATCGCCTCTGATGGATTGCACCTCATAGATTAGATTAGCGCCAGCCCTGACACTCTGGCGATCTCCGGTGTTGATAGGAAGCCATATATCAAGCAAGTCACTAAAAAATTGAGCGAGGACAGATATGCCCTGCCTCGATTTATTATGATTGTTATTATTTCGTTAGAGGGGAGCTCTGGAGCTATTTAACGCCATTTAACTGCACTAGGTTATGGTTCATTTTCCCGATTTATGCAATTTTTAATGAGCTGCAACCAGCTGAGTCACTACCAAAATGTGTGCCTTTTATTTTGTTCGATTTTTTGTGTGTGCTTTTGTTTTCATTAACACCCAAACAGACAGACATTCCGATTCTTGTTGCGACATATTCAAGGCTATATTAATAATGTATTTCTTTTATTTTTCGGTTTTATTTTTTCACACTCTCAGCGAGAATCGGTTGTGTTTGCTTTTCGGTTATATTTGAGTTGCTTTTCGAGTGACTTCATTGCGACTATATAACAGAAACCCACACTTTTCGGGCACTTTTTAGGGTTCTCAACTATTTGGTATAGGTATTTGTATTTGAATTTGAATTTCTATTAGCATTAAATAAAAGCGGGCCACAACGATTCGCATTCAATTGAAGGCACCACCACAGAGGCACGGACACACTTTCTATCTTTCCGTATGTGACATCATGTCGGCCCATGCGGCGTATGAGCAATGTGTTCTAGCGCGAGGATGTCCTATGCCTTAGCTTATTTATTTATTTATTTATCACATCTAGTGGCTCATAATTACACGTATAATTCGTATGGGAATTTAACAAATCCAACAAAATCCGGGAGGTTCTAAAGGTTTTGGCCTTTGTTTAGTTTCGTTTCACCGGCACAAACAGACACACACAGCGGATACGCGATTCGGTTGCGTCGTTACACAACCACGTCGCTTTCGGAACTGAATGGAGGCCCCACGGCACTCTCTAGTGCTGGCCATAGCCGTGGAGAGCGAGCTTTTCAGAGACCAGAGAAGCAGCAGCACCACCACCACAACCAGAGAGGTTGTGAGTGGATGAGAGCTTCCACAAATGCCGGCTGGTTAACGAAGAGAGAGAGCATTCCCCACCGCCAGCTGTTGCGCCAAAATGATAAACAATCCATTTACAAAGGTTTCTCGGAGGTAAAAGGGTAAAGAGGGATTGCCAACGAAGTTGGCTCCAAATTAAAGTCGAAAACAATATGCGGAAGTTGAGAACAAAGTATCTGCTGCCGCCGTAGCTTGTTGATCTTCTAGGTTCTTTATTTTTTTGTATTTTGGCAAACAAAACCAGTTTGTGCCGCCATCTAACCTTCTAAATAACAAAATACATAGTTCGCTATCCAGTCTACTTAAGCCAGCAAGCGGAGCTGAGCTTCTGTCCGCCCCTGCTATGCATATCAAGTTGGCTTGAGCTGAAGGCGAAGTGGTAATGGAGCAGTTATGATGTCACTCGGCGAGGGCAAAACACCTTTGAGAGGTTCCAAAACAAATTGGGATTACATTGAACATGGGTTTCAGCGTGAACTTGTTTACGACATGAGAAATAGATACTTGAACAACTTGAATACTGAACAGAAATTAAACAGCAACCGTTTAAAATCATGTTTACATCATGGGATAGCCTCTTCAATCACATTACAACTTCTTCTTAGTAAATCACCCTAAAAGTTGATTGAACTTCTGTTTACATCGTGTCCGGCGATCCCTCGATCCCTAACCTGCTCATTCATTATGGTAATTGCCATCTAAATATTTACACTCAACTTATTTAAACAGCAGGCGGCAATCTCTCTTCTTTTGGAACCAAATAGTCAAGATAATCAACGTTTTTAATTGAATTCCTCTTAGTTCAAGCGATGCCAAAATAAAACCAGTTGAACAAAAACGACCAAAATAAGAGAAATACAAATATTTTGTAGAAAAAGAAAAAGAGTTGACAGATGGAATCATTAATGGCGACAAAGATGTTGATGACGTCCCCCCCGCAGGCATTGAATTTCGCTTGGAATTAGGTATATAGGAACACAAACGAGTGGTTGAATGGGCCTCATTAATATTTATAGAATTCATCGTCGTCATTCTTAATTTGAAATCTGTCTCCAATTTGCCTAATTGGTCAGCCACATGACAATGTGGCAATGGTTTATCTACAACATTGTTTGGGAATTAAAAAATAACAAAAAACAACAAACGAAAACAAAAGCTAAACTCCTGACATAATGCAGCCCAGCGACGCAATATTTATTTATATATATTTGAAACATTAAACAAATTGCTGCATTAAATTGACAGTCACGAAGAGCAAAAAAATAGTTTAACATTTTTTTATATATAAATTAATCAAGTTTTGATTTATGGTGGCAACATTTCAAACGTTGACACTCACTCGCTCGCTGGCCATTGACAGCGGCATCTGATGTGATGTCATTATTGCTGAAGCCAAAAGCTTGTGTCAGCTTGCACCGATTCTGAAGGTTAATTTAATAATACCAGCCAGCGGTAACAGATACAGATACAAAGACCGACATCAAGAGAGATACACACAGAGAGTAGACGCACGGCACAGATGAAGGAGGAGACACAATGAGATGCCAGAGATACAGAGACATACGTACTCGTATTTGCATTTGAAAACTAGACACTAGACGCGTCGCGTAGAAAAGCGAAAGCGAACGAGTTCGTTAGCTGAACTTGAACCCTGGTTTTTTATGATAACGACCCAACCTTAGCCAACGATCTGTTACCAAAATAGATTGTGACATCATCCTAAGCAGATCTCCTGCTCCCAGCTCCCTGCTTCCTGCTTCCTGCTTCCTGCTCCACCTCGCTAGAGATCCTTCCAAGAGGATGAGGTTTTGTATTACTCACCAGACCATCGCTGCCATTCACTTCAATTGCTGTCTTTAGCCTCTGTGACAATTGTTCCAGCAACCTGTCGTATTTCGTATTGAGATTGTCCAATCGCTGGCTGTAATACTGTGTGGCACCCGGATCGCTATCCGCCGGCCGGAGATCACGGCGCGGTGGCGAGAACGATGGCCGGGCCTCGAGCAGCCAGTCCACGAAGCGCAGGCACTTGCTATCGTAGATCTGCTCCAGGAATCCCGCGGTGACATTGATTTCGATTCGATTCGATACGTTTCGTTGGTTCGGTTGGTTAATTTCGGTTAAATGTTAGTAATTTTGTGTGTTAAACAAGTTGTTGTCAGAGAGGGGTAAGGGGTAAGGGGCAGGAGTAGGGGTACTATTGATATATTTAGTGCTTTTTATTTTTATTTTTATTTTATTGATTAATAATTACGAAATTACTTGGTTTCTTTTGGTAAAAATTGCTTTTTAATTGGTTTGTTTTGTAAGTTTTTGGTTTGGTTGGTTTGTTGTTGGTTTGAGTTTGAGTTTAAGTTGGTCAAGTTATTGTATTTGTAACCCACCCAAGTGTTATTCACGCACCTTTTGCCCGTCAGGTAAGACTAACATAACTTGGTCTCGCTGGGAGTCCGGTTTAAATGGTTTAAAAAGCATTAAATATATATCTATTTAAGGATATTGTATTGAAAAGTGTCAGAGAAACAGCTAAGAGGTGTTTGAGAAAGAAGGGATTTCGGTGTTTGGTCGAAATTTCCACAATCACTCATTGCAGTCACACGGAAACTAAAACAAACTGACCTATGGTAACCCGTCTTCAGTTCAAAGGGTTACGATAGATCGGTTTCTAATATCTAATCACACACACACAAGATCAGTCATACAAATTTTTACCTTGGCTTCGCGTATAAGTCGTCCTCCAGCCACGTTGACATTTTCGATTTTTGGTTTTCGTTCGATTGCAGCTCCGAGCAGTTTCTATATGGGTTTTCGAGGGGTATTTTTTGTTTTCGATTTTTGTGTTTTTTTCAGGACATTTTCGGGTATTGTTTATAATTTTTGATCATTTTTGTGTTGGTTTATAGTGTGTGATAATATTTTGATTGTGAAAATACAAAAATTAGACAAAAATACAATTTTACAATTAGTTTTCAACTACAAATACGATAATACTGTGTGATATATATGTATATATTCAATATAATGTGATATCCCATATCGTTCGATATGGGTTCATGTGTATATAGGTGCGGCTTACATATCTAAAAGAGGGGACAAAGAACTACAAAAACATAAAAGTAGTTAAGTTTCAAAAACTACAAAACACAAATTTGGTATCAATTTACAGTGTGGCGGCGGAACGGGACGGGACGGGGCGGGGATATCTCCCCTATGGACTACGTATATGGGTATTGTTGTGTAGGAGGCGGCGGTGGTCGCCACATTTGGAGGTCTGTCTGATGTGTATATATATGTACATGTGGGGAATGTGTAGGAGGTCCACAGACCGCTGTTGGATTAGACAAGAACTACTGCAAGAGTACGGACAAGGGACTGGAGATCTGTTTGATCTTTTTTGGGGGACAGGTAACATATGTAAATGGGATACAAAAACAAAAAACAAAATATACACAAAAAGTATAGATATAAATATATATACTGAGACGTGTCCAACACCGGCGGATTAAGCCCATTAAATATATAACTGTGGGAGCAAAGACTACGTTGGGACGCAGGGTCAATCAATGGCTACAAGGAGTTCCCTTTAACGGAAAGGCTACGTATATATACTTTGTGTTTTTTATGCCCCTCCCGCAGGGATAACCCCTGGGGAGGGACTCCTAAAACTGAGCAAAACTGTACAAGGATCTCTAGGTTGGTTCATCTAATGCTAGAGAAATAGAGACTATCGCTGATCTTGGAATGGGTAATTGATTTATTACAAGGGGCTGGCAGCGTCTCTGTACTCACGTCTAGTTCGTACGCCGAAGTGGCGGTGGGCATGGCCGAAAGGCGCTCCGTGGTGCCATCCACCCATGATTCCTCCACTTGCACGCTCGACTGGAGATTCTTCATCAGCCCGATAGCCGTCTCGCATGAGCGCATTCTGAAAAAGGCACAATGATATGGCGTTAGAAGTGCAGGTTCAACTCCATCTGTGGACGCCAATGAGGCGACACAGATACACACACATGGGACACAGGTGGCGCCTGGCCAGGTGGACGACTTACCTCTCGCCCAGTTGGTTGCACACCGCACTCCAGCGCGTGTTCAGACGCTCCACATTCGAATGCAGGCGCTTCAGGTCACCCAGCACCTTGGTGGGCACTCCCATGCGTCCCAGCTGGTCAGCCGCATCGTTCATCTTGTCCATCTGCGGCTGCTGCTGTGTGATGATGTCCTGCATGTGATTAAGTTGCTTGAACACTTGCTGCAGGCCCTCGGCTGTCGAAGGCAGATCCTGGTGCTTGGCCAGTTCATTCTCCAGCTCGGAGATTACATGCTCGTTATCTTCCAAGCCAGCCAGTGAGGCTTCAAGAAGCTTCAGACGATCCTTGTGCAGTCCACTCTGTGTATTCAACTCCTTCCACAGCTCCATCAGGTTGTCCAGGCTCTTCTTCAGCACAGGAGTCTTCAGAGCAATCGTGCGGAAGGTCTCCTGCAGATGCTTCAGCTCCGGCTCCAGCAAATGCAGCCTGCGCTCGTAGTCGGCATGAATTTCAAGCACATGCTCCAGCGAGTCCAGATCCCGTGGCAGTGGAGCTAGAATAATCTGGTCCAGCTCACGGGCCATGTCCTCCAACTTGCTCTTGATGGCAATGCATTCCTCGGTGAAGATGCGGCTGGCCTGCTTGCTTTCCTCTGTGGAAGAAAGGAAATTTGAGTTAGTTTGGCTTCGAAAAGAGTTTATTTATAATTTAGAATGTATTTTGTAAAGGATCACCCCGTGTTTTGACACTAGCGAATAGCTTCTTCATGTTTGACTGGACTTGACAAGACTAAGACGCGTTCTGGCTTCCTGCCTGTCACTTTGTCGCCGAACACAGACTAAAGTATCAAGTATTAAATTCAATTAGCCGCCGTCAATTAACTGTTTCTTTGGGACAGCTGGCGAGCGTCGTCAATTGAAAAGCGAGGCAAAAGCTATCCCCATGGAGACCCCCGCCCGAGTAATAGATACTCCCACACTCACCTTCGGCGCGCGCTCGCTTCTCGAACTCATCGAACAAACGATTGACCTCGTCCATTTCGCGACGCAGACGTCGCAGCTGCGGATCGTTGGGATCGCCCTCGCTCAGCAATTTGTCGGCATCATCGTTGAGGGCACGTCGGATGGCTGTGCGCTGCTCGGGACCCATGGCCAGGAACTGGTCAAAGTCCCAACCCTTGACCACGCGAATGGTGGCGAAGATCATGTTCTGGCGCAGGCGCAGATGCTTCTTTTGCCAAAGAGCCACGGAACGATCGAAGAGCCGCTTCAGGCGCTCGGCGGCATCGATGGCCTCCTGATCGGGAGGTGGCAGCAGTAGACAGGCGCCGGGTATCGGGCCCTCCTGACCACCGGCAGTGCGCACGCGCCACTTCACGCGTCCCGAGTTGTCCAGCAGCGTAACCGTCTCGCCCTTTTCGATCTGCAGCTGACCCTGCTGCTTATACGCGCAGATGGCCTGCACGGGTCCTTGACGATTCACCGGCTGTCGGCGCTTGTTCAGCGGCACCACAGTCTGGGCCCTGCGCTGCAATGTGGCAACGGTTTCACCGAAGGCATTCAACTCCTCACGCAAATCCTGCATGCCCCTCAGAAGGGTTTCACCCTGATCGAGGCCAAAGTCCGATTGCGAGAACTTGCTATTGAGTATTTCGTCGCGCTTGGCTAGCCACTGTTCGGCATCCTTGATCTCGCCAAAGAACTGATGGTACTCGGTGGCGTGCTTTAGATGGACCTCTAGGCAGAGTGTCAGCTGCAGCAACCAGGCCCACTGCTGCTGCAAGGCAGTCAGATGGGCTTCGATGCACTTGGAAGCAGGATGCTGTTGGTTTAACAGGGCCTCACCGCGATCCAGAATGGTGGCAAAGTGCATTTCACGCTTCTCCAGTTCGGACATAAGGTTCTGTGAGGGGATTAAGAATATACATAAGTTAGTAAGCTATAGGAAACAGTACTTAATAAGTGCACTTGGTTGGATTTGCTCTTTTTTTCGGAAATAGAAAATTTATCTCTTGGTATTTGATGAAACCAATTGGGATCTCTTACCTCGTCGCCATTACCAAATGCACGCTTGTAATATAGATAGATAGAAGCACAACACAAATATGTAAAACTAGCTCTAGAAGGGTTTTTAAGACGGGATGCCATCGTCGCCACTTACCTCATAGTATCTGTGCACGGAGGGCAGATCGAGTTGCTTGTCCGCCCAGTCGCGTGTAATCTCCACCTGCTCCTTCTCGTTGAGCCACTGCAGCTCCGCCGAGGCCTGGCCCAGGAAGTGCTGCAGTGAGTCCAGATCGGAAAGGCGCTTCGTCGAGGTGCTGAGCAGCTCGGCGTATACCTTTTGCAGCTGATTGAGGCGCTGCTGATACAGGGCCAGCTCATCGCCGGAGAACTTGGTCTGCTGGCGTTCGTCGTTGAGTATTTTGGAGTGGAACTGATCGATGATCTTGTGCTCGTGCTGTTGACGATCCAGTTCCTCCTTGACCGATGGCAGGTCGCTGCCATAATCAGCGGCAAGCAATTGTTTCTGCAAAGATTTATAAGATTTAGATTATTCTTAATATATAAGAGGGTATGGGAGGATAGTATGATTAAGGAGCAAAAAGAAGGAAGGGAGTATACAGATCCATAAAGGAGGATATAGCCTACTCACCAACTTATTCTGGCACCATTCAATGTGCTCCTGCAGATCGCGGAAATGGGGATTCGTGTCGATCTGACGGGACTCGACCACCATGCGCGTTTGACGCGTCACTGTGGTCTCGTGGACGGGATACTTCAAACCGGACAGCTTCTGTACCAGGTTCGTGTGGAAATTGGTGCGCAGCTGAGCCCACCGTTGGTGCAGTTTGTTGACCTTCTTGTGCAGCTCGCTGACATGGGGATAGCGTCCCTCGTTGAGCACGTGACAGTCCTGATTCATGTCCTGGATGGGCTCCTCCAGATGACGGATCTCCGTCTCGAGTGCCTCCACGATGCTCTTAGCGTCCACGGGATGCAATCGCTCGATGCGGCGTCCCTCCTCGCCAATACGCGTCTCCAGATCTGTAAGTTTCTGATCCACATGCTTGATCTCGCGCTGCACCTTGTCGGCCAAGCGCTGCAGCCTTTCCAGCCGCTCGATCTCCTGCTGCAGAATAACCTCACGATCCTGCAGGGCAGTGTTCATGCGATACCAGGCCTTCTCTATGGCATCTGGCCTCAGTTCGGCCTCCACGTCCACCTCTCCCACAGTTTCGAAGTAGCGTTCCAGCTCCTTGTAGATCTGAACGAGCTTGGACTTCTCGCGCTTGCGAGCGCTCACCTCCTCACTGCGGAAGCGCTGCAGATCGCTCAGCAGACGCTTCATCTCTATGAGTGTGGGCGGGAAGGAGCGCTCCTGCAAGTAAGCTGTCTTCTCGCGGCACCAGTAGATGAACTGCTGGGCCAAATCACGGTACTCATGGACGCGACGTTGCGACTCCATGTCGAACAGTGGATGGATAGATGGTGGCTCCGGGAACACATCATACAGCGATGAGATGTACGTGATGAGAGACTTCTCATCCGGCTCGTTGGTGTCCACATCTGCGAGGTAATCAAATAATTAGATTTTGCTTGGAATAAATAGATATTTTTGAACCTACCCTCGGGATCCAGTAGACGCGTCACTCCGTACTCCTTCTCCACAATGTGGAAGGCCGTCTCCAGGCGCTCGCGCGGCCGATCGTTCCTTGCCTTTCGCCAGTCAAGCAAGTCCGGTCGGTTGCGATGCACCAACGCCGAGAAGGCCAATCCATCCCTCCACGACGATGTAAAATCGTTGACACGCACGCCCGGATACCGAGCAGTTGAGCGGCGTGCCCAGCGCAGCAGGGCCTCCCGAGCGGATACGTTGTCCTCCTTGCCCACAACAATATCGGAGATCTGGTGAAAGGTTCAAGAATAATTAATTATGACCAAATAAATGATATGTAAGTATTATTATTAATAAATAATAAATAAATCCCTAATTGGAGCAAAGCTGTGTCTGAAAGTCCCCTTCACATCCTTCGGAGTCTCTTTTACCTCTCTGCGCTGCGTGGACGATTCTATAGCCGATGGCAGGGCACGACGATACTCCAGCTCCGAGCTACGAATCATTTTGGCCGGTGGCAGCAGATCCTCGGCGGGCTGTGCATTCTCCTCGGCCCGACTCAAAGTGGTCACCTTACGGACAATGTGCGTGGTCACACGCCTATGGCCGTTCGGAGCACGTTGCGATGTCTTGGTGCTCTCCACACTCGATCCCAAGACCTCAGTGGAGATGCGCTTATTTCGCGTCACCTGCTGATAGTGCTGGGCCGAAGATGAAGAGATACCACCACTGGACGGGACCAAGGCTCGAGTCTCGGAGACGCGACGGGAATTCCCCGAGGGATCTTGGAAGGTAACAGTGCGCTCAAAATTCGTTCGCTCGTGAGGCACACTACCCAACGGAGATACTCCCGGATAGTCCGTGATCACTGCCTCCACGGTGCGCTCTCGCTTGGTCTCATGGCGATATCGCAGACTGTTAGAGTCATCAATATTGGTGGTTATGGCTGGACCACGGGAGGAGTGCACCACCTCGGATCCGCTGCTCAGGACATCACCTCGACCGCCATTTGTCTGCCGCACCAGTTGTTGAGTGCGCTTCAGCGTCGATTGGGAGCTGGAGTGCATGTTATCGCCGTTATCGGCCAGATATCGCAGTTATCGCTGCGCTATCGTTTCGTTTCGTTTTAGTTTCACTTGATTTCGTCGTTTCAACTTGTGTTTCGTTAAGGGTTCGTTTCGTTTTGGCCGCGTTGCTTTTGCCACAGATTTTCGTAATTCTGCTTGATTTTCGAAATGGGTTTAATTATTTGCCGTCAGTCCGCACAATTTGCGTTTAATTAAGGCAAAGCCAAAGTCGAAGCCAAAGCCAAAGCTCCAGTATAAGCCGTAGAGCCAAGTCGAATCTCAAACCGGCACCGGATGTCTTGTTCTATGTGGCATTGCCCTAGACATTGTCAGAAACCCCATCGAGAACTGAAGCAGAGTAAAATTAACTGAACGGAGCCAAAGTGGTGGAGTGGAGTAGAGGGCCCCACCATTGTTGCTGCGAATTATTTATTGTGTTGTACGTACACATAATTATCCCAACTGTCTGTCTTGCTCTTGGCGCTATTTTGTTGCTTTTCCAGCCGCTACCACCGCTTGTTCATTTTTTTTACCTTTTGCAAAAAAAAAAACACATTCACGGCAAAAAGTTAATGTACATCGCGCTGATTCATGGGCAGAGATTCATTAGTTTCGGAACACGCAAGCCTATTTTGCATAGGGAAATGGGCAGTAGAAACGCTGTGGGAATGGAACAGGGAACACCCGGGAAAAGTGAGTTCACCGTTGGTTTTAGGGCTGATATGCACTGTAGGAAGTGAATGAAAAGCGGGCAAATATTTGGGGTCAATATAATAAAAGTAAACAAAGCTAAATGCTTAAACGAGAAAGCAAATAAATAGTTCCCTAGAGAAACACTAAGGGAATGCAACATACCCTATATTCAGCGAGAGTGTAAGCTACGCAATCAAACAGGAAGTAGAAGAAAACTGGCAAAATATTAAGGGTGTTTTTTTTTACAATATATTTATAGCTCTTGTGTAGAAGAAAGTAATGGAAAACTTGCCAATATTAAGGGTCAATATAACCAAATGAAAACAAGCACTAATTGCTCAAATAAAAGAGCAAACAATTCACAATAGCAATTTTCCATTGCCTCGAATTCTATTGACCGTAAAGCAATTGAAGTGGAAATCTCTAGACTAATCTATATGGCTCAAGATCAATAAAACACTGCTGGTCATATAGCCTGGCCAAAAAGATCGCCCACCGAAACGACGAAAGCACGATGAAATGTTTGTTTTGCATTGGTAATGGAGACCAGAGACCTGGGTACCGCCGACTGGAGGTTGTTGCTGCTGCGTTCTACGCCTGCGCAGCACCGTGACAAACAAATACTATATATAATGCCATAACCAGCACATCCACACACTACCAAAAATGCTAATTGCAGCGCTTTAAGCACACTATAAACGATCTGTGTTGTTTTTATGTGATTATGCCAAAAACAAAAAATGATAGAGAGCTAAGAAAAATACCTCGGGCTCAAACCTAAATAGAAAAAAGTGTCTGTGGAGGCGTCTCTAAGAGGCGTTAATAGCTTGACATTCTCAATGGCAGCCCCATCTGGTCGTTGCCTATTTGGGTTTTGTGGCTACTGTTCGAAGTTTGGAGATGGTGACTTTCCGAGTTGCCTAGCAATTTGCATTGCTCAATCCGACAGCAGACAAGGAGCATTAATTCATTAAATTATTTGATTTCTGGCATATAAATTAAAGTTAATAAAGCACAGAGTTCATATGGGATTCTCAAGTACGAATTCGGGGACACACTAGTACTTGAAATAAGATAAAATAATGATCGCAAGGGAAGTTCTGTGAATTGATTTCGCTGCTGCTCTTGTCTTAAAACACAAAAATTCAAGTCTCTATATTTTGTTCTTAATAAATTCTGATTGAATTTTTAGACATTTAAATCAATTTGCATTATTCAATTCAAATTATTCAATACCCCTCTTCAAAAACTAATTGCAAAATACGCTCATAACTCCGTATTCAACAAAAGAACATTAATTCTACAAATTGTCCGATTTCTGGGGATTTGTGACCAAATAAATTAAAATCAATAAAGCATCCAAGACAACAAACGAGACGAGACACACACAATAAACCACTTTGAGGAGAGCGTTAAAAATTGCAAAATAAAATGCGAGACAAAACAAACAACACACACACAGTTCAAAATAAAAAGAAAAAATTTATTTTTCAAAGCTCTGAACTGGAACAGCGGCGAATAAACCTAAACCGAAACGAGATGGAATCGGAGAAGGAGGAGCAGCTGGGCGGGGGGTGGCAACCAGAGATCGGAGATCGGGGAGTACGTCATTATTTTTACAGCTACTTGGACGCTGTTTGCTGGGCATTTTTTTTTTTATTTGTTTGCAAACAAACGAATGAATTGAAACACAAACCGGGCAGCACTTTGGTAATAAAGTCGTCGTTAAAAAATAATTGAACGGGGATTGAAAATTCGAAATGGAACTCAATTGCGAGAGATTGAGATCAATTGAAATTGGCGGCATTTAATAAATCAAACGAGAAGCGATTATAACGCAAGACAAGATTCTCTGACATCATGCGAAGCCTGAACTAATTGAGCTTAAGATCACTTTGGCTTTGGCTTTGATTTGGGTTTTGGGTTATATCTCCTTTGCACTTGCTTTTCGAGAACGCTATTTTCGAATATTTTCCCGGGGGTTTTCTACGCGCGTTACAGGGTGTTCAGGGTTCCGGGGTTCCTCGGACTACGGAATGGAACGGGGAACACATGCGAATGTCGAATTATTGTTTTTTGCGAATAATAATAGAGAGAAGAATCGTGAATGTGTGCGGCGGCGCGTCTCGACAACAACTAAAAGCGATCAGGCCAAGTTAAAACGCTTAAAGTGTGGCTTTGGCCAGGTGTTGAAGCCTCTGCTGGCGTCGACGGCGCTGCTTTTTGTTTCTGTTACAAGCGAGAACACCACACAACAAAATAGAAATGTTGAAACAAAGTGGAATTGGCACATGTGGTGTTTTTGTTGTTGTTATTATTTTTCGCTGCTTGCGTTGGCGTTGTCGTCGGCGTCAGAAGTCGGGCTTGGAATCGCGATCGTGCTGACAGCTGTGCGTGTCTATGTGTGTGTGTGTGTGTTTGTGTGTGTTGGTGTCTGCCATTCCCCGTTATGGATTGCTGGCTTTGCTGCCTCAGCCGGCGTCTCTGCAGCCGCCGTTCCACCTGATTCTGCCGCCGCTGCTTCTCTCTCGATGACGTATTTGCAACCAACACCTGTGTTTGCGGCGGCAACCATGGCAACACCAACGCCAGCAGCGACGCCTACGCCTACGCATACGTATATGTAACGCAGCAGCGGCAGCAACAAGAAGAATTCAACAGCAAAAAAGGGCAACGAAGATTGGAATACCCTTGCAGATCCATAATTAAATGATCTTTTGAATTTTATTTATAGTTTTCATAGCAGATATGTGATACAATAGAACATTTTTTTATTTCACATTTATTTTTAATTCCCTAAAACCATATGTGTACATGAATTTTAGTAAAAGAAACTGTTTTTGTATGGATATATGGAAAAATCTGTATAAACAACCTGCTGCATTTGTAACAAAAAGATCTTTATAGGCACACTCTAAGAAAAAGAGTAATCCCATAAAACTATAATACCCTTCTTTTGGTTTCCCATTAACCCTCCACCAAAAGAGTCAAAAGTAGAGAAAGAAAAAAAACGAAAGGAAAGGGGTTAAATTACACAACACCGGCTCCGAGTGTTCCCTCTCTCATTCGCAATTTTGTTGTGGTAGCCACGCATTCAGCCCCAACGAACCGCGGAGGTAGTACGTCATCCCGGGTACTCAGAAGTACAAGAATACCAAGACGTAGAATAATAATAACAATGGGAATCAGAAGGAGAAGTTGAGAAAGATGATGGAAAAGAACAGAATGCTAAAGGTACAGTATAAAAAAACATGTAGAAGTAGTCAAAACGGTAGTGGAATGTGACTAACAAGAGAGGTAACAAAGAGTTCGGCTAAAAAAAAAAAAAAAAAAATAACAAAACGAAAAAAGTTAACACACTAAAAATAGTCAAAGAATAAGGAGAAAAGAAAGAACTGCGATTTGGTATGACCCCATGGTATTTTTGGGTCTTCGCAATTTGAATTTAAATCTCATAAGACATCACGACCAACTCATTACATTACATTACAAAGTGACCCAAAAAAGAACCGACAAAAACAGAAATGACCAATGATGTTAACAGGTTTACCACCAAGAAGAACATACTACTGTCGGTAACAGTGGGGAAAATAACAAAAGAAACTAGGGAAAAGGCAGGCAAAGGAATACCAATTGCAGAAAATGTTAAGAAGTATACCTAAGACTTGATTTAGCCTTCTTCAAATGAAGATTCTGAACTCAATATTTGAAAAATTATCATTAGTCATGAATGAATCATAAATGCTTCTAATCTTATTACAAAGATCTATTCCAATTATTCTAGATCATTTCTATCAATTAAAAAGTGTACCGGTCCCTATCGAATCTCAATAAAATATTGCACCATACTATTTATATAATAACCCAAGGGTAACACTAAATTATAATTAATGCAAATTAGTAACAATTACCGACACATTGCATGCATTTCCCCCATCAATCTCCGGCCAAATAAGGTGGCTCAGAGAACTATTGCACTTGCACTTGGAAAGTCCGATTCATTATTCGAGTGGGTGTCTTGAAATCTATATGCGAGTCTCTGAGCTAACCAGACGGAAGTGAGTGCCTGTGATTCCCGATTGTGTGCAAGACACAAATACTCGACACACTCGCTCGCGTACTGCCAACATGGGTTAATTAGCATGTTACATGCCTTAAACCCCCCATTGGGGATGGCGATGGCGATGCCCTATATGGAGTAAAAGGCAGCTGCTGGTTGGGCCGGCATATTTGCTGGCCATATTTATGTATGGGTAATAAATACTCTTAACTGCTGTCAGTTGTTTTTCGATTCACACACACTCTCGAATCGCTACAGTCAACACACACACATGACAGACCCCACACCTTGAGGCCCCTGTGGAACTGTGCAACTAAATTGCAAATCTAATTAGCCGCTGCCACAGCAGCACCAAAAGGGGGTTTTGGGGAGGAATGCATGGCGGGTAAGTACTAGTAAGTAGCACTCGCACTCGGTGTATTGGACATATATATGCTTATTAATACCGATATGATGCAACCCAGTAAACAAATGCGGCATTATGTTTGCCACTATTCGTAATTTGAGCAGTGTTTTGCACTTGAAATGTGTTGTTTGTGGTGGGTAAACAAAGTGGAACCAGTAGCTCTGTCAACGATCACTAATCCCTGCGAAAGTTGTCTATCCTCTAGGGAAAAAATGGGTTGAAAGATCAAATGAAGAGTGTAAAAATCGATTGTAATCTTTTGCAAACATTGATTACCTAACTAAACTACTACCTTATTGATTTTAACTAATAATGCTGCAATTTAAAGGAACATCATCGCTCTAAAAATCTACAATTCCCAATTAGTTCTAGCCTTGGATGTAAAAGACAAATCTACAATAAAGACCAGTTATAAAAATAATAATACAACCACAAAATTTATTTGTATTTTTTGTTTAATTAAAACTATTTTAATATCGATATTATAAGCTTTTACTAAATTGCCAATGTGTTCTAGCCTTTGAATCTTTTAACAAATTGGCCACGATGCGGTGCTATAATTCTCAATATATTCTAGCTTTTAATAGCGCTAAAATTACTTTTAAGTTTCCTTTTAAATTCTAGAAACGGAATATAATTATTTTCTTTAAATATGTCATTATTTGATTACATTATCCAGTTCAATGTTCAGCTCTTTCTTCTAGTTATTACCCTAAAAACCGCGAACGGAACTAGTGGGTGAGTATCGAATCGTCGTAGGTGTCACACCAAATATGTACGTCCAAACATTCCTTGGGATATCACCGTGTGGGCTCATCATCAATATTGGCATTTAGCTAAAGCTATTTACCTGACCGCTCGCTTGTAATTTCATCTACATACTTGAAATATATAGCTATCTATCTCCATTGAAAATTAATTACAAGTCATTTGAAATACGCTTACACGCTTGTAAACGCTCGGTGAGTGCAAATAACAATTCTCTATTTTGACAGCAACAGCAGCAGATATTGACGGATTTGCATACCTTCGAAAGAGATGGCAAATCATTACGAGAAAGAGAGAGAGAGAGAGGCGGTACTCATTGCCTTATTTGATCATGGCCCAGCTATCGATTTATTAATGAAACTTTGTTTGTTTTTATCTGCGATGGCTATAGATAGATTTCGAGACTCGAACAAGATCCAGATTGAGATCGAGTTCGAGATCTCGGCGAAGCAACCCACACACAACACCGAAAGCTCTTCAAAAATTCAGTCATCAATGTCATAAATTAAGACGAATAAGTGCATCTATATTTGTTGTTTTTTGTATTTTCGTAGCTGTTGTTTTTCCATTTTGGCCATTTGATATGCTTCACAGGCACAGCTGGTCAAGTTCGGTGCCTGCGTTGAAGTCTTTCGTTTCGACAGTGGCAAGAATCTCTGACTGAGAGATCGCTGATGTCATGGACAAATCAACATCTCGTCTTTTATTCCACCTGATTTTTATAAAGTAATTCTCTGTGGCCATTCCCCACCTGCCATTGGCATTGACTTTATTGTAACACATACCGTGGCGTATTATAATAAATCAAATGCCACATACAGAAATCCCCCAAACGAAAAACAAAAATAATAATCTTTTCAACTTCGGACGATGACGTGGTGTTTCGACCATTCAATGCATTGTACGTACATACATATCCGAGGAGTAGTATTTTTGGCTTTCTTTCGAGGCGTTACTTTTCATGCCTGGGCGACCTGGCTAAACACCAAGTTGGTTATGGCATCTTGGCCAAATATAAACGGTCGCCACACATATGTATCTATGTATCCGCACCACTCCTCCAACTGGGAGAGTTACTCCCCAACTAACGAGCAATGAAAAATGGCAAATTGTTCGGAAAATTATCTTGATGCCTTCTCATAATGAAAACGTTTGTCAGAATAATTCGACACACAGATCTCAACGATTCGGCACACCGAGTTCCCCCTTGGGGGACTATGTCGCTATTTTTCGTAGCAATTTATTATTTAAATTTAGCAATTGAGCCGGCTTAGGAAGTTAACGTGGCAGGCACAAGGTTATGCCAAGATTTGTGTCTCTCGATACGGCGCTAAAAGGGTACTGAATGCCGTAAATCGCGTAACACATGGGCCAAGATAAAATAAATTATAATCCAAATTAAAATGTTTAATATTAGCACGTAGTTAAGGCTTTAAAATATGTCCCCCACAGCTAGTAAAAACTTTACTACGTTGCGGAAAGTTAAATTCAGATACGAAAACTAACACCTATTTAGTTATTTTGAGTTTTGCTAATATGCATTTTGAAATATTCAACATGGTGTTTAATAAATAGTTATAGATCAAGCTTTTCTTTTAGCCAGTTTATCATAATTTATCTGTTAAAAGTAACTTAATTTATTTACGTTTTGTAGAGCTCGTGTAAAACCTGTAATAATTAAGCTAAAAGGTGCCATAAATATTCACTTTGAAAACCCATTGAAGAGCTCTAGGAAAATGCTGTGAGGGAACTCAACTTTTATGTCTCAAGTAAAAGGTTAAAGTCACTGATTGATTGCCTTGTTTTGATTGTTGCTATTGTTGCTGTGGGTGGTTCATAGATCAAATCAATTTGCTTGAACAATTTATAACTTAATTACAAGCCAAGCAGCAGCGTTACAAACGGCCGGCGGCTGCTGTTTTAGAAAATTGCACCAGCTCTCGCAAACTAATAATATTATTATTATTATTTTGCTTTGGCTCTTAACTATTGACCCACAAAGCACTGATCCTCCAATCTCGGATCATTAATTGAATATACAAAACAGCTTGTCGGTTTGTCACACCCGAATGGGAATAGGAATTATGTCATAATTGCAAAATGTCGATTACGATTTCGCTTTCGATTTGGATAACTGAAAATTAAACGAGACTGAGAACAGAGCTGTAAGGCAATTGAATTTGGATTTGGTATGCAAAACAAGAAATATCCTTTTAAGTCGCAGAGCAACAGTTGTCGCCTTTGGCGTTGGAATTTGCATACATTTTTGCCAATATTTATCCCACAAAATCGAAATATATATAATATATATATATATATGTGTGTGTGTGTGTGTAAGTTCGGATGACATCAGACACCCGCAACAAACAAATGCAACAGAAATATACATAAATCCTTGGCGGCTGACAAGAAATAATGAATAAGACAGAAAACAGTAAGTGACGCGCGATTGAGTTTCACATTGTCAAGTGATTTACAATTCATTCGTTCGTTCGTTCGATCGTTCGTTCTCCCCAATTGAATCGAGCGCCATTTGGCAGCCTCTGTTTGTTGCGTGTTGCCGCCTGCCTCATGGTCGGTGAACTGGCAGCACCATTGAGCATTTATGTGCGCCATCGATCAAGTCGCAGCAGTCCAAGTCCAAGTCGAAGTCGAAGTCAAGCCGCAGCCACAACGACACATCCACATCCAGCAGATACTCGAAAAATGCATCTGCGTCTCGTTGCGAATTACGAAATATCCAAGCTAGTTACTGCTGACACACATACTGCGGAAATGTATCTCCTCGATGAGTCAGTGATGAAAAAGATTCAAGCTCGTGCCCCAGATTTAACAGCGATTTGTTTTTAACGTATTTTGTAAGTTTTAAAAGGAAAATTATTTCTCTATTTGCTGATAGATATTATCTGCACTTGCATCATTATTCTTACAGTACGAAAGATAATTTAAAGAAATATTTAAGCTTGTTGTCTGAATATCTCTTACTTCCATTAACAAATTTAACAGCTAATTTTGAAGTATTTTGTAAATTTTGAAAGGTATTTAACGTCTCTGTTCATTTAATTTATTTATATTTATATTTTTAACTGAAAATATATTTTTATATCAATATTTCATTTAATTTTCTTGTACCGTGATAGATCTTACTGAACTTTAAACAATATATCTATGTACTATACGAAATAATGCGAATATATATTTCATCTATCCTGAATACAGACTAAAATATAACACAAGAAATGTATTCTCCTCTTTCATTCATCAACATAACATTGACTTCTAAGCTTTCTTTTATATGAAAAAAAGGACCCATCATCACTATGATCTTTATGTTTGTCTTTTAATATAGATTAATAGAACTTTCAGGATTATTCTTAAAGTACAATACTAATTGAAGTACATATATCAGCTTGTATCCTGAACACAGGCTAACAGAAAACATAACCCATTTATTTATTTTCCTATTTCATTGACCAACTTTATATCAAATTCAAAGCTGTTTTTATAAACAAAGACCCCAAAATCCCAGTAATGTTTATGTTGTTTCTGTTTGAGATAATAAATTCCAAGTGTTTTGGTTTTAAAATGCAACCCCATGCCAGCCAGCCAGCTTGCCTTGCCGCACAGCCTGTTTTGTTGTGTAGGTGGCCAAAACCACTACTCCTCCGTACTCCGTGCCTCCGTTTGAGCCAACTCACGGCCTTGCTGCCGACGAACTGTAGCACTGTAGCCAGGCCGAGATCTGTAGCTACATAAGTATGTGCTATGTGTGTCAGTCAGTCGGCGAGGCGGCGGTGGCCAAAGAGAAGGCAATCGAGTTGCCTTAAAAGGCAGAGCCGCGTTCGCCAAAAATTCAGTAGATCGCTTGTAGCTTGTGGCTCGTAGCTTATAGCGTGTCAAGACTGTGGCTAATGTGTGGGCTCAATGAATCGATGAAACGCCAAGACGCCGAACGCCCAAATGAAAACAAGACTCGCCTCTGGACCGAGTCACCGAGGGGGTCACCTTCAGCGGTACGTGGGCGGCAGCGTTACGTTGTCTCGTTGACTTTGAATCGCTGCCCACCCAAAAGGCAGAGCGCGCCCACAGCTTTGCTCCAATTGCTCAATCAATCCGAACTTTGTATGATGTATTAAGCCACTCACCTGGAAGTGCAATATAATGGTCCAGATCAGGCCCAGCGTCAGCTTGGGATTGCCATCGACAATGTCCTCGGCGCGTATGTTCACCAGCTTGATCTTCTTGTAGCGCAGAAAGTCCAGTGCCATTTGTGCATTCTGCAGCATGTGGAATCGCATTTTACCCTTCTCGCGTGGCTATTGGGAATACCAAGTGAAAACGACGATGAGAGCGTGACAAAACTGCTAAGAAATCAATTGAAGAAAGGCCACAATCAACTTACCAGGTGTTCGCCAGATAGCACCTCCAGGAGTGAAAGTAAATTGTGACCATCGCGCAGATCTTCAAACAAGTCCACCACACGACGATTGGCCTGCAGGTTTTGGTTATTGCGGGAGGATTTTGGAGGTTGAAAGTGAATTCAATGTGGTCAATAAATTAGAGAGTAAAAATGAAAGAAATAAACCATGCAAACAAACAAAAAGCAAACTCAACACTGAACAGCTAAGTAAATTAATAATGTTGGACTTTAATGGCCCCAGGATAAGCATAATAATAAAAACTCAACAAGACAACATTTAAAATAAAAACTGATTACAACTTTAAACCCGACTTACTGACTGAGAACAACAAGGTATGCCATTTGTGGTAACACAAACATGTAGCATAGTATAGGTCTGAAAATCGAAGCAAAATCAGTTAGCCAAAGTCTCTCTCTCAAAAAAATAAGCTATTAAATTTTATGTTTATGGCTTAATACCTTAGCATACTTCCAATGCTGCTTGTACAGGGAAAAAGGGAAAGAAATTATGATACTTTTAAGATCTACACATCTAACCATATTTCAGAAATTTCAACAGAGTTTTATTTTTGTTTGTTCAACGCCATATAAAGCTTTGATATCTAAGATGGTTTGCTCATTTAACTCACCTTTTTCAGATGTTTGTTAACCCATTTTGTGAAAGTCTTCTTCTGAATGGCATCGCGTTCATCTAAAGAGGGAATTTTGTAGAAAAAGAGATCACATATTAGTATATTTAAAAAGAAAAATTCCCAAACTAGATTAAATATTCAAAAATCATGCAAAGCCTGAGAAGTTTTGTGCCAAAAGAAGAATCAGAATGACGTCACCCATCGCTAATTGAGAAAAGTATATTTTATGTAAACTCTACTCAAAAAAACTCAAATTCAACGCCCACAATCGTAGGCGAGCATAACAAAGTTATTAATTTACCGCCAAGATTATTTCTAGATTTTTTGGCAATGATTTCTGACTATTTTCAAGTGCGGGCGTTGAATAATCAGGCCTAGGGCCTTAATTAACTTGTTTGAACAAATGTTTCAACTGTTGCTAATTAATGGTTTATAATAGTTGTGTGATTTCCCAGTTTGCAAAGCTCTCTCTCTTTGCCAACCCCTATCGGTGTTTTTCGATTTTCAGGGCCTTTGGTAAACTTTGGTCAATGTTTTCCTTTGGCCTGATAAATACGTACAACAAAAAAATCGATAAGAAGAGGTAGGAAGAGGGAGTTAGCTTTGATTTGTTGCTCTGACACATGAGGTGTATGTAGGTGTTTGTTTGAGTGTGGTTGTTTGTGGGAATAACCCATCGGATAGATAAGCTAATGGTCATGTTCCCACCCAAAACTTTCGGCACAAAACCCCCAAAGCATTTCCGATTTGTTAGACATTTTTTTGCGGCAATTAAAGAGGTAAGAAACATGTGAACTCTTCAGGACTGATAACTCCATGCAGGCATAAGGGTATAGAAATGATCATTTATTTTCAATTAAATCCCCTCTTTAGCTTTTTCGTTCCATAATCTTATCAGGAAAGAACAAAGAAATAGTAGGGTTCTGCAGATCCATAAAAAACAAACAAAACCTGTGACGACGACTCGATCGCACAACGTCTCAAGTCTATTGTAAATGTATTAAATCGGTTGATAAACCCGATAAAGTGCCAAACAAATAAAACAATAAACGTAGTAACAAAAAAAAAACAAGTCATATAATGAACAACTCAAAGCAGAAGCTAAAAAGCAAAACAAAAGCGCTTAAAAATAAAAATAAATGTGTTAAAGTGTCAGAGAACCCCTGAGTAAACTGAGTAACTGAGTTTAATTCTCTTTCCTGCAATTTCTAATTCTCTTAAACTCGTTTAAAAATCCACCCAGTAACGCAGTTTAAATGCCCTTTAAAAAGAGAGATTACTACAAATCCCAAGGTCCATTAGGCAACCATTTGAAATTACTTAATCTTTTTTGGCGACAATAAGTCTAACGAGCTGAAAATTAACCTAGTTGCGGTCAACAAAAGAATCGTGCTTACTGATAAACAACATTTGTAGAAGAGATAGACCAAAACTAATTGGCAAATAAGTGATGGATCGAGTAGAAAAATTGATGGTAAACATGTTTCGGTTAATTTCAAATCGAAGTAATAAAACAAAGTTGCAGCTCCTTTGAGCGGACAACTCTCAAGGATGGACAAAATTCCTTGAAAGTGGGGTATAAGAAAGATCTAGATTCTCACAATAATTATTTATCAAGATTTAAAAACTAACCAAAAGCCTTCTGTTCAGTTCTAGATCAAAATTGTATACAAGTTTTCTTTTAACTGACAACTCTCTTAAGCGGACAAATTTTTCGCAATGTTTAACTAATTAAATTCTAACAAAAAATATTGAATCATTATTTCGTATAGATAATGACTAAAGATTGATTCTAGAATAATAAAAACACAAGCTTGATTCCAGGAACTAATATTTAGTCAGGCTTATCCAAACAAATTCACATTGAATATGAATCTTGGTGAATATGAATCACACAATTTAAGACAACAAATATATTGTTTGTCAAACAAATTTCTAATGAATCACTAGTATTTCCCGCAACCTTCAATACCCTTCCAACTAAGTATTTTCCTACTCTCCAGTTACACAAGTACAAAAGATAAAACCCGACTCTTCGACTCTCTCCGATCGTGAACTTGTTCGAATAGCCCGCTGACTCATCCGTTTGCAATTCTCCTCATTCAAGGGGAGATGATTCTACCAAGATCAAGACGAAGATGATGATTGCCCATTAAATATACCCATTCATTGAGGGACTCGAAAAAGAGGGACCCGATCTTTCCGCAATAATCTTTCTGCACGATTGCATGCAAAAAGTTAACGCGACTTTTGTCGTAATCGAGCTTATTTTTATCTCCTCCTCTGAGCCAGGCCAAGAACAACACCGAAGAGTTCATAAATATTCACACAAATAATGATTGTGCAAAGGTGTACGACTTTGGTCGGCACAAATACCACTTTGGAATGCCATAGGTATGGGTATAGGTATAGGTACAGGTACAGGTACAGGTAAGCATACTACACACAGGTAGACAACACACTATTATCAGGGGGGAACTCGTATTTGTATGGGGTTTGGGGCTTGGAGAGCGCGTGATGATGTCACGTTCTAAGTTGAACGTTTTCGACGATTAAATGTTCGTTAAGTTGTTGCTGTTCTGGGAGCAGAAGAGTTCGGAGCAGAGCAAAGCTTATATATTTGATATTTGTTAATGTTTATTTTTGCATTTAGTCATTGTCATTGATTAGCACACTTGACGCCGAAATGTGGCCCAAAAGTTGTACAATTTTTGCGGTTTTCTGTATTATTATTTGTCATGAAGGCCGTTTGGTTCATCGGTGGCGATAAGAGAGTTTTGCCCGATATAAACTATGAACTCAGTACAGGAAAATGCACTTCATAAGCGGAATTTGAGCTATTTCTTCATATCTACAAATAATATTGAAAGGGGATGAAGGTGGGGGAAATCAACAAAAATTCCAAGCTAACGGCGCCAGCGAATTAGTGTCTGGCAATCGAAAACGTATAACAATCAGCATAAAAAGCCAATATAAATGTTTACAAAAGTCAATAAGCATAAACCCGTTTGGCTGGACAAATGAGTTCACTTTGAAATTCGTGGAATTCTGAGTTCAAAAATTTGTTAATTTGCCAACACAGTTTCGGGGTGTTGGGATGACCAAGAGGATCGGGTTCCAACGTCTTTAATCTAACCAGTTAGTCATTCAGCAGCAAGAAACCCTATTTGTTCAGCACATTCTAAGGGGTGTGAATTGACCTTTAATAAACAAGCTCTCTCTGTTATAGTATGGTATGTATGTAATCTCAAGGTCGGGCTGGGCAGACTGTTATTTGGACACCATTTGATGTGCCAAGAAAGGTGCGGACGCGCAGCAATGTCTGCAAATGTGTTTGCCCAAGAAGTGTCAACAAAATTATTTGGTGATTGTCGGAATTTGATCGTAATTATATATAGTTGTGGCTATATCTATATCATTTGACAGATAAGGCCTTGAAATATACGCAAAGATACGAAATGCATTGCAAAAAAGTGAGGTAATTTAAACATTTTTGGTTCTTATTTTTAAATGCCATATCTTTATGCATAACTTAACTTTGTTTGTTCTTGAAGATCTATTTCAAATTCCTCTAGCTTAGTGCGTTTTTGCATAAATTCTGTCCTAACCAGTTGGGAAGTAGTGAGTTCTCAAATATGGACTCTGAGCTAGTATTTAAAGAGGGTTTTTTTATTTCACATTTTCTAAAGCTAGCGTCACGACCTTGACCCTATATAATTTGCTCCCAAGCTCCGCTTCCGTCATTTATAATCATGGAAAACATGTTTTCGCAAAGGGGTAAGGGGTTAAGTTAAGTTAGTTAAGCTCCAAAAAGAATATACATATACAAGTATATATAATGAAACCGCGACGGATTCATAATTGAAATTCATACAAACAAGATACAAGACGAGAGCGCGAACTTGAAATGCAAATGATTTCCGCTCGGGCAATTAATAAATCTTTGTTAGAGTCAACATCAAGGAACTGGGAACAGAACGGCATGCCTGATTGCAGAGAGATCCTGGGTCACGCCCACCACTTACGCATTATGTCCCAATCTTCTATAAAATGATCCCAAATGGACATGCTACCTTTGAACTGGGTGAGGGCATCCTCATAGCCGCCCTGCGGCTGCGCCTGAGTGGACGAGTGCTTGGCCTTTTTGGGTGCCGCTGGACTGGATCCGGTCTCGTACAGCGGCGAGGATGCACTGCCCGTTGTCGAGTGACGATGGTGCTGGTGCTGATGATGATGACTGTGGTGGTGGTTATTGCTATACAGCTCGCGATCCCTCTGCTCCCGCTGCACTTGATGGTACTCCAGCGTCCCATTGTTGCTACCAGCTCCCCCTGCACCCGGGGAAACGGAGATTCTTGCCGGCGACTGACTGCTACTGGTGGCATGGTGGTAGCTCTGATGATGATGCGTCGTCTGTCGGGAGCTGCTCCGCTTCATCGAGTTGGTGGTGCCACCATGCTGGTGGTGGCCATGCTCGTTCTGCTGCTCGTTGGGATCGAAGCCCAGGCGGTCTTTATAGTAGGAATGCGATGTCATCTTGCGGGTGGCACATTAAGAGACTGAGATACAGACACACACAGACACTCGGCACTGTACAACTTTCGCAGCAACCTCTTACTTTCAGATTTCTTTTATGATTTTTATTTAGCACGTTTGGGAGTTTATGTTTGTTTGATGGCACTTTGTGATTTTATTTTTATTGCTCACAATAGACAAATGGATGAACTCCGCGGCTGTTCAGCTGCTGCTCGGCTGATCGGTTGGCTGGAAACTGAAGTTGGAGTTTGGGTTGGCGTTGAATTTAAATTTAAATACGAGTGTATTTATTTGCACACTTAATTTAGCTGCGATGATTCAGGTTCGCGTTTCGCGTACTTGAACGTGAAATCATCGGGGAACAGTGATCGCAAATGCTTTGTAATTAGCGGAAAACCAAGGAGAAATGCACCGACACTAAACTAAAATTAAGTAAAAGTTCTCGTTAAAAAAATCAAGTACTTGCACATGAAAACAATTAATTACCAGAGGCAATTAATTACCCTTGTTAATTCCATAAAGT